AAGAATCGGATGAGAATTGATGAAGATATGGGCATCTCTGTGAGACAAAGAAGGTTATCCCCTTTTTTGAAGGGGTAGGATAGCAAAATTTTGAAAAAAATCTGTAAAAAATTTTGATCTCATGTTTTGTTTAAAGATAATGGAGAAATGAATTTGGAATCGTTTGAGGTATTCCACATGGGAATCGGATGGAAATTGGAAAAGATACAGCCCTGACTAGGTATTTCCAAGCCCGTACTCCGTTTCTGCATAAAAATGGAGGACCTTTTCTTCCAGTGCATAAATATCCAATTCTGCAGCTGCATCTGATTTTGAATCCGGAGCATGGAGCCCTGTCTTGGCAACAGCAGCAGTGAAATCAACAAATTTTGCCGGCTACCAAGAAAGCCAGCAGCTCTCGCCTAGGCCCACTTGGCTGTCCTTCGGCCCTCGGTCAGGATAATGCCGACACTCTACACCCTCTCCCGGCAACTGGGAAGTCTACATCAGTCCACAGTATAAAATGGTCAACGTAATGCAGGGATAAAACAGTAGACTGACTGCCGTTTAACTCGGAGTTAGAGTATATACAAATAATGGTTGCAGGCGGCAGGACCTGGCAGGGGCGAGGCAGGGGTGAGGTTTCCAGGACTTTGTGTTGGTTCCGATATGCATCTGACAGCATTATGGGTAAATTTGTTTGCCTTGTAAGCATATCCTTGGCGCACATCCGGCCGGAGATATGTCTACCATCTGCCTAACAAGCCAACAACAACAGTTTAGTTTGCCCCACTTCCTCGACCGCTTCCGCCTGGCGCTCTGGTCCTGTTTTCAGGACCTCCTTCTGGTCCTTCTTTCGGCCCTGTTCCTTTCTGCCGGCCAACATGATCTGCTTTCAACTTAATCTGCATATGCGACCAAACATCTGGCCGGACTCTGGCAACATAAATTGCAGAGCAGCCAGTCCTGCTTCAGGACCTGCCCCCCAGCCCGCCGCTGCAGACTTTTTTTTTGGCAAATCGATGCAAGTCCTTGCCCAAACATAACAAAATCCAAGTCACTTTCCGTTGACTTTGATTTACCGCAGCACTTGATGTTAAAGCCAAAATAAAGAAGCCCAAGTCCTCGGCCGCAAAAACTCAACTTAATATAAATAATTCTGGGAGTATACTCCTCCGATAGTTGATTGCCAGAACAGGCAGGTACAGCAGGCTATCAATTATCAATCAATTCCCTCATCCATAGTTGATGTCCTTGGAACACATGCTCTCCGTCACTTTTCTCCATCACTTGCCGTGTAAAGCGAAGGCGCTCGACTCCACTCGAGTCGTAAAATCCGGCCATAACCCGGCAAGTGCGTATCCTTTTATCCTGGCCCGATGACTCATCAATAAAGCAAATAACCCTGAGGAGCTCCCTCAGGTCTTCACAAAGAGATTACAGAATGGAAAGTTGGAGAGGGCTTCTGCTTTTGTCCTTATATTTCTAATTACAGTTATTGAATCCAATACCATGACCAGGAGATTCAACTCGAAAGATCATCGTCCTCTTGGAGCTGGGAAGTCCCAACGCCATGCTGGCCTTCTCCAAGGGCGTGGTGGAGAGAGCTGATCTCTGTGGTCATCTTCCAATGACCTGTGGTGGAACTTAGCTCCATTGGGAAAACCATACCTGCAGCCTGCTAATACTTTTCAAAAAAGGTCCCTTGTTTTTCTCGATTGCTTCAGACAATTAAGTTGAAGTGATATTGGTTTGTTTTTTGTATTTTTTTTTTTTGGCTATCCTGTCAACTGTCCCTGCCACTTGGCCCCCTGGCCCGCATCCTTGGCCCGCCCATCAATCCGGAGAACGGGTCCTGTGACGAGGCGTACACGTCGTACAGATGGCTCGGTGTATGCTTATCCCTAAACTTTGTCACAGTTAAATGACAATAAATGTCACACAAAACGCCATAAGCACCACACTTTGTGTACCCGTGTGTGTGTGTGTGAGTATATATATAGTATATATATATACCCTGATGGGAGACGACAGGAACGACACGGGACAAGGACATAAAAGGCAAAAGTTGTGTACGCCAGCAGAGAGAGCATCGCATAAAAGTTTTCCCTTCCACCTTCCTGGCCGGGCCGACATGCTCCAGTTTTGGAGGATTTTTTTCGCGACTACTTACCCTCCCAGGGAGTAGTTGGATTTATGGACATTAACCGAGGAAACCTCTCTATTTTTTAAATAGTTTTGACATCAATCTTGCCTTTTTAGTACAATAATTAAAGGACTTCCTGTCTCTCCCTTTAAACCTTATCTGTTTTCCCAACTTTCCCTTATCAAAATTCTAAGGGTATTTAAAACCCTTCATTCTCAAGCCCATACCCATGACTCCTGTTGTCGTTCCTTTGGACTTTATTTTTTATCTTGTATATACTTTTATTTTTGTCTTCTCGTTGTAGATACTTAAGCCCGTGACGGAGGCACGTCATAACTTGGCCGTAAAACAGCTGACAACTGGGAGCCAAGGAGCCAAGGATCCAAGGATGTGTTATGGGGCCGAACCTGCCTGGTAACTGGTGGAAACTCCTGCCCACAGCCACGTTGTTTTAGTGGCTTAATGTGCTAAACAACTGCTCTGTAAAGGGACGACAGACAAAGGACATGCCAGAAAGCATTGAATTCCAGCAAAATTTAAGGACTTAGAACGAAGAAAAGACACTCACGGAAAAAGGCGCCCTGGCATCCACGGCAATAAAAAAAAACATCATGCGGGTAGTCACCAACCACCCACCCAGCCCCACACACATAGTCAACCCTAGCTACAGGAGACACTTTAAACTCTAGTTAGTGTAGGGGCCTTAAAGAATCCCCACTGTAGCCCGTTGCTTCGGTCTTTTTCGCTCAATTTGCCAAATTTCCCCCATGCACTCCACTCATTCTAGTCTGTATGGGATCCAGCCTACTCCAGCCTCGTTTGTCATTCATCTAACGGCCTCTCGGCCCGCCTCCTTGGCTCCCTCGGAGCCTTTGGGAGTCCTTGATTCCTTTGTGCCGGCTTTGTTTTCACTTTTGCGGGGGCGTGGAAGCGTCGCTGGCTCTGATTGTTTGTAAATAAAATCGTCAGTTTTATTGTCGCTGTGCAAACTTTGATTAAGAGCAGCGTCAAAGTATTGAAAAAGTCTAAGGGAAAGTAACTCCAAATGAATTTTCAAGATTGGTGGACCCGAAAACCCAAAAAAAAAAGGAACATCTAAGGGGAGATGACTTTAAAGCCAAGACGAATTAACTATACGCTAGCTGTTCTATATATTAAATCTTAATTAATAGATAGAGTTTTCTGCTTTAATAAAAAATAAAGAAACTTACCTTCAAGTTTACTTTCATAAAAGGGTTTTTACATGGTATTTACATGTCTTTTTACATTGTAATATTTGTCTTCAGTTAACGGTTCTTTCAGCTGGGGCTCCAAATATCTCCCAAACACATATACGCACACAGGAGGAGGAGCAACTGTACGAAAAAATCATAATAACACGTGATTAGTCAATACTAGACTTTAGACTCGACTTTGCTTTTATAAAGATCGATCTTACGCACATTTTAAAACATATCTTATCTTATACACAACGATTTAAAACCACATTTTTGTGAAAAAACTTTAATTAAATCACTGAAAACTAAACAAACGCAATGGCCCTGCCAACTCAGTCTTAAGGAAGAGCGGAAGAGGGAGAGAGTTAAGGATTGAAGGCGTCCGATCGAAGAGAGTAATGACGAATGAGAGCAGGTGATAGAGAAGGTAGTACTATTTAGTAGAAAGTGCGTATTTTTAGGTATTTTTAATACTAATTAGCTGATTGGTGCTAATGGAAACTTACATTTTACATTTTTAATTAAATATTAATCTTTTTTATAGCATACTTTTTAGGGCAGATAGACATCACCTTCCCTAAGTAGAAAATTTTTGAAGAATATTGTAATACTCTTAGATAGGGTATGGAAATACAAAAACGCCCCCCAAAAAACTAGTTGAAACTTTTCACGTAACGGGAATCTGCCCACCCCCCCCCCACACACACACACATAAACATATCAGCGAAAAAAAAAGCCAACAAAAAATGGAAAATTCAACAAACTTTACAAATTGAGAAAAATTGGCAGTTTTGACGGCATTTTTATTCGCATGCAATATTATTTTGTTATTTGCTCACTTTGGCTAGACACTGAAAGAAATAGTAATGATTTAGACATATTTTAAAAAATTTTAAAGTTTAAAAAATATATTTTATTGATATGTTTAGCTATAAAAAGTTTCATTCTTTTATTGATTAATTATTTTATAATATTTTAAAGAACATAAACTATTAGAAACTAAATGCAACAGTGCGTATACTTAATATTTGGATGGCTCTGATAATTTTTTCATGTGCTGCCCGCATATCCATACAGCTTCCCTTTGTTTTTGATTCTTGCGGCGTTTATTTTCCATTTCACCTGCCCAATTTTTTGTTATCCTTGCTGGCATTTCCAAAACTGCACTGCCACGTGACTCCTCCGATCCGAGGCCATGGCTATAGCCACTATATACCGCTATACTACGGTATGTATATGTGTAGGCGGGGCGGACAAAACACACAAATAACTGTCAAAGTTTCAATTCTCGGCGAAAGCAAAGCACGGTAAAGTGAAAAAATGGAAAAATGCCGGAAAATCCAAAGCAAACAACAGGAAAACAATGGGCGAACAAATTGAAAGCTTTCGATTGGTATTCCCCTATTCTGCACTTGTTTTCCCGCTTTTCACTTTTCATTAAAACACAAACAAAACTTCAAAATAAAAAAAAAACTGAAAAGAAAGAAAGTCAACAAAAAAATCCAGGAACTGCAAGTCGCACACGTTAGCCGGAGTCTATTAATATTGATGGGTCTTGGGGGGGCTCTTATTCAAGTCCTGTTTGTCTATAATTGAGCAATTTGAATTATTAAACTGGAAAACATATGAATATCCAAAAGAAAACCAAAAAAAGTGACTGACCATGACGGGATTCGAACCCGCAACCTCCGGATCCGAAGTCCGACGCCCTATCCGTTAGGCTACATGGCCTGTGTCGGGTTTCGAGCCCTCAATATTATTTTTAAAGTGCCGACTTCCAGGCCCAATCATCTCCCTTCCCCCCACCCAGAATTGCCCACCGGATCCGGTCTGGTAATCCATGGAGATTCTGTTTACTGTCATGTAAATACACTACCCATCCTTGAGAGCGCCAGTGAGAAGTACCTCCCGTTCTTCGAGCTGCACTCGAACCTCAAACAATTTTAATTATTTCCATGCCAAACGCAATAAGTGTGGCGAACGGGGGAAGGGGGGTGGGGGTTGGTGGCGGACCGCAGTGTGGGCGTGGCTTGTGGTGTGTTGGCTTTAACGGGGAATTAAGTCGGGCAACAGGAAGTCAGCCAGCACAATAATTAAGACGAGCGCTCGAGGGGCAATTATGTGACATCAACTTGCCAATTTTAACCCCACAGCACCCGGCAGCTCTTCCTGCATCCTGACTCCTGCATCCTTGAGCCTCCATTTGCCGCTCGCAATCCGCCATCTTTTATCCTGCACTCTCGCAGCTTGCAAAAGCAGAAGGACCCAAGACAGTGGTTCAAAATTAAACATTTTCCCGCTAATTTTTAAACTTTTCCAATTTATTTTCAATAGATTTTAAAAAGATCTAAGGAGTCCTAGCTTTTGTAGTAATCAGTTGAGGAGTAGGCCCTGCTTTACTAGGTTGGGTCCAGTGCCGAATAGCTCGACACAATCGACACGGTTTCCCAACAATTCGGACTCGAATGACAAAATCTAAAATCAACTAAAACAAAAAAGCTGATAGCTTCTCCAAAATCGGCACTAGGACGCCGACAAGGACGCCGCATCGGAAGGACACACGAATCTACCAGAAACCGCATCGATACCGTAAGAGAAACCGTTTTATCCAAATTATCCAAAGAGATGAGTGTGGAACCAGGTGCCGGCGTCGACCGCAACAAGGCATCCGCCGGTGAACATCCTGCGATGAATGCCAAGCTGGTGGCCGTGGGACGCGCCATGGCCAGCGTTGTGGAGCGGGCTCGCCGCCTCAAGATGTCCAGCCTGGAGGGATACGATGGTCCGACGGGTAAGTCGAGTACCCCGACCACCCCGAGGGTCTCCTCGCGAATGACCAACAGCGGCGGCCGGTATGGCAGGCGACCAGGAATGTCGGCCCGATCATCCCAGCCGGGAGGCCGAAACACAGCCACCAGTAGTGGTGCAACCGTGCGCCGTCCTAAGAAGACAGAGACGACTCCATACCATAGGACTCCGCGCGGCGGCCAGTCCCTGACTGCCAATTTGCCGGTGCCGCCTCCACCGCCGCCCCCGTCGCCGCGCTGCCCGCAGGCCAGCGAGATCTTCCTGGCCCTGGAGCAGGCCGACAAGCTGATGGCCGAGTACCAGGAGACCGAGCAGCTGACCGACAACCTGCTCAAGCAGGCGGAGGCCATTAAGCGGGACCTGGAGCTGCAAAACGAGCTCCATCGCGACGTGGAACTAGTGCGCGACCTGGAGGTGGAGACCAGCGGCAAGTCCCTGCTCTACCTCATTGAAGCTGTCCGGGCAGAGTGCTACAGCGAGGATGATCAGGCCATCCGAGAGCGGTGCCTCCAAGCCCTGGCTCGCAGTGAGCGTCGCCATGCAACCGTGGTGGATGAGGTTGTAGACGACGAGGGCGACGACACGGACACCAACACCAACAGCGACACAGAAACCGAAGTGGAGCCAGAATCACTGGCGGAGAAAGATGAGTCTGGATCAGAGCAGGAAAAGGCCACCGATCTCGGCAACGGCAAGGCCACCCAGACCGATATGGAGTCCATGAGCTCCTCCGATTACAACTCTTCCCCAAAGAGCAGCAGCAGCAGCAGCCTTCAATCAGGGCGCAGTACCCTATTCTACCACATGATGCACTACGTCGAGGACAAGATCCTCGCCAACATCCATGGCGAGCCGGCCTGCTTGGGCCTCAAAATGGACATGGAACCGGGCGAAGAGTCCCCCGAAGAAGCTATTGCCGGCGAAGGAGCCGACCTGGGCGCAGGCGATGCCACAGGTGCCCATATCCTTGCCAAGGAGGCAGGAACCAAATCGGAAATCATTTAAATATTGTTTGTAAAGTTTTGTTTCACCATAAGTCGTTGATTTTATAATCAGTAATGAGAGAGTTTAGTCCCCCGTTTAATATTATATTTAGTTTTTAATTAAGGAAATCTTGGAGCTTGGAATTGGTCGGGACTCGCACCACGGTGCAGTGCAACTTTGTGCCGTCGAATGTGTGTGTTTTCGAGGAAAGTTTTCTTGTTAAGTTGCAGATTGAATGCCGCCGGTAAACACGGCGTCGCTCCTCCCGGCGGTGGAATGGGGGCTCCCAGGCCCCCCTCCTGCATCCGTCCCTGATTGAGCCAAATCCAGGCTCATAACTAATTGCCGACGTCGGCTCCGATGCCGGCGCCCTCGCTGGCTGTTGGCTGGGGTGCAAAGTTTAAATTAAGTTGCGTGTCATAGTCGAAAAGTTTTCCACTTATTCAAAAGAGGCACGTGTTCCGCCAGGCTGCTCCTGTCCCAAACTATATAGTAAGCCACCTCGCCCTGGAAGACGGATGCTGCTGACAAAGATGCATCGGAAACAAAAGGGATCATCCCAGCGGGATTATAGACATTTTCCAACTAATAAATAGGTTTCATTTATTTAGACATTTAATCAAATGCATAACATTTAAATGGAATTTTAGAGGCAAGTGCCCGGCGCATCCTTCGCACACCCAGCACCTCCTGTTTTTGTTTTTTGTTTTGTTGTTGTATCACACTCAATCTTAGGATAATTTCCGGTTGATATATGTCGACAGTTAATCATACCCAGCGGCCACTTTAGTTCTTCTTCAGCTTGGCCTGGCGCTGCGAGGGCGGGGACGGTGGCGAAGGCGTCTCGTCGAAGTCCAGGTAGTCGGCAAAGTCCCTTCGCTTGGACAGCGCCAGTGTCCAGCAGAGGATCCACAGGGGCAGAAGCACCGTAGAGACTACAAAGTACAAGAAGTTCCCGTAGATCTGCGAAGAAAAAGAATGAATCAGAGATGGTTGATCTTAGTAATCCTACAGCAAGCACTCACCACGGAATCGATGAGGCCATAGGCCGAGGCATCCATGGCCGCTGTGGCCGCCCGGAGCATGATCTTCTGCATGGGCAGCTCGGGGAACTGGTAAAAGGTCATGGCCAGCACTATCACGTACACAATCATCATGGGATTCAGGATCAGGGTGAGCAGCCTGACCGAGTTCCTGAACGAGGTGTTCGAGTTCTCCTCGGAGGTCTCCAGGGAAATCACCAAGGGCACCGTCAGCACTGCCACAAAGAAACCAAGGGCAAAGTTCAGCAGCCCGATGGCTATCAGGGCACAGCCATATATCAGCAGGAAGGCCACGTGCAGCAACTCCAGTCCACCAGGCGGCAGGACCACCACGAAGGGCAGTAGGAAGCCGATGAGGGAGAGGAAGCTGAGCACAGAGGTGGTCAGCGGTGCGGCGCCCATGGGGATCTCCAGGAAGTACTGCTGTAGGGGCAGCACGTTGCACAGATAGCCTATCGCCAGAGTAGCAACCAGATATATGAGCACCGAGCCGTAGGGCAGATCGAAGGGCTCATCGGGCTCCGCATCCACAGGGGGAGAGAGTTTTTTCTCTGCGCCAGCAGCTGATGCCGCCGCGGCCGCTGCTTCCATTTCCGAGGCCGACGGGAGTGTGGCCCATTTCAAGTAGGCCTTCACAAAGGCACAGGCCACCAGTGCCACTAGAGCCGGCATGTAGTCTCCAATGGAGATGTAGCGATCGTTGTTCACAATCACGTAGAAAAAGAAACTCTGATGGAAGCGCTCTAGAAGGTTGTTTAAGCTCCTGGAGATCCCCTCGATGGCTTTCAGCAGCGGAACTGCCGCCGATCCGGGGTTCCCCTTCAGCGTGGCATGTGTCTGTCGTCTGGCCGCGGCTATGGTGAGCGCATCGATCCTGTACCGGTGGAATAGTCCGTGATTCCCCGTCGGCACACCCGAAGCCTGGCTGGCCAGCATGGAAAGCATCCCCCGGAGGTTCTGCTCGTAGACGGACTGACTGTGCCGGCGCTTCTTGCGCGGTGCCTGCTTGTAGCCGGAGGCGATGCCCTCGCGGGCCATGATGCGCTGCACCAGATTGAACATGTCCAGGTTGGGCAGCTTGCCGTTCAGCCCCTCGATCCTAACGTCCACATAGTCTGAAATGAAGACACTCCAGATTACTTAACCACTTAGAGGCACAATATTCTCCTACTAACCGATCTCCAGATCCTGCACCTCAATGTTCAGAGCAGCCTGCAAGGAACCGGCTCGAGCCGGCAGATTTCCTGGACGCAAGTAGGACCTGTTGGCATCCGGAACCCGGTCGCCATCGTGGTAGGCCTCCAGCCAGGCCTGCATGCCCAGCTGCTCCTGCTCGGTGACGAGGAAGATGAGGTCCTTGGCCCAGTAGTTCTTGCGCCTGGCAAAGTCGGCAAAGGCCAGCAGCAAAGGAACGCTGGGCGAGATGTCCGTGTGTACGGAGCTCGCAGCTCGGTAAGGAGCGGTGAAAACAATGCCCTCCGTGGAGGCAATGCGGGGTGCCCGCAGAATCCCATAGACATTTTTCCCGTGGTACTCCTTGCCGCCTCCAAAGGGATATCTGAGGGTGTAGTTGTGGGTGTGCGTCTCCAAACCGAACTCGTTCATTTTGGCTGCTATCCAGGCGTGCGGCGTCGTCGATACATGGTTCGTGCGCTCCCGATGCAGCTCCTCCAGCAACTGGATGGCCAGTCGATTGGCGTCGACGCGAATCTCCGGGTAAACAAGACCTGCAAGGAAGCTTTAGTAATCCATGGGGGCAAACAAAAAAGCACAGTCTTTTACCTGGTGAAAGGGCGTTCTCCGAGAGGTATGTTCCGTGGTTAAACTCCGGCAGCGCTAGGCAGAAGAACCAGACCACACCCGCCACATAGAGTACAAGACACACTTTCCGCACATGACGCGCCAGGCCGTCTACCAGCTTGCTCTGCGTCGAAATGGATGGGTCGGACAGCAGGCCCATATCGTCAGCTATATCCTTGTGTCCAGCGCCGATCTCCAATCAACAGGAATCGCCAGGAATGACAGTGACAACAACAAACAGTGACCGGCAGAATGCGGGCGTTATCGATAACCGCCAATTGGGAGCCCAGCCTAGGGCGGAGTCATCAACCGATAGTTTTTTCACGAAAGCTTTGCCCGGAAATTTCGTATTTAAAAAATAACAACTCTATTTTCTTAAATAATCTTTATTAGTTAAATTCAAGTATTAATTGAATAAAGAGTTGAAATAAAAAAAAAGCGTTTAAAACATTAAACTGAATGGAATTTAAGTCGTGTTTCATTAAATCATAAGACCTGATTGTGATACAACAGCCTATTATATTATCTTACAAATTTAAATGGTTTTAGGCTTATAGCTACAAACTATAAAAAAATTGGTTATTCTTACAAAAAAAATTGGTTATTCTTAAAAAAAAAATGTATACAATTGCGGGAGAGACATAGAAAACGCAATAATATTAGCCGGAAACTCCGGACAGCCGGGAAGTAGACGCCGTATTGTGCGGCTTCCACACGAGATAGTCCAGGTCGATGGTGAGCTTCGGCTGCTTGAACTGCGGCAGTTGGAGGTGGTCGTGGATGGTCTTGGCGGTGACGCAGATCACATTCTGGCCCTTCCAATACTTGATCATCTTCATCGACTGCAGCGTATAGATGATGTCGTCGTGGGTAATGCCGCTCATCTCACTCAGCTCCTTGATAGTGGTCTGCTCCGGCGAGCAACGGTTCTTCATCAGCTCGAGGAGCGTGTACGCCCAATAGCTGCGGTAGCTAAGTCGGCCCAAGTCCGACAGCGGCTTCTCTGGACTCCCGATCACGCCCTCCTTCCGGGACAGCTCGTAGCTGAAGGCGATCAGCAGCTTACCGAAGCCCTTGCGCTGGTGCGGCGGCAGGACTAGGATGCAGGCCACGTTATTGTTGTCCAGCGACTTTTTCTCCTTGGAAAAGTAGCCCACGATGTGGCTGCCCTCGCGATCCGTCTCGCACAGTATGTAGAAGAAGAACGGGTCCATGTCGAAGTAGAGCACCTTGTGGTCGAGGAATAGCTTGGCCATCAGACAGAGCAGCTGGCAGTATAGCGGCTCCTCCTTTCCGTTCACCTCGAAAATGGAGATGTTGCCCTTGCGGTAGATCTCCCTGCCCGGTGGCTTCCGTCTCTCGCACACGTACTGGTGGTAGGCATAGCTCTTCCGCAGCTGCATGTACTTCAGACAGTACTCGCAGACGTACAGGGTCTTCGCTCTGCCGTACTCTTTTGGAAACGGGCTGTAATACCACGTGTCTATCTCGTAATTGCCGAACTGCAGCTTGTCGATGTTCCTGACCTTGGTGATCTTCTCGTGCTCCTTTTCCAGCGCCGCCTCTGACGCCGTCAGCTCAGTGTGGCTCTTCTGGACGTGATTGATCTCGTCGTAGCGCCGCTTCTGGTAGCGCGTCATCTTTCGGTCACTGTAATCGTAGCGGTTGGTTTCGCACTTCGACAGATAGTAGTCCTTGTAGCCCGTCCTCTTTGGTCGTTCCGCCGCCGCCGCTGCTGCCTGTTGGGCCAGCATCTGGCTGCTCGTGCCAGGCTGTTCGTTGATCACAGCCTGCTGGGGAGCCATCGTGACCCCGCCCAGGTCCTCGGCGTTGTCTGAAATGCGATGGCGACCCACCCAGCCGTCCAACCTCTTGTTGAGTCCCACGTAGTGCACATAATACTCATCCGGCGAGGCGGAGTTGTCCGAGGAGCGAACCTGTAGCACCTGACCGGCATGGACCGTGCCATCGTCGCGTCGAATGTAGTAGATCTTCTCCGACTTCTCGCTAATGTCGATCTTCTGGAGCATGGGATCGGCTGTGGAAGCCGACGTCTCCCGCGAGGTGCCGTCGTGCTCCACGGGGATACATTCGTCGTCCTCCTCCTCTTCCTCGTCGCTGCTGCTCTCCTCACCCTGGTTGCTGTCATCCGAGATGGTCTCAATGTTGGCGTTCAGCACCGTCCGAATGGGCAGCGGTGGCGGCATAATGCGCTGACGAGGATCACGTGGCGCCAGGCGAGGCGGAAGGGCGAACAACGGGGCCTGCCGAAGCTCCGTGACCTTATCGTAGACATAGCGACCACCTAAATACGGCGGCAATGCCATGGCTGTGCCTGCCCCCGCTCCTGTGGGCGATGCCGGCGTGTCTGGGATGTCATCTTTGTCCCCTCGAGGCAAGGGTGGTGGCGGGGCCGGAGGACCCAGTGGCAGTTTCAGACACAGGGGAGCGGGAATGGTGACCACCTCAGTTATGATGGCTTTGGTGGGAGCATGGGACAAATCGTCGATGTCGCTCACGCACACCACCGTATTCGGCGAGGGCACATCTTCGGTCTCCATATCCTCCTCCAGCTCCGGATCTGCAGGCTCCTCCGCCTCCACAGTTTCGGCCTCCGCTGGCTCTTGCATTTCCTCCTGAATTGGGTGCTGCTCCGGCGCCATCTCCGCTTCCCCTTCGCTAACCTCGTCGTAGCGGGAGCAGCTGTCCCCGCTACTTGAGGAAGAGGAGCTGCGGCTGGGGTTGCTGTAGTCCTCGGAAATGGGGCTTGTTTCGAGCCTTTCACGTTTTGGGGGTGGTCCTTCTTGGTCCGCGTCGGCTTCCGCTTCCGCCTCCGCCTCCGCTTCAGCCTCGGGTACTTCCTCGGGCACAGGCTTAGAACATGTTAGGTCCAGAGTTTGATATTCCGCCGACTGGTCCGAGCTGCTAATGTCGAGACTGGAATTTAGCTCTGCCGCTGCGTCGTCGACCGGCGTCCGGGGCGGTCCCGCGTGAATTGTATAGCCTTCTTCTTCTCCCGCCTGCCCACCTTCGGGCTCGGCTATCTCCTCTTCGCCGTGTTGCTGTTCCTGTTCCTGCTCGTGGCTTTGGTCAAGATCGTGCTCCTCTTCCTCCACATCCGCAACGCCACTCTGTTCCTGCTCCGCGTCGGACATCGTAAATATAATGAAATTCCTCAGCTACTACGTTCTATTCCGCTTCTCTCTTCTTAATTCTTTCGCGTTGTTTCTATGACTGAGCTAAGCTATCGATATATCGATATACGGCTGCCAGTGTTGAAGTCGTGTAAAGTTTTTAGATCGTCTGGTCGGTCTAAATTTTAGACCACACCAGATGCGGATAACATAATTTAAAAATCGTATCTTCGTTATCAGAATAAAAACCATTAAATATTTTCCAAATTTTTATTGAACATCTATCCTATAGAAATAACTCGCAAACAATTATTGGTAGATTTATGTGTGTGTATATTGCTACATACAGACACCTAAAAGCACATTATGAATTTGGAATTCTTAAAAAATCTTAAATGCATCGATAACAAATGAATATTTCTGCTTTGGTGTACCTGTGTGGGCTGATACTGCAGCATGCATTATTGCATTGCTGCACAAATCATAGGATTCTTTTACATATATATGTTATATACGATTTTAAATGTGTTAATGGGTATGTCTACGACGCGTGATCTTTATGGCCACGAGTAAAAAGAATTGGATTTGGATTTCCATCACATCGAATGAGTGTGTCGCCCTTTAAGGCTGAGTGACTTCTGACTAGGATGATCCCGATCCCGAACCTCTTTACGGTTCCTGCTCCCTCTTCCGCTCCCTATTTAGCGACCTAGCGGAGGGGCAGCTGCCGCTGCTGTCCCCGATCATAATAAAGGAGGTAAGCGGGCACGCTGAGCACTTCGTCGATGCTCACCTCTCGCACAATCGTGTCCGACGTGTAGAACCAGCTGAAGGAGAACCAAATACGTCTTTAGTTGCCCTATTCAAGTCAGCAGCATACTTACCGATGCGCGTTTCTCAGCGAGCCTCGCCGGTAGGTCACAAAGTGTCCGCTGTTGGCCTCGCCAGAGTGCACCACTACAGCCAGGAGACGGTACAGATTCTTGGGGAACATGGTGCCAAAGCCTTCCCCTCCGCCCACTCCCACGCCGTTGTTCATGGGCAGACTGGATGAGTACAGGGACATGGTAGACCCCCAGGGAGTTCCAGCCTAAGAGAAAGAGAAGTTGGTCTTGCACGCGAAATAAAAAGAGACAGAACACTCTCACCTGGCTGTTGAGATGCGGCTGCACAAAGCTATAAGGCGCCATCGAGAGACTCTCGGGGAAGTGGACATAGTCCTGCCGCTTGCACACCTGGCCCGTGGGCAGCCAGACTGTGCGCGCAATATGTATGCAGAGGCACGCCGGAAGCTTGGCGAAGGTGACCGACTTGGTGTGGGTGGTGGTCTCGTTACAGGAATCGCACTTGACGTCACTCAGATCCTCGGACGTGATGTAGTCGCTGAGCAAGTGGCCCAGGCTCAATCCCGTGCGACGCTGCGGGGGCAGATTCAGGGTAACACTGTCGAACTTGTCGTAGCGGACTGCCGACTTGGAGCCGCAACCGTTGCAGACTATCTGCGCTCCCATGGCGCCCTGAAAGGGATGCGCTACCTGGCTAGGCATCATGTTCGACCAGATAGAGACGCGCCCAGGCCCGCGATGCAGTCGCTCCAGCGACCGACAAGAGCTGGACACTCTACGATTAAGTCCGAGCTCCTGTGACTGCGGCAGACGCGCCCGTGACATTCTCTCTCCTCCTGGTCCGCCGCCTGACGAGTTCAACACGTCGATGGGCATTGATTCGGCTGCAGCCGACGAGAGCGGAAAACCAAATGGTGTTCCAGGCGACACGGCATCCAGGAGCATAGTGCCCAAGCGATCGTTTCCCTCGCGTTCGCAAACCGAGGCCGGCGAGTCCGGGGTATGCGCCTCGGAGCGAACCAGACGAGTCAGGCTGGTGCTCTCGTCGTATTCCATGTTCAGGAAGTCTGTGAGCATGGCACTAGATGGTCTGTTCGGCTGATCTCCAATTCTTTGACTTGGAGGGGTAAACAAAAGAGGTTAATGGACAATTGAAACAATAAATGACTCTTCTGCTTACCTGGGACCGGCCATGGAGCTAATGGGTCGGAAACCACCCACAGGCGTAGCCGTACCTGCTCCCAGACCAATGCTGCTGGTGTCATCGTTGTCTCCCCCACTGGCCAAGGGCAGGGCATCAGATAGACAGCCTATAGGCTGCGGCCGGGTGGCCTCCTCCTCCAAAGACGAGAGCAGCACGTGGAACAGCTCATGGGCGTCGTGCTCCTCCTGCGGTATTACCCACCCAAGGGCGTTCAGAGCACGAAGTACAGCCCCGGGCGAGTGCGGATCTCCGCGCAGGGTAGCATGCGTTCCGTTGACCACCTCCAGGGTGTTCAACATGGAACTGATCAGACTCCGGCGGTCTGGCGAGGCTCCATTGTATAACTGCAACCAAGCGATGAACTGTGGGCAGGCGGCTAAAGCCTGAAGTAGAGTATTCAGGAAGCAAGTGCGGCCAAAGTTGTGAAGTCCGGCTATTTGGCCACGGCGCTGGCGCAGGCGGGAACCTATGAAAACAGGGGATTCAACTGTGTGAACATAATTGCGTCAGATGAGCTGCCGGCCAACTTACCAGAAGGGCCCCAGAAAACAAAAGCTCCTACAACGGCGGCCACCGTCACCCCGGCGGCCATTAGAATCTTTTCGCTTTCCATTGGATCCTGATGTCCTGATTTTTTGGGGCTGACGGAAGCTAACAGCGGGCGGGGGGGTAAAAAGAACTACAGCATTGGTTATCCTGCTGCGCCTATCCTGTTATTGTCGTTGAAATTGTTGCTCTCCACTCGTTGCCGATTGGCGACCACCAACGCGGATGTCCTAGTTTGTGAAAACGGCTGGAATTTAAATGTTTTCTTCCTCAAAAAAACAAAAATACTGGAAAACCACTTTTTCCCAGAAATTTTTTCACTGATGTACTGGGAGGTCTTCGCAACACTACGCCCCCAAAGGCAGCTGATGGCACGGTCGCTGTACAACACTTATTTACCTGCAAAATTTAAAATATTGGCGGCAATTTATAAAATTTCAAGAAGTATAGTACGGATTGGTTCTTCCTTGGGACGGGTTTCCTTGATTTGGTTATTCTCCTTATATTCTCTTAAAAAATATAGTTTTGCAATTCCCAACAGGCGAAACATTTGATATAATTTTACAAAATATGCAATCTTGCAAATGGTTAGGTCGAATTCGTTGCCAAATAATTGAAAGTCGTTTAAGGGAGCTTCTGTAGTATTCGCTTTGTTTTTATCACGAAAAGTGCAAAATCTATGGTGTTACTCAGCAGAGGAGTATGTGTCTTGTACAAAACATGTAAATGTATCAACGTTTAGTAATGACACTAAACGCTAAAGTGACTAATTTCCCAGCTAGGCAAATCTTTGAATGACAATGCTGTGAATGTATCAGTTTTATATTTCAGAACTATATTTATTTTTAGTACACTTTGAAAAACCCCCCTAAATTTGACACCTGGCCACACTAGCCAGCCAGCTGAATGTGAAAGGCAGAGAGAGAAGGGAAGAAACACATAAAGCACAAAAAACAAACAAAGCTGGCGCTGAGCAGTCCATTCGAATTGTTAGTTACGATTGCACTATTTGGAAATTAGTCGCCGTTGTGACAGCACCGTGTAGTAGCTCGGGAGTGCTAAATCCAGAAGGATTTTATAAAAAATTTCAATTTCTTCTAAATTTGAAAGTGATTCAGAGGGCCTCTCTTTTTCTGGAAACTTCTGTGGTAAGTTGGTAATCTCGAAGGCCTAATTGCAGATTACAGGGCTGCCCCCCTCCCTGTTTCTTCCAATTTTGTTTGCCACCCACTTTTCCCTGTCCTTGTGTCCATTTTTCCCCCACTTCTCAGCTGAGAGATTGCTGCGCAATAGGAAAATACGCACACACACACACAAGGGTTTTTCGTCTCTTCTGTTTTGCTGGCTGCTTTACTGCGCCGTTTGTTTATGTCGCCTATTCGTTGGCGTCGTTGTGCAATTGCTCCAATTTGTACGCTTTTTTAATTTCGGAATCTGTGTCACGATGCTTGCAGATTTTCTAAAACCAAATGTTCGAGAATATTCGAGCCTATTCGATTTCAAACCGAACGGTTAGTTGCAGTCTTTGTTTTGTTTCCCCCTTTCTCAAGCTGTTCGCTTCTTTGTTCACACACACACACACGAACACACGTGCGCACTCACTTGTTTTCCTTTCCTTGTGTGTGTGTCACGTTTAACGGACTTTTACGGTGTGTTAGAGTACAGTGAATATTGCCTAAGAGTAAAGTATAGTATAGCCTCGAAGGAATCAGCTGATAAAAATAAATCAAGGTTTTTTTGACAGTTTATATTTTTTGTTAGATGCTTTTTTTATGTGAAATTGTTGCCACATCAGTTACATATAGACAGTTTCAGACATTAGTGGGGTATATTTAGAAACTAGCGCACTGTTTCTCAATGAATATAATCGTATTCGAAATATTTCCAAACACAACCCCCCACACCCACCCCAACCACTCCACCCGATAGTCACTGTATTTGAACCCCATTTGAACATTTCCCAGGCCAACTGAACTGAAACTGACCCTGAGAGGTGCTTCGGCGACGACCCCGAAACAAAGGAAGGCGCAGGCCCAGTGCATCACTGGCAGCAACGTAACTGCAGCAGCTGGAAAGCTTAACTGGCCAGAACCAGTGCTAACCGAATTTGGTCAGAACCAGTTTGCAACTCTCTTATTTGCGACGCATTTCCGCGATTCCGTGACCAGCTCTTCTAACAAAGACGCATTAGAAATGGAAGCCAAGGGCAACGAAAACCAAGGCCAGAACCAGCCGGAGCCTGGTCATCTCCAGGAAGATCTCGACGAGCGTCGCATCCGCACCGACAGCGAGAGCTCCATCGACAGTATGACTCGGTTTGTGCTCCCCAGCCTTGGCGGAAGCCCCCCAAAGATTGTCACCCTGGACGAGGTCTCGAGCATGTTCAAGAACCTCCGCAACATGGAGCTGGCTCACGAGATAGCCCTCAACCCGGACTTCAAGCTGCAACAGTATGAGCCGCCGCTGGACAGCCTGGAGGGCCGCATCAAGACCATGGTTCACAAGGCGTTCTGGGACCTGCTCCGCCAGCAGCTGGAACGCCAGCCTCCGTCATACGACCAGGCCATTCGTCTGCTGGCCGAGATCAAGGAGTGCTTCCCCCAGCTTCTATCCCCGAACAACGAACGGGCCCTGGCCCACATCAACGAGGTGCTCGACGACGCCGTCATTCGCCAGCAGGCGGAGCGCGGAGTTCTCGACTTCAAATCGTACGCCAATTTTGTTATTAATATTCTGGCCAAGTCCTGTTCCCCGGCCCGGGATGATGCTGTGGCCAAGCTGCGCGAAATCGAGGACGTGGTGGACACCTTCCGCAGCATCCTCGAGTTGATGACCCTCATGAAGCTGGACATGGCCAACTTTATGCTGGCCCTGGCCCGCAAACAGATCGCTGCCAATTCGGTTCAATACGAGAAGGAGAAGTTCAGCAAGTACCTACGCGAGTTCCATGGAAATGGTGAGTCCCTATTACAGTTGTAGCTTCAAAGAGGAGATACCTAATGCATAGCATTTTCCAGCTGGCTTCCCGGCCACCGAGGATTGGCTGAAGCGCCATCGCACCGGCAGCGCCATGGACGAAACCATTTACAATGCCTACATGCAGCTGCTCGACTATCCGGCCGACAAGGAGTTCCCGGAGCTGCTGCGCATGGACAAGGAGCGCTTTGTGGGCCTCACCTGGAGGGCCCAGCGCCTGATCCTGTGCGCTTCGCTCATCTCGATCGCCCAGAGCACTCCAATCATTTCACAGAGACGCGAGAATCGCGTTCAACTGGCCCAACAGCTGGACATCATAGTTCAGGACGTCAAGAATGAAGAGTAGGTATATCCGTCTCCTGATTCGGTCTCCATTCTAATGTTCTAATCCTCCACACAGCCAAGTACCCACTGCCATGGAAAGCTGCTACGAGCAAATCCGCTCCTTTGTTAACAAGGTTCTCAGTCAGGAGCAGATGCCGGCCATGAGCGAGGCTGATCAGGATGCCCTGAAGAGCCATGTGCTCCGTCTGGCCGACAAGACTTCTCCCGTTCCCAGTCTAATGGGTGAGCTTTTGCGATAACATACTCCATGAAGATGTAAGCCTATAACCTCTTACCTCCTTTAGCCAAGCGACTAGATGGCTATGTGCGTGTCGCCTTGCGCTCCAATGGCAGCATCCCGCCACCGCCAGCTGGATTCGTGGACTTCCAGGAGGAGCTGGTTGCATTTATTGCCTCCTTCCGGCGCCTGGTCTCCTACAATCACGCCGTTTTCGGCGAACACTTCCACCAGATCCTCAGCCAGAACATGGCAGCCGTCGACGATGATACCGAGGCAGCCTCATCTGGCGCTGGCATCTCCACTGCTGGACAGGCTCAAGTGGCCAAGCCATAGGGAGCAGATGAGAAACCCTTTCTCAGGACGTAGAAAAAACGAAAATATGAAAAGCACACAACTCTCTAATAGCCTGTATTACACTACCGGAATCGGAGGATGTGATCCAGAGTTTGGACGACCCGGAACAAGAGTAGAACTCACTCGGAGACTCGCGTGCGAGTGCCCCCCTTCTCCATATATGTATTGTACACCTCCTCGACAGTTCCCTGTGACTCCGGCGTATATATTCGGCCCACATCCTTAACCACCAAACTAAAAAGAACAAAAAACGGAAACCATGAAACCAAAACCTAGCCCCCAGAATTCTCGGAGCCTCCGCTGGGGCTTGCTGGGGCGACTGTGATAAAGAAGAAGAAACGTTTTTATGTGTAAAGGCTCCTCGTGGGCTCCTAACTTCACTCTGACAGCTACTGATCCAATACTATATACATACTTACCATGGAAATATATATATATACATATGTGTGTGTACCCCTCTAGACTAACCCTACAAATACAGTTTAACTCTAATCCCCATATATGTCTGTAACCAGGATCTAGTTTAGTTAAATGGTTCTATTGATCAATTGTGGACTCGCGGAATATGTGCAAGCATAGATGCTTATTGTATCTTTACTTATATAGATTATCCTTATATACAAGTGGCGTTGTTTATCGGCGCTGAACGAATAAATACAATGAATCTAACAAATAGCCTAACCCTTCTTCTAGAGGACCTTTTCTTATCATTTATTTTGTGATAAAATTCGATTAATTGTTAAGTTTTTCATGTTGGCATATTTCAAATCTTTATTTTTACAAATATATTTCATTTATATCTTAAAATTATTATTTAATAAAGTATACATTAATCAAATTACAAGATAATATGGGGTTTGTATTCTTTTCATAGGGATATAGACCATCTTTCGAAAAATGTTTTTTCAAAGGTATTAGTTTTGGAAAATAATTCTATAATAATTTTGAAAAATAATCCCCTGAATGTAGCCCTAGAAAACATGCAAATATTGAGTGGAAAATCATAATCAGTTACCCCCCTTTAAGCGGTATTTTAATAGGGTTTTACTGGATCACTTTTCCGACCCTCACACGGTCACACAGTCAAGGCCAAGAACAGAAGCAGAAGAAAACGCGGAAAACCGAAAAAGAAAACAACAATTTCGGAAAGCTGGACAACTTTTTGCCACGCATGAGAGCAGCACCAGATCCTGAAGATCCAAAATGGGACCTAGAACAAGCGTATCCTTTGCCGGCTGCGGCTTCCTGGGCATTTACCATGTAGGCGTGGCAGTCTGCCTGCGCCAGCACGCCCCCCAGCTGCTGTTGGAAAGGATCGGTGGAGCATCGGCCGGAGCTCTTACCGCCTGCTGCTTGCTGTGCGAGCTGCCGCTGGAGACGATGGCCGGCGACTTTCTGCGCATCGTCCAGGAGACACGCCGCCACTCCTTGGGCGCCTTCAGTCCGTGGTTCAATCTGCCGGACTGCCTGCTGGAGGGGATGCAGCGTCGGCTGCCGGATGATGCCCACGAGCGGGTCAGCGGACGGCTGCACATCTCCCTCACCCGGGTCAGCGACCGCCGGAACGTGGTCATGTCGGAGTTTTCCAGCCGCTACGAGCTGCTCCAGGCTCTCCTCTGCTCCTGCTTCATACCCGGCCTCTCGGGACTGCTGCCTCCCAAGGTTAGACTTCTGTTATCCACAGGAGTTGATTAAACCTCCCGGTTGTCTCTTTCAGGTGCGAGGAGTACGCTACATGGACGGCGCATTCTCCGACAACCTGCCACTGCTGGACGAGCACACGGTCACAGTAAGTCCCTTCTGCGGGGAGAGCGACATCTGCCCCCGAGACCGGAGTCCACACATCCTCCAGATCAACCTGAACTGGGCAAACACCTGTATCCGGCTGTCCAGACGTAACCTGAGGCGTATGGTGCGCATTGTCCTTCCCGGTCGCACGGACTTTATGGCGTCCTTCTGCCAGCAGGGCTACGACGATGCCTTGTACTTTCTGCGCAAGAATAATCTTCTCAAAGACGACACTGGCTCTCAAGTGACGCAGGAGAGGGAGCTCATGAACTGGATGCGCCAGCAGGACGAGCCAGAGGATGCGCTGCAGGATAATCAGGAGGTATTGGAAGATAAGAGGACTCTTGAATACCCAGAAGAGCAGGAGCAAAAGGATCTAAAGGATGGAAAATGTGTAGAAAAGGAGGAGTCACTTCAGAAGAACGGAGACAAGCAGAAATACTCGGAGCTGGAACTGGAAAAGGAGAACCTGCACCAAGCGCTGGAGCCGGCGAGGCAGGACCGTCGCCTGGACGACGGCTACTCCCTCTCCCTGCTGACCAGACCTTGGTATCTTCTTCGCCAGCTCGTGATTGCCCCGCCACGGCTGGGCCGGATCGTGCGAAGCCTTAGCCACCGCCTGACCCTCTACGATCAGCCGCACTTTGATCTCGCCATGATGCAGGCCCCCACCAGCCACGCCCCCGCCCTGCCGAGGCGGCCCCCCTTGACCGATAGCGATAGCTCCTCCGGCGATAAGGGCCGAGTCAAGGCCAGCCGCTGGAAATCGGGAAGTGGGGAACTGGACTAACCGTCAGTTAGCATTATGTATGTTTGTTTATCGGAATCTCGTTAGCGCCTAGGCCTTAATGTTTAGAGACTATATTTTATTTTAGAACTGTTTAATTAAGTAATATTCGTCGTGCGTCGTTCTACAATAAGTTAGGGTAGGTAGACATTGTAAACTTCAATTGCTGTGACACTAATAAAAATTACTGTGAGAGATACTTGTATCTTTATGGGCCGCACTTACGACCCATGGCTTGGAACCTGTAGAACGAAATCGTAAATCCGCACTTGGCAAGCTGCCCAGATGAGCAAGTAGCTCCTGCGAAAGACTGACGGATGGGTAACCTTCGAGTTTCTGACGCAGATCCGCAGGTGGGTGGCTGGGAGGCAGGTCGGGAGAACCGAGAACTCGACCAAATCGGCACTCATAACACACAATATAGTACAACACCGTTCTCAATAATCAAAAGGCCCGAGAATGAATAATAAGAATCACGCCACTTTGTGTACTTTGGCACTTGATTCTTCTCCTCTCTCTCTCTCGCACGGCTTCTCTTCTGATTGGGGCTGATTGCCACGCCTCTTCCGCCGCCCTGCTGAGACTCATCCTGACGCTTTATCGCCCTGGCTCCCCTCACCTCGACTTTTGATTTTATAAAGTCATTCAGTGAAATAATTACACTGCAAGAAATATAATTAGATCCAGATAAAGATCTGAATATCTATATAAACCACTGCTTAACTTCTTGATTAGAGTTTCTTTCAGTGTAGTCGTGTCGCCCCCCCTCCCCAATCTCCGCGATAAGATTGCCCCTTGGCAACTGGATCCGAGGGGGCCTCGTCATCGCTCTGGGAAGACTCGGATCGGACGGGGAGGCACGGGAACCAGACTGAGGCTAAGTCTGGTCCAAAGTCCAAGCCCATTAACATATTCACACTCATTCCGCGGGCACTCCACCTTGCGGTCGGCAATTCCATTACATATAACGATCTTCTCAACGAAGAAACTAGTTTCTCTAGAAGATCGCCCTGTAAGCAAGTACTATTTTTTCCAAGTGCACGTGTATCTGTGTCTGCGGTCTGTTAGGAACCCGTCCGACGAGTCACGGGCTCCACAAAAAAATTAAAAGCTAAAATAAAAACAAATACCAAGACCTGAGAGAAGAAGCCCTTCTTCTGGCTGGCATTCTTCCCTTCCCAGTCTCCGACAGACTCATGAATATTTTTACCCTCAAAAGCCTCGAAAATTATGCCAAGTATGCCGGCTTGTACCAGATTGATTCCCGTTCCAGACATGGGATGGCATGTTCCTCTTGTCGGGAGTGCAAATTAAAGTGATCGTGGCGGCCATGGAGCATACAAATGAGGACCAGGGCAGGGCCGGGCTGGACAGGGCAGGAGCAGCTCCAAAGGAGACCGAAAACGGATAATTGTGGGCCCATTAACGCCATCATTATCGGCATGGTGAGGGCCTCTCTGTCAGGTAGACTCCCACCTTACACTGCCGAAACGCACTGTATTATCTCGCCGTACCATTATCATGAAAAGTTCTATAAATTCGGTCTGAACTCTACTCTGAACTGTATATATATATATATAATTATAAATCAAGCTGGTGGCGATAAGGAGCCTCCGGAAAGGCACAATCATGGTATGGGGGGGGGGGAATCTATATACATACCTTGGGCTTATCGTTCAAGTTTCTAGAATCTAGAATAAAAAAAAATGCATAGCGACTTCTTGTTCATAGTTCCAATTTCTTTTTGGGTTTTTCCTTTTTTTTTTTATTTTTAATCATTAACATTATCATTCTAGTTTAGTTTAGTTTTTAGTTTTTAGGGCATAATTCATTTTCATTAGCAAATTAGCAATTAGAAATCATAGAAATAGCTTTTAGGTATTTATAGGTTACGGATACGTATAGCTAACGTATATATATTTATATATATATATATATATCAGTGTATATATTAGGCATATATAGGCATATATATATATAGTATGTAGTATTATTCAATGCATTCGTGGCACTCTTCTGACGTTTTGAATTTTTTAGCACAGCTAAAGATAATGCTCCTACTACTTCTCCCGATCTCTACTAAACATAATGCGATCCTTAGAGCTACGGGTGTGTGTGTGTTGGTGGTTGGGGGTTGGGGGGTAGGGGGTGTGTGTGTGTGAGGAGGGTTACTTCAAATAAATATTTACAAAGCAAACATTGGTGTGGAGGCAGGGGGGACTGTGAGGTCAAGAAACCTTCTCCACTTCTGATGATCATCGGTTCCGACTTGATATCATCGGGAACTCAATGGAAAAAAAATTTTTACGCAAAAAAAAAATAATAAAAAATTACAATTCTAAATACAATTTAAAAAAATGGGCGTCGTGGGAACTGTGTGCGCTCTAGTGTGGGTGTTTTGGGTGGATAATATCTATCATTAGATATGAAATATATAGGGCTTCGGCTTCTCTGGATGGAGCACTACTGAGCCGCCGCCGGTTTGCTCTTGGCCACTTTGGGTGGACCCTTCGGGGCGACCACAGCTGTCGACGAGGACTTGGAGTTGGAGTTCGAGTTGCTGTTAATGGTGGTGGTGGTGGTAGAGTTGGTACTGCCACCTGGTCCGAACGGTGAGCATACCTCACTGGGCAGCGTCGATTGCTCCACATTGGTGCCCATCGATGAGTTGATAAAATTGATGTACTGATGGAGCTTGAGGGCGGCTATCAGGGAGCTCAGATAGTCGTTGATGTTGCCCTTCTGGACCTGCTTGATCTGCCGGGAGACATTTCGATAGACGCGACGTGAGATCTTGTTGGATAGCCGTCCGACTGTCTGTACTGTGTGTAGGACTGGGTCCTCGCTGGCGGGAACTGGCACTGCAAAAACCCAAAAAAGGATGCTATTAGTTAAAGGATATTAATACTACATTGTACAACAATTAACATTCAAGAAGCAGTAGTATCTACTAATTTTAATCGTTAATTAATTAAAGCTCTTGGGTAATGGTAGTTTTAGGGTTGAATCTAGGGTGGTGCTTACCATAAACTTGTTGAGTTCCCTATCGATAATGCCTATTATCTCTGGATTTCTTCTAACGTACTCAACAATTTCGGTTATGATTTTCAGGGACATGGAAAGGAATACCGTCGAGGCGGCCACTAAGAATCTATCATCAATCTCTTGATCGTAATCCTGGTCGTAGCTGGTCTCCCCAACAACAACAACTACCAAATAGTACAGAAAGAGATAGAGAGAGAAATTAATTTAGAAAATTAGTCACTTTTTTTAACAGTTAATTATAGTTAAGGGGGGGAGGAGTATTTTAAGGGTCTAGGACCAGGATCAGGATCAGGATCAACATTTATTCCTAAACTCGAAAAATCGTAAATATTTCTGTTTTTTATTTCCCACTTTTTGGTTTGGGGGGGGTCTTTATTTTTCTGTGCTAAGACTAAAGGGGGGGTACAAGAATTATTGCCATGCTTGATTAGTGTTCATGCTTTCGTATTTAATAGCTATTTTTATTAGACAATGTGTTAGTGGTGGACAAACAGAAAAAACAAAAAAAACGAGCGAGCAAATATCAGATCAGATCGGATCGGATCGGACCTGGAGGACGGATCGGGTGGTGGAACTTACTGTCATTTTCAGAACTTTTGCCATTCTGCACGACGGCATTTTGTTTATCATCTGAGAATTAAAAATATTTACGATTTAAATTTAGCATTTTGTTTACACACCGGGCACAATAGATATAGAGGGGTAATAGAGGGGAGGAGGTGGGGCACGAGCCAGCCATCCATCCAAAATGGAAGCAAGCCAAGAAATAATGCTTTCATATATAGAATATAGGTTCGCATAATGTGTAGACAGACATAAGGTTTATGATTTCATTTTTTGTTTGCTTTTCTACAGATTCTGGTATTTATTCTAAAGTTTCTATAAACTGCCATGAGGTACTCAGGTACTTGACTCCAAAAACATATGTATAACTCTCCCAATTTTCATCCGATTCTTGAAAGGAGGGAAGTTCAAGATTTGGGATTCGATTCTCTATAGATCTGTATTTAAATCTAGAAACTAAATATTTTTCACATTTTTTTTATCCGGGAGGACCCTTTGGAAAATGAAGAGATCTCATATAGGACCCACTTTGAAGGTCATATCTTGGTCATTATTTCTCCGATCCTCAAGAGGAATACCTTAAAAGAATTGTAGACCGATTTCCTTTAAAACTGCATAAAAATCTAAATACGAAATATTTTTTTAATTTTTTGTCAAATTTTGCTATTGGACCCTCTGGAAAATGATGAGATCCCATATATGACCCACTGGAAGGACTATATCTTGGGTAGTTTTTCCGATTTTGGAAAGGAATACCTTTAACGAATTGTGAATTGATTCTCCTTAAATCTGCATTAAAATTTAAATAAGAAAAATTTTAAAAATTTTTTATTAAATTTTCCTGATGGGACCCTTTTGGAAAATGATGGGATCCCACATATGACCCACTTGGAAGGACATATCTTGGCCAATATTTCTTCGATCCTCAAGAGGAATACCTTAAAAGAATAGGGGACTGATTCTCTTTAAAACTGCATTTAAATCTAAATACAAAATATTTTTTCGATTTTTTGTTAATTTTTCTGATGGGACCCCTTTGAAAAATGGTGAGATTTCATATATGACCTTTTTGGAGGGCTATATCTTGGCCAATTTCCATCCGATTCTTAAGAAAAATGCCTTAAAAGTTTTGTAAATCAATCCTCTACTTAAAAAATTAAAAACCTTTTAGGAAAATGATTGGAAAATTAAAAAATAAAAACCTTTTTTAGGACCTCTCCAATAATTTCAGAAAATCATAGATCGAGAAAAGTGATCCCAAGTCTTTGGACTATACATATGTATCTTGAAACTCTCAACTCACCATTATCCTCCTCCACATCGGACTCGCACTTGGGGAAGTAGTACTCCAGAAGACGCTCGGCCAGGGCAGTGGTGGTATCCACACCGTTGACGGCCAGACTACCGTACTGGGTGGCAAGGACCTCGTTGGCCTTCTGCCAGGCGAGATCCTTCAGGGAGGCAGCCTTCTGCTGGCCAGCGGCCTTGAACTTGACCACGCGCTCCAAATGGGGCTGCACCACATCGATAACCTTGCTCTTGGCCTGATTGTAGATCTCCTGAGGTGTGTCCTTGATGATGGGCGCCTTGACCTCCAGCTTGTCGATGCCCTTGACGAGGGTCTGGTCCACGTAGGCGATCGGTTTGTCCAGCTTGGTGACGAAGGGGGCGGCCGTTGTTACGGCGCGTGTCACACAATCCTCGGCAGCGGTCAGGGCCCATTCGAAGACTCGGTTCTTGCCTGAAAATACACGAGATATTATTGTGGGCTATCTATCTATGCATGTGTGTGATATTAATTGATTTGTTTGCTCAGGTTGTTGCTTATGAAATTTCTCGAATGGAATTTTGTGCCATAGTTCACATGTGACATAAAAGCGAGGAGGGGAGGGGAGGAGAGGAGAGGTGGGGGCTTATCAGCTATACAAAGGAAAGAACTCGGAGTGATAAGCAACTGCGCAGTTCATGATTGTGGGGCCTGCCCCGCCATCAGTCTGTCCGACAAGTTTAGACTTTGATAGCTTTAGTTCGTCATACGGCAAACACATCATCCAATCCCGAGTCCCCACTACCCCAGACCCAACCTCAGCCGCCAGCCGCCCCCCTCCTCTCTCTCTCTGGTCGCTATGCCTCGAGTGGAATATCACAAACAAGTCGAAAGTCCAACTACTGCTGGATTGGGATTGGATTTGGAGTCGCAAAGCGGCGTGTTTACATATTCATCTCCCAACTGGGGGCATTCTCGTTACAGATAAGGAGAATAGTCTCGATAGGTTAGATATTTTTGGGCAAGATCAGCTTGGCTGAGAGGGGGCGCTCGGGGGGGGGGATGGTCTCCTGCTGGTCGGCGCCTCTGCGACTGCAGCCCATGCTTGTTGTGTGTGCTACGTGCTGCTCGTTTATCGCTCGTTCTTTTGCGCCTTCGTTCGCTATTGGTTTTGCGTCAGCTCTTTGGCTTGGCCAAGTTTTTATACCCTTGCAGAGGGTATTATAATTTTGTCCAAAAGTGTGCAACGCAGTGAAGGAGACATCTCCGACCCTATAAAGTATATATATTCTTGATCAGGATCACCTCCTGAGTTGATATAAGCATGTCCGTCTGTCCGTCTGTCCGTCTGTCCGTCTGTCCGTCTGTCCGTCTGTCTGTTTCTACGCAAACTAGTCTCTCAGTTTTAAAGCTATCGTCTTGAAACTTTGCACACACCCTTCTTTCCTTTGCACGCAGTATATAAGTCGGAACGGCCCGGATCGGCCGACTATATCCTATAGCTGCCATATAACTGATTGATCGGAAATGGTATAACTTTGGTGTTTTTAGAGTTAGAGAGTTCAAATTTGACATGAGAGCTATTTTTGGCAAAACATTACGACATGCCAAATTTCATAAGGATCGGCCGACTATATCTTATAGCTGCCATATAACTGAACGATCGGAAATGACCCAACTTTCGTGTTTTTGAAGATAGAAAGCTAGAACTTGATACACATTCTATTTTTGGTCAGTTAATCCGACCTACAAAATTTCATTAGGATCGGCCGACTATATCCTATAGCTGCCATATAACTGAACGATCGGAAATGGTATTTGGTAGAAATATCAACTTTTGTATTTTTGAAGATAGAAGCTTGGGACTTTTTTTTCGATTTTTTATTGTAATTGATTGGTTTTATTATGATGTAATCATAAGGATTGGCCAACTATATCCGATGTTTGCAATATATATCCGGTTTTAGCTGCAAGGGTATATCAACTTCGGCTCCGCCCGAAGTTAGCTTTGCTTTCTTGTTTTATTATGTAAATTTTTCCAACCAAATTTGAACTTTGAACGCGGCACGTCACGAGGGCAAAGTGCCGGTGAGGGGAAACGAGAACTCTCGACGTTGCTAGGTCATGGTTTTTGTTGTTGCTCTCCCGCTACTCTTTCGAGTGACTTCGATTATTGACTCGGCCCGCCATCAATTAAACTCAATTGAGCCTAATTCCTGCCCATTGCCGGGCAATTAAATAGAGTTGTTGGCCTGGCCCAGCCAGCTCGAATTCGAAATCGAAATCGAAACCGAAAAAAAAAAAAAATAAAGACAAAATGGCGAAGGCAAAGCAACGGTTTCAATTGCATGCGCTCTGAATTGTAGTTGGTGTTGTTGTTGTTATTATTGGGGCTGAGCTTTGTGGTTTCTTTCGTTTCTCAGTGCATCGGATTCGTTTCTGTTTCTGTGCCGTTAGGCGGGGCGCCGTTAACCCGTCGAGTTCAATGCACTTTCAATGCACTCGAACTGCACTTACCTTTTACTTTGCCATAGACATCCTGTGATTTGTCCCAGGCGGCATTCACAACCGGCAGCTTAATGATCCTCTCGAGTGACTCTAGGTGCGGCAACAGGTCCTTTGCATCCTTGGGCTGCTCGGACTCCACCACCGATGCACATCCGTTGGCAGTGGTTCCATTGCCGGTGGCGTGTTTCTGCTCTGCACTAGCCATGTTTCTGTAATGCGTTCTGTTCTTTTTTTTTTGCGTTTTCTGGCAGTCGTCTGCTCTCCTCTGCGTTTTCACTTTTCTTATAAGCGCTCTTTCGCTTTGCACGGCACTTTTCTCCTTGTTTCTTTCACGAATAAAAAAACAGCGAGGTTCGCGGAGGTTATATCTCGGAGTATCTGGGAATACGAATAATGCCTCGAACGTCTGAATCGCAATTAATCGTGAAAGCTGCAGAGGCCCCCTCAATATATGCTCGTCGGCAGTGCTGCCCCAATAATCGTCGTTGCGTTGCCTTATCGATCCTCCAAATCGATAGTTCCACTTGAAGTATCGTTTAGAATATTGCGCAGAAAAAGTGACTTCTAGCTGCTATTTAATAAATATATAACTAAGAGGCTAAATTTGAATGATGATATATACTTTTGACGTAATATCTGCCTACTATTCAGCTGGCGTTTCTTAAAAAATAAACTTTTTTCTTTTGAGTTTGCGCTATCGATAAATCGCATAAAGTACCCATCGCTAGCAATGTGGAGCGCGTATTGGGGAAAATTTGAATATCCAAAAGCCGTTACAAAAGATAAAGTTTGTTTTTTTTGTTCTCAAGCTGCATTTATTTACTAAAAGTGTTTAAATTTTAAAATATTGTATATTCCATGCCATTTTTCTAAATAATCTTCAGCTTCTGTTTGATTTGTGGTATCCTTGTGGTGGGGAGAGCAAAAAGACGGGGCGCAGAGAGGGGAGGAGATTGTTTGCTGTGTTTTTTTTTTTACTTGACAACTAGATTAATACGCAGTCGGGCGACAAACCAAGTTTAGATTGAAGTACATTTTCGTATGGGGGCACTTCCATTATCAATGGGCAATGGGCACGCAAATGGTTCGTGGGACCTTTGAACCCCTGCGACAGCATCGATAATACGCCACTGCACACTGCTCTCTTCCGTTCATCCGCACCTCCACCACGCCCGCCCCCAGGGGTTTCTTCTCGACGTAATATTTCTGAATGCTGTGTAATTCGCATGGCATTCCAAAGTCCGGTGTAACAAAACGAAAACAAACTATTTATTACAATAGAATTACTATACTGTGTGAGCAAAAAGTGTCGCCATCCCCACCCCCAGACTCGCCCATTTGGCAACCTCCCACGGGGCACACCTTCCATCCCCCAATGGAATTGACTTTTCACCCAATAGCCTGAGCAACTTTTGTGTTTTTATTATTTAACAACTGTTGCAAATCTTTAAGGCCCTAAGGGGATGTGCTAAATCTTAATGCTCTTACCATAATGCTAATTATGCGCTATATAAAACCAATTATAACTATCCGATAAGGTTCCCCCGTCCGGCCAGACGACCATAAATGCGTACATTCCCCCAGACCCTTCAGACTATAGCTACTACCGCTATTTGGATCATAATCCAAAGTTCGGCACTGTCGTCATTGGTTTGTTTATGTTGTAACCAAGACCGGGTGCTGTCTGGGCTTATCGCAAATCGGTCTGGCTGATATCGGCTGTAAATAAGCAATGTAACTGATACCATAACGCCCCCATCTTTCGAAGCCCCCCTCCCTATTCGGTGTTGAACTTTGGATAGGAGCTATCTTTCTCGTCGGTTGCATTACAAGCACTCGGAAATCACTTCAAATACGTTAACTGAATTGATTCCTTGGGTAGATAACGATATCATTGTAATCATTTGTTTTTAAATGCGAGGTTGGGTGATGAAACCTGGTAGCAGTAACCCCGCATTGAAGAGGACCTCTCCACAAGTAACTGAAGGTTCCTTACGTGGAACTATATTACAAAATAGACCCACAGATATCATTCAGATCCCAGATCCAGTGACTGAATTATATAGAACTGATTAACAGCTGGCTGCACGTAGACAAGAATCAGATCTTTCTATTTTATGGACCCAACAGGCCCCGACATGGCGTATATGCATCATTTATATATATAATTATATAGACACATGTGGAACGTTATCGGGAGAACAAGTGTTCGAGCCTAGGATTTGTACCATTTTCGATCCTCTAGCAGACCCATAATATTAAGAGGCCTAGCCAAAGTCTATATATAGAAGGAGGAAACATTCAGGTAACGATGACATATAGACGGACTTTGAATCGGCATGAGTGAGTACGAATGATTCGCCGCCGCCGGATTCGTTGGTTCCATTAAGTTTTTATTTTTGTTTTTAATTTCTTTTCTGGATGGATTCTACCGAGCTGATAAGGGGGTTTGTGAATACTTTTTTAATTGTCGCCGGTTATCGTTATGATTGTAAGTCTTTAAGCCACTTATTAAACAAAGTTCGCCATGCTTATCGCAATCAAATGACACACGGGTTCAAATAACTCCGAGGGTCCAAGTCGAAGAGTTGATTATGGAAATACCTTTGCGTTCCGAGGGAATTCTAGAATTCTTTTGGGTAGTTGGTCTGGATAAACGGGTTTCCATTATATGACGTCCATTCATCCAGACACTAGGGCCCTAAGGTTATTATAAGGTAATACCACTTTTCTATATCCAATGTCTATACATAAGCATTAGGGTAGTGGGGCATGTCCGCTGTGTTGTGAGTACGTGTACCAAGGCAGATTCGTCATGAGGCAAAAACCCACCAAAGTCTAGAAAGAACAAGAACCGAGGAACCCAACAAAAACGATGGACTTTGGACGTACTACGTGATGACGATGACGGCGACGGTGGCAGCGAAAATGCGACGTCGACGTTGAAGCGTGTATTTAATTTAAAAAAAATAAAACCGCAAAATACATATGTATAAAAAAAAAAAAAACAACGCAAAACGCCTTCGGAACGAACCAGAATCAAATGGAACTCTTTGGCTAAATTTAGACGGGGGCCAAAGACTACCCATTCCGGCGAATACGTCACACCGAGGTAGATAAATGTGTGCTCCAATCAGTACACTTGTAAAAATTCTATATACAAACGGCAAAACATAAGCCAGCCCCCTTTCAGTGCTCCAGATCTGGAATCACAGCTCTGATCAGACTTTGAATGAAGCTCCATTGAGGGGGCAGACATCTAATCAGACGCTGAATCTCAAGTCTGGACGTCGCCTGACCAACCAAAGACTGTGGAAATAAACGCACATGGGTGTATTTTCGGACTCGGTCTGCGGTTCCTGCGCCCGGCCTGACAGTGATAATGCCTCATGTATCATATAATAGTTGCCCCACTCATTGAATGCGTGAAAAGCCCCCCGTTAGCCCCCCTACTCCTATTCTACATCCATATCCGTCTGGGGCGCCGGCAGTCTTCCATTCCGCTGTCCTTGAATTTTTGTTTGTTTTGGCTAGTCTGTGATATTTTCAATTAAGCTTTGGTTAATTCAAGAAATTAAATAATAAGCCCTGTTAAGCCCAAATTTAAAATTAAATTGATTAATAAATAAATACTACTTGTCACTATTCTTTTAATGATCGTATTTTTCAAAGTGCTACTTCCCGTAAGGGGGCGCTTCAAAAGTAGAATGGTGTATGAAACATGTATATCTACATTACTTTTTCAACACTCCCTCTTTACACTGGAAGAAATGGTTTTTGATTAAGTAAAATATTCAAAAATATAATGTAAGAAATTATTTTTATAAATATTATTATTAAATTAAAATTGTGTGTAAATAATTCTGTAATAACATCAATAAAGAAATTTTATTTTCACTGAAATCGATCCCTTGTATACATCTAATAAGTGGGCATAAATAATAAATAAGGACCTATGCACATATACGGCTAGAAAAGAAGGTCAGGTCAGGGAACCGGATCACCTGTTTGTCCTGCAAACGTAGAACCTGGCTGGGCCACTTCTTCCAAGAAATAAACTTTGAACTTTGACTACAAACGAACGCACATGGAAGCGGGAACCGAAAATATGGATGACACGCCGACGGTCATGGCGCCCCTGGTGCTGCTGAGCAAATCGAACCCCGTTTTCGGATGCTACATGTTCTGGACCAGCCTGCTGGTCTTGAAAATGCTGCTGATGTCCCTGCTGACGGCGCGCCAAAGGATGAAGACCAAAACGTTTGCCAATCCGGAGGATCTGCGGATAAACCGGAGCCCGGAGGTTCGCTTCGGTGATCCCAGTGTGGAGAGGGTGCGACGGTGAGTAGGAAACATAAACAGTAGAAACAATCCCAATCAAGCAATCATCATCTGCAGAGCCCATCGCAACGACTTGGAAAACGTCCTGCCCTTCGTCTTGATGTCGCTCGTTTATGTGGCCAGCGGACCGCATCCGTTGACCGCCCGGCTGCTCATTCGGATCGGCGCCAGCGCCCGGCTGCTACACACGCTGGTCTATGCCATCATACCAGTGCCTCAGCCAGCCCGAGCCCTGGCCTTCTTCACCACCTTCGGCATCACCTGCTTCGAGGCGGGCTATGTGTTCGTCTGCTGTCTGAGATTCATTTAAAGAGAGAAGAAGAGAGATGCTGGTGGCCCCCAGTAGTACTCGGCACTCGCACAGTTAATAGACCAGCACTCATGCTTCTAGCTCCGACGCAATTCGTAACCAGTTTGGGCACAAGCTAACAATCTTGGCGGCAGCAGCCCAGCTCCATCACTCGGCCAAGTCGCCTCCCCGCAATCACACACACGCCATGTCAGCTCCATCGCTAGCTCCAATTACGACTCCGTCCAATGGCACCGTCCCGACGCCCGGGAATCTGTTCACCTTGGATAACAGAGTGTTCTGCTGTTACCTCTTCTGGGCCACGGTCCTGGTCGCCAAGATGCTGCTGATGTCATTGCTCACAGCCCTGCAGCGTTTCCGGTATAAGGTAAGGCATACATATGCATGAGTGGCTGCACTTGCTTCAAAGGTCATCATTTCGCCATTCCGTTCGCAGCTGCTGGCTCTAGTTCCGCTGAAACTACGGCGCAAGGTAACCATCCAGCAAAAACAACAAGTCATCGCATTCTAACCTGTTTGGCGGGCTTCTAAAATAATCAAATGACTGTTTTGATCTTGAACTTTTAGATATTCCCCAACGAGGAGGACCTCTTCTTCAAGAACATTGAAGTCCAGTTCGATGATCCCCATGTGGAGCGTGTAAGAAGGTAAAGTAGGAAGTAGGGTTCAAGGTATCCTCTAGCTTACAATCTCATCTATCTTGCAGAGCCCATCGCAATGACATGGAGAACATCCTGCCGTACTTTATCATGGCCCTGATTTACATCAGCACCAATCCGAACCAGGACGTTGCCTGCAATCTGTTCCGTGTGGCCTCGCTCGCTAGGATTGTGCACACTCTGGTCTACGCAGTTTATCCCGTTCCGCAGCCCTCGAGGATCCTCGCCTTTGGCACCATGCTGCTCATCACCTTCTACATGGCCGCCGTCGTTGCCCTGCGCACCTTGAGCTTTATCTAAATAAACCTGACCCGCAAAGCAACAAATACTTTGGCTTTATAGAATGGGGTTTGGAATCTCTGAGTCTCAAGAATTTCTAGCTACTTAGCTGCTTACTGCCCCGAACTATTAGCAGGGACCTCGTAGAGGTAATTAGAGCTTTATAATTGAGATCTCATCATCAAAAAGAAGCTGTTTATAAGGATGGATCTATCAGACTTTATAAAGGTTTACATTATGCATGAGTCAAGTCCACAATGATACAAAAGTGATATAACAGAAATTTTGGGCAGCAACCTAGTTAAGTAATCTCTCAGGAAGTGATTGATCAATTTTTTATCTACGAATTCATTGCTTTCTGGGTGCCTGCCTGGAGGTCTTGAGGTATATATGGAACCATTATGGGAGAGAAGACTCTATGTATGTAATGCCTTTGGATGTTTGATAGCCTTGCAATCCTTTTACCATTTTTAGAAGAAGGACACTTCTTGGTTTTCAATTAATTTAGTTCTATAATTAGCTTGAGATACAACAAAAAACAACAGTGAGGGGTGTCTGGGGTAGTGGGGGCGCTGGGATTCAGGATTCAGCTCAACTTAGATGTTGAAGCCGGCATCACGCATGCACTTCTTGTGCGCCTCAATAAGTGCCGAGCAGTTCTCCTCGCCGTTCTCCACGATGCTGAGGAATGAGAAATAGACAAGATTATACTTTCTGTTGCGTCATCCTTGCAGGGGGGATGATTCCACTTACCAGGCATCACGTGCCCGCTTGGTCTCAGGACAAGCGCAGCAGGCCTTGCACTTCGGCTTCTCACCGGCAGCGGCGGCTGCAGGGGCTCCACTGGCGGCTTCTGGCTGGGCGGCGGAGACAACAGGAGTGGCCGCTGCCTGGGCCACTCCGACTCCCTTTGAAGTACTGGCTCCCATTTTAATTGACTAGACGAATTCTTGTTTAGCACTGCGGGAGAATGGTTATTCCTTTAAGTGAGGTGACCGTTTGCTTTGCGCGGCATTTGTTTATATAATAAAACTCACGTTACGATAGGAATATTTCACCACAATTCGGTTTGTCGGCGCACACAAAAAATCAGCTAGAAATTCAAGTTCAAAGCATAGGGTTGTCAGACCTACACAAAAGTCGAATATAATGAATATGGGTTAACTTTCAAATCGGGTTAGACAGAACTAAATTCGGCTGCTTAGTTTTTTAGATTTAAATACTGAATCAGACATAAATCAGTGTTACAGTAGCTTTCTGTTAGGGGTAGATTATGTATATCAAACGTTGCTTAAAAATTGTTTATTACTTCTTGTTTTAGCCGCTTATTAAAAAAAATTGTAATAGGAATCTAAAACTCTGTAACTTTTTTATCATATATTTAATTTATGTATTTGTTTCTTGACAACCCTTAAGCACGTGGAACGTTTAGCACAACCGATAGTTCGCAATGACAGTGTTGTGCAATACCCGAATGCAATGTCAACAAAACGTTGTTTATTTTTACTAGTTTATTTATCAACACAATATTCTAGGATGTTTCCATTTCGTCCTGACCCTTCTCTTTCGACTGCTCCTTAAGGCGCTGCAGCATGTTGTGAGAAATAAGATCCAATTTCAAATGCTGGACACTAAGGGCGCTACCATCCCAATCACGGAGCATTTTTAGTTTTAAGGGGTCGCACAGGTTCATCAGCTGAAGGCCCCCACTGCGGTACTCGTTCTGCTCCTTTTCCAGGGTTATTGTTATCACATCCTTGCGGGCGGCGTGCTGATTTGCCCGATGTTTTCCTATCGACTGCTTCAGATTGATCTGCTCCAGTTCCTCGTCGAAGCGTTTGAAGTACAGGGCAATGAGGTCCTCCAATTCCTGTGGCGCTAGAGGCTCGGTACGCTTTTCATCGATGTGTCCCAAGAACCAGCTCAGTTTCTCGCCGGTGATGTTACTTTTAATGGCATGACCAAGACGCGTTTTGTGCTTGTTGTTCTGGCGACGTGCCTTCTTGCCAAGCGCTTTTGTTTTGCGACTGTTGGGGTGCTTACACTTTTCCAGTTCCTTGCGTAGATTTGTCTGAAGGGATTAAATAATCAGTTTAACTATAATTTAACTACTTGTTGCAGGAACCTTACCATTTTATTGAACTTCACGTTTTTGTTTAAGTGTTGATAAACGCTTACTGGCACATGTTCTTAACGATCAGCCGGGCTTCTAGAGATGACACAATATTTAAACGCAATATTTTTTAAATAAATAAAAATTTACGTAATTAATTTATTATAAAGCGCACTGTTTAATACCTCATATAGTTTTTGAAATTGAAAAACATTAACCGATCATCTCGATATCGATCATCCACACCATCTCTATGCGGAATCATATGTTTTGAAGCAACCTGCGCGATCGCAGATCCGACTCGCGAATTTTGAAGACTCCTAAAAAAGATCGCGATCCCGCTAAATGGCATCCCACCTGCTTCGAAATGGCGCCTCCGGCTGGCTCCTAAGGAACTACTTGCCACACCAGGCCGCCCAAGTGAGTGGCTAAAGTTAGCGGGCATCGCGTTTACCAAAACATCAGGGAACTTCTATTATACTATTATGTAATCTCACAAACAGCCCAGAGCGAGAGGGAGCAGGGCTATCTGTTGTGCTTCTCTCTTTGGTGTTGTTTTGTTATTGCTTATTAAGCAAAAATAAGTTCTGGAATGCGTTAAAGTTTAAGAAAGCTATGCATTTTAAAGGGGTGGACACGATTTAAAGTAAACCTGCTTAAAATGTTATCCTTTTTAGCTGAAACGCTGCCTTAATGTGACATCCCGCTTGGACAAGACCGTCTCCTTCCATCTCAGCGACATCGGGGAGGGAATTCGAGAAGTTACAGTCAAGGAATGGTTCGTCAAGGTGGGCGACACCGTGGAGCAGTTCGACAACCTGTGTGAGGTCCAGTCAGACAAAGCTTCGGTGACGATCACCAGTCGCTATGACGGCAAGATCATTAAGATCCACCACAACATAGACGAGATTGCCCTGGTGGGAAAGCCACTGCTCGACTTTGATGTCCAGGACGAAGAAGGTGATGAGGAGGAATCTTCAAGCTCTTCGTCCTCCTCCTCCTCATCGGAGGGATCTTCCAGCGAGGCGGAAAAGGTACCAGAGGCGCCCAGCTCGGGTCGGGTGATAACCCTTGCCACTCCTGCTGTCCGACGATTGGCCAAGGAGCACCAGTTGGATCTGGCCAAGGTCCCGGCTACAGGACGCCAAGGTCGCGTTCTCAAAGGTGATATTTTGGAGTATCTTGGCCAAGTACCGCCTGGCACCAATGTACCACATCCCACGCTGGCTGCCAAGACTGCGCAGGCCCCTAAGGCAGCTACACCTGCAGCTCCACCGAAACCTGCCGCTCCAGCCGATCGCGTGGAAGTCCTCAAGGGAGTACGCAAAGCCATGCTGAAATCAATGTCCGAGTCACTGGTGGGTATATCTGTTGTTGCTTCTCCGACACGTATCCTCTATTATAGATTGCCCCTCTAGAAAATCCCGCACTTTGCCTACAGCGATGAGATCGACATGAGCGAGCTGGTCAAATTCCGGGCCCAGTTACAGAAGGTGGCTCAGGAAAAAGGTGTGCCCAAGCTCACGTTTATGCCGTTCTGCATCAAGGCCGCCAGCGTGGCGCTGGGAAAGTACCCAATCGTGAACAGCTCCTTGGATCTGGCCAGCGAGTCGCTGATCTACAAGGGAGCCCATAACATCAGCGTGGCCATCGATACGCCGCAGGGCCTTGTGGTGCCGAACATCAAGAACTGTCAGACCAAGAGCATCATCGAGATAGCCAAGGATCTGAACGCCCTTGTGGAACGCGGACGCACTGGCTCCTTGACGCCTTCGGACTTTGCTGACGGAACTTTCTCGCTCTCCAACATTGGAATCGTAAGAATACCCAACTTCCTTTTATATCAGAAATCGTAACCCGACTTGTATTAGATTGGCGGCACCTACACACATCCCTGCATTATGGCACCTCAGGTGGCCATCGGAGCCATGGGCCGGACCAAGGCGGTGCCGCGCTTTAACGACAAGGACGAGGTAGTGAAGGCGTACGTGATGAGCGTGAGCTGGTCCGCCGATCACCGCGTCATCGACGGCGTGACCATGGCCAGCTTCTCGAACGTATGGAAGCAGTACCTGGAGCAGCCGGCACTCTTCCTGCTGCACTAATTCAACGTGACCATCGCGAACTCCTACTACGGATAAGGCTGTTCCCCTGCATTTATAGGCATATTTGATTTTAAAAGTTAAAGATCTACGATCCGGTTGTTTTTGTAGAACAATTAAGGCCACCGTATGCCGTGCCGCCCACCCCAAAAATGTGCATTTATAGGAGGCTGCTGCTCTGAGCGGCTCCTCGATAGCTTTAAGCTCCAGGTCGGCACGCGGCTGGGCCATTCATGTACCAATCTGCTCCAATTATTCTGCATTTATATCAAGTTTTTTTTGTGTGTAGTTTATTAAGCATCAGCTTTAGCTTACAGTTCAACTGTAGTGTGTGCATTTATTTTAAAGCTTTGTTTTCAATGGCTGTCCAATAAATATCAAAACGGTTTATGTGAAAATTCGGGCCAGATTCAACTTTGTATTTTGTCGAAAAATTGCCTACATAATTGAGTTGTGAAGTGGCTTGTAGCTAACATAGTTTTGGCCCATGGACTTGCTTTGTGCTCGTCCTGCCTGTGTTTGCTCTTCAGGGGCTGTACAACGTTATACAGGGTGAGTTTGAAGGACCTGATATGGGTTTAATGGGTTTTCAAAAAAAATACCTTTAAATTTTAATGGAGTTTTAAAATTTCTTGACTTGTCTTTCCAGCAACTCCCTAATGAGCATGTTTGCCAGAACATTTATTGGTTGAACATTCTTTGCCTGCCAAGCGAGCATGTATACGCTTTTGCCGCATGTTTAATTTCATTTAGACCGCTGGCAGTCCTGGTCCTGCTGCTCCTGCCCCTCCTCCTGCCCCCCACCACTGCTCCGGATGCCAGGGCCATGTTCGCATTACGCACATATACGCATGGAGCACGTTACTTAACTCGTGGCCGCAGCAACAAATTCCTTATAGAGAGGACGGAGTGTGGTTGGAATTATGAAGGGATTAACTTTAAAGATGGGAAAATGGTCCAAAAAGTAGTATAAAATTAATGAAGATGTCCTGTTTTTTAATGTATTCTCTTTTTATAGAAGATACCTGAAGATATATAGTTTGAGAACAAAAATATATAGCCAGATCCCTAGCCAGATCCAGCTGTAAAAAGCTGGCCAGCCATCACGGCAGGGCATGCGCAATGGAGGACCCGCAGCAAGAATCCAACAAGTGCGGCATGGAACTGCCACTCGGCTCCCGTCGCCTCCGTTCGTTGGACTTCCAGACCCCGGTGGCATAGGAATTTCACCATCCCCCCGTGTCCGCCCATTGCAGTGCTGGGGGTGGGTTTTCGGTTTTCGGCTTTCGGGGCGTCCTTTGGCTTTGCTGGCCACTGATACCGTTAGCAAATTCAGTCACACCACGGCCAGCGCGCAGTAAGCAACATAGAACACGACAGGGCGCAGCTGGAAGCCCCCAAAAGAGAGAACCTGCAACACGATAAAGCCAGGGGAAGCGCAGGAGAGGGCAGCAGAAACCCAAAGTTACAGTTACTGTTGTTATTTTTTTGCTGTTGTTTTTTTTTTTTGATTGCCAAGAAGAATCGGACGTAGTGTCAGTGCTAAGAGTTTGCCACAAAAATGTAAAACCAAACCGGAGAGCCAAAAGACCCAAAACAAACATATAACAATAATTAGTGATCTAAGGTAAGTACTAGGGCTAAGAGCAATTGCCAAATAAAGAAAGTATTTATGAGTGTGTATAATAACATGGCTTTGTTGCTGGAGTGTGTGTGTGTGGTGAGTGTGTGTGTGTGTTTTTTTTTCGGTTCGTACTTAACGATTTTTCCAGTGACCTTGTTGCGTACGCCAGAACGTACAAATTCGGTGTATATATATGGATCTGTGTGTATGTAGCCTGCTTAGCCTTGTCCTCCCCCTTTTATCCGCATTCCTCTTTCTCTATACAAGTGTTCGAGTGTTGTATTTCTGCGCACACATCGTCCAGTGTCCATGTGTGTGTGTGCTTTCTGGGACCAAAATTTCCGTAGCATACTTTTCAGGGCAGAGCAAACAGAGTCGGAATTTATGCGGGAGTTTTCGGAGGCCGAACAGCCAAGGCATTTCACTTAGCATATTGCCAGTTCCCGGGTTTTTTTTGTTTTTTTTTCTGCCTCGGCTTCGCATTCCAAGCGCCACAGCTGGGGTCGCGATAATAGCCCCCAAAAAACATGTACCCATAATTGGGCTTGATTGCCGTTATTCAGAATAGATTTTGTATCGAAATGGAGGAATGTCTAGGGTCTCTAGCCATTCTAGCATTGTGTGTCCTAGCAGAGGCTTAATTATCCTGTCATAATAATTGTCAGAACTCCCCGATTCTATCGGTATAGGCTCTACTGTACTGTGTGCCCGGGGAATGTTAATACCCCAATGATAAGGCCATCGAGCATCAGCAATTGTGGCCTGGCCTTGATGTACGATATGATGTACTCACATACATACATATGTATGTAGGTATGTCCTTCTGGTGATGTGGCTTCGGCCTGTTGTCATGCTTGGGTTGGGAATGCAACTGCCGAGCCCTTTATTGATTTAATGATACCACGTAGATAGCGTCGCATCTACATGCCGCCTTTCAAGCCCAGCCACGCCTCCTGCAGCGGCACGTGCAGGACCTGAAAGAGGAGAACAAGTCAGCCAGTCATTCACACCGGCTAGAGGGGGGACGGGTAAATGGAAATTGCCGAGCAGAGGAGCCGGAGCAGGAGCCAGGATAACTGGCGGAGTGACAGACAGCCCCAAAAGAATGAAGGACTGAATGACGGGACGCCCACTTAAAGTGTCCTGAGTGGTGACAGGAGAGCTTTCTTTTTTTTTTATTATTATTATTCTTGTTGTTCCTGTTGTTGAGGAGAAGAATCCTTGCTGGCGTCTTTTTCTTGTCTTTCCTGCAAGGTGCTTAATTCAGCGAAAAATTCCATAGCATACTTTCGAGCGGGGCCCCAAGGCGCTTGCACAACGCTAAGCTTGCGTCCTGGCTCCTGGGAGCATTTCGCATTTGCTCGCATTATCCTGGAATCTCTTTCGAGTAGCATTGTTATGGGATTTTATTGTGCAACGGAAACAACAGCGCTACAAAGTGTATAGTAGATTTCCCATCCAAGTTTGTGAAACTTTAGAGCAAGATGTGGGAATAATCCTTGTGGTCCTCCGACATACTGGGGGAATTGCCTGGCAGACAGACACACATGTGTCTTGGCGGAAGCTATAAACAGATATCCTTGCCACGACACTCGAAACCCCGCAATCAAAACGCAGGCCACGCGTCACATCTCCGTTTCCAATGGCTGGACTGGGATGGGATGGGATGGGCTAGAATGGACTGGGCTGGTCTGGGATGGATGATTTCATAACAACGACGTTGACAATTTTTCGGTTAATGACAGTTTCACCATCCTACCCTCTCCAGTGTCTATTTTTAGCTCCGATCAGCTCGACAAGTGGCATTTGGACGCCTCTGACAGCCATCAGTAGGGCTGATGTCATTCCGCGGAGTCTGATGTCCGTGGGTGGCAGGACGTAGGGCATCCTCCCTTTATTGCTGGCCAATTGACGGGGGAAGTAACTGCATCAGTAGCCTTGACATGATTCGCCCTGACATGGAGTGGGCGGCTGCTGGGTGTTTAGACGATAGAGGTCCTGATGACCAAAAGGAATGTGTGCGAACTTTTCTCCCTTGTCCTTGCACTCGAAAAAAAGAAAATATATAAGCACCTTGAGAGGTTTATTTTCTACTTCAATTTTGTGTTGCATGAACAATAGTTAAGCTCCTCCTCCCGGCACTTTCACAGACCGACGGTAAGAGGATTATAAAAAAATACACAGTTAAGTCCTTGCATTTGATAATCTTCCCCTTGATTGAAGCACTTCTGGCACTCGACTTTCTCCGAGTGCAAGCTGCTAGGCAGCCGGGATGCTCGGGCTCAGTGATGGATGTGCTGGTGACGGTTGATGTGGACTTTAGTTCGTGCTTTTCTCTGTCCTTGGCGCTCCACGAGCTCCACGTGGCGAATTAGCGAGGGATTCGCATGCCATTCCATTTAGACTTTGGCTGACGTCAATGGGGATTTGGAATTTGTGATTGGGCCACTTTAAAGTACTCCAGCTTTTGACATTTAATTTGCCAGAGGCTTTGTGCCACAGAGCCAAGGCACAGCCAAGGTCATCCGCCAACAAAGAGGAGGCCACTGACTCGCCTGAACCCGAAAACGCCGTCCTGGGGGAGCTGTTGTGCCCCGAGTCGATTAATTTGATTTCATGCAGGGATTCACGGGGGAGTGATCCGCTTAAATGGCCAGTTTCGAGCAGAAAAAGCAGACCCGTAAATAATTTAGCAGCTGGGAAATTAGTTGTTGCAAGTTGGGCTTCTAACTAGAAAAGTTTGAATGAAAATTAAAACCTTGAGAGGCTCTAAGCTTTGTTCTACGTGATGCGCATCCTTGGGACGAAATAATCCTTGAACAAATAGTCCCGTTTACCAGCCCTGCCCTGCCATGCCCTGCCTCCCGTCGTGTCGCAAGTTTCATGCTCTAACAATTATTCCCACAGCCACAGAATCCAAGCTCAGGATGTCGGACCAGCAGAGAGCCTCCCTGTGTCCCCGTCTGGTGGATTACATGGCCATTGTGGGGGCCCACACGACGCCGCCCATGCCGAAGGGCCTCCAGGGTCTCAAGGCCCCGCCCGTGCAGGTGGGTCTCCGAGCTGCTAATCACAAGAAACTCTCAAGGACTTTGTCCAAATTGCTTCTCCTTGCAGGTGCCCGATCTGCTGCGACGCTACCCGCCCTCCGATCATGCCGACTTCCCCCTGCCCCTGGACATGGTCTACTTCTGCCAACCGGAGGGCTGCACCAGCGTGGGACCCCGGCGCACGGGTTCCGCCATTCGGGACATGACCTCCTTCGTCTTCGCCCTGACGGACAAGGACTCGGGCAAGACGCGCTACGGCATCTGTGTGAACTTCTACAGGCCCATTGAGCGTCCCAGCTCGGCGGCCGGAGGAGCGGGAGCGGGAGGCGACCGGTCAGGCAACGGTGGCGGCCACGGAGGCGGCGGTGGAGCTGGAGGCGGTGGCGGCGGCGGTCGTGGCGGCAGGCGCTCCTCGGCTTTTCGACGCGAGTCCTGGCGGAAGAGTATGGAACGCAGCTCGGACTCCGCTTTTAGCAGGCAAGTGTTTTGTTTAAATTTAAGACTTTAAAGTTTTATTTCATTAATTTTTAAACAAGCTGGTCGTTTTGGTTTTATTTCATTAAAATAATACCCTTTAAATGTTTAAGTTTGCATTGTTTTTAAATGCTTGACCAAAATGACCACCAAAATAGCTTAAAAAATCCACAAAATTGGCCCAAACGCCCGTCTAACGCATTTCAAACCATTTCCATAATAGTTACGGCCTCTTAACTACTTCTAGCGACTACAGAAGTAACGTAGCGCCCAGCGATTCGGACCGTGAACTTACCTCGCGCCGCGACTCCGACCAGCAGCGGCTGCACCACCAGTCGCAGCACCACCACCAGGGCCATCACGGCCCACCCGGCCACCCGGGTCACCATCAGGTGCCCAAGCTCGGCCTGATGGCCCCCTCGGCGGACTCGGAGTCGGGTGGCAGCCACTCGCCCTCGCCGCGCGCCTCTCGGAAGCGGACGAAGCTGCGCAACCAGTCGCTCACCTCGCTGTGCATCATCTCGCACCACCCGTTCTTCACCACCTTCCGGGAGTGCCTGTTCATCCTGAAGAAGCTGATCGATGCCTGCAACGAGTCCTCCTCCCCGAAGCGGGTGGGTGCCTCCCAGAAGATCAATCGGGACAATGTGTGGACGGTGCTGACGGGACATGCCAGCGAGGCTACACCCTCGATTGTCCTGCACGATGTGCGGGAGATCGAGACGTGGATCCTGCGGCTGCTCTCTACTCCAGTACCAGTTCCAGGTTCCACGAGGGTGGAGGTGGGTGTTCATAACTCATACGCACTGTGAACAGAATGTGGAACTAATAATTCATCTTCTAGGTGGAAGTACTCTCCCCCACGGTGCACGAACCACTTCTTTTTGCCCTGCCCGACCACACCCGCTTCTCCCTGGTGGACTTTCCCCTCCACCTGCCCCTTGAGCTACTCGGCGTGGAGACCTGCCTGAAAGTCTGGACCCTGATCATGCAGGAGAACAAGGTGCTGTTCCAGTCTCGGGACTACAACGCCCTCTCCATGTCGGTCATGGCCTTCGTCACCATGCTGTATCCCCTAGAGTACATGTTTCCAGTGATTCCGCTCCTGCCCACCTGCCTGAGCTGCGCGGAACAGTTGCTCCTGGCACCCACACCATTCGTGATTGGTGTGCCGGCCTCTTTCCTGGTCTACAAGAAGAACTTCCGGTGGGTTACTCAGTTGGACAGCAAAGACCTCAGACTCTAACCGTTCCTTGCAGTTTACCGGATGATATCTGGGTGGTGGATCTGGACTCCACCAAGCTGACGCCGCCAACCGGGGGCTATGAGGAAATACCACCGCTACCTGAACCCGAGGGCACCATCCTGAAGAATCACCTGAAGCAGGTTAGTCACTAGATATATCCACCGTTGAGTTATTTTGTACATAACCTTATGACAGATATCGTTTGGAAACACATTGTTTTGGAAATTCAACAGACCATAGAATAGAAAATGGAAATCTTCCGACTAATTATATTTTATTAGCGAACGATGGGATAAAATAGTGGACTAACTTTGTTTGGAATTTTACAATTTTTTTTTTTTGCACTTCTCGGTTTACATTAAAATTTGGGAACTTTTTCCAGACGACTTCAACGCATGGGTCTGTATGGGTAAATGAAATGCAATCGTAGTGGGATGTCCTCGAGCTTCTGGAGATCTTTAAGGTCACTTGGTTGGGGACAGCCACTCACAGTGGATTGTCGAGGGTATTCTGGCAGGTCTTCAGTAGCTGGTTGCAGGTGGTGTAGAGACCTGCGTCCAGCTGCGGCAGCTCCTGGTCCTGGTCGGCCTCAAGGAAGCGCTTTAGCTTGTCCACCTGGTTGCGCATCTTGAACACAATCCCCGGCAGCATGGCCGTTGCCTTCTTTACCACCTGTTCCTGCACATGGAGGCGCCGCTCGTTGGCGCCCTCGCATCGGAACCGCTCCAGCCTCTGCTGCTCCAGGTCTCGTTCGTGGTCGTAGTGCTCCTTCTGCTGGAGCATGTGCTCCAGGAGAGCGCGGTGAACGATCAGCTGCTCGACGCGGGGGTCCGTGAAGGTGGTGTCTGAGGGGCGGCGACGGAAGCGCAATCGGGCCCGGGTGCGGGTGGTGCTGGCCTGCACGGTCGACAGGAGGGCGATGTGGGGACTGTACATGGCTCTGACTAACTCCGGATTGGACTCGACTGAGCGTAGAATTACGAAATGAATGCGACTCTGTCGGATTTTTATATGATATTGAAAGTCTGTCGGTGGAAACCTTCTCGTGTGGAGGTCTTGAGGAAATGAAAAGGCCGAGCCTGCTTTTTGTTGAATTTCCAAAACTCAAAACATAGGTGTACTAAGTTTTAAATAATATATTACTCTTCACACTGAAACGCTTTTTCACATATATCTATGTATATGTATATGTATGTATCTATGAGCCAATATAAAGGTCTCTGCTTTGGGGAGAGTATCCCTCCATGGATCCCGAAGCAGATTCCTTCGAGAGCGTCGATTACCTATCGACGCTACCGTTATCGCTGTCATATGTAATCGTTATCGTTGCTCCACTCTCAACTTTTGGTGTGATTATTTTCAATGTACATTAATGATATCTATTCATATGGAGTACCGAGGTCCAACATCGAGAGAGTCATACAACGATTTGTTTATTGTTTGTTGATTTCGTAAGCCCCGAGCCCCAAACACTTGTACAACTCTCTCTCTATCTTCTCTCTCTTTTTTTCTTTATTTGTGTTATATGCCTCTCTTTCTGCCTATCGATGTGTGTCCATCTCTGTCTACCCACTCTAATGCTATACTTTTGACACTCATGCATTATCTGTTATATGATACTTGTTATACTCGATCACAACTTGAACTACAACAACAATCAACTACTACTACTACTACTACTACTACTCCTCCAACTACAACTACCACCGATACCAATCGATAACATTCGATAACAACGAAACTCGTTACGGCAGGCTATGCTACTGATGGATGAAGCTGGACTTGGTGTAAATATCGTTCGTTTGGTTTCTCGTTTATCGTTATATTTGAGTTGAAACCGTTTGTACATACGACATAGCCCATTATACTAACTCGTACTAACCTATACTATATATCGAATATATCGAATTTGTGTAAAATATATCTAACATAGAACTAACCGCATGCATACAGTCACTCTGCATAGTCATAGATCCATTAACCAGTCGGAAATGGGATATGGGAAGGGGAATCCTCGGGTTTCCCTCCGATAACTTCTACCATTCTATCTCCCTCTCTTTCTGTATCTGTATCTATCGTTCTCTCTGTCTTTAGTGTTCCGAGTTCCGTGTGCATGCCCTGTCTCTCTCTTATTCTTGATACTTTCCCTATCAGAGCTTCCATAGAAGTATTTGAATCAAAACTAACCAATAACTGATGTTAAGATGTAGCCTAACCGACCCCGGAAACCCCTCGAGTCCTTGTCCTTGTCATTTAGATATGGCTAGTGTAGAGCCATGTGTTCTGCTTTGTCTAATCTATTGTCCTGAACTCCACAGGCTCTCACCTCGATGACGGCCACCAACCAGGCGGTGTCCTCCCAGCAGCTTTTGCCCTCCGTGCGGGACAGTCTTCAGGAGCCGCCCTTGCTGGGGTAAGTATTGTTGGGAAAGCTAAAGGTAATGAAGGTAATACTATAGGTTATGACTCCTCAGGGTTTCCCAAGTCCGGCTGCCACTGCAAACGCCTCCCCACTCGGCCCAGGCCAGCCAAAGGAACTCCGTGTCCGCCCAGGGCACTATCAGTTCCCGACAGCCCAGTCCGATGAACTCGCCGGCTCTGAATCCCTTCGTATACGGCACAGACGTCGACTCCGTGGACGTGGCCACTCGAGTAGCCATGGTGCGTTTCTTTAACGCCCAGAATACGCTGGCCAACTTTGCGGAGCACACGCGCACCCTGCGCCTCTATCCGCGTCCGGTGGTCGCCTTCCAGATCAATAGTTTCCTGCGGTCCCGGCCGAGGGCCTCCCAGTTCCTCAACCAATTCGCCCGCACCCAGGCCGTGGAGTTCCTGGCGGAGTGGTCGCTGACCCCCACCAACGTGGCCTTCCTGCGGGTCCAAACCGGAGTGATGGACCCTATGCAGGTGGGCGACAAGCCCAAGTGGTTCGCCCACGCCCTGACCCCCATCCGGTTCTCTGTGTGGGACGACGGCAGCTCCCTCAACGGTGCCCTCCGCTCCCTCAAGCAGCTAGAGTGCCAGCCCACGGACGAAAGTGGCTCCGACTCGGAGGGAGCGGACAGCAGCAGCTCCTCGTACAGCTCTCTGAGCGACTTCGTCTCGGAGATGGCCTCCTCGGACCTCTCCCCCAGTCTACACGATGTCTTCGGCTCTTACAACCGGCCGCACGTGGTGCCCCAAACCCTCTCCTCCAACCTGGACCCCGCCCTCGTTTACCATCCGCCCAGCAAGCTGCAGTACCCCGAGGGCATTCATGACGGAGCCACCAGCAAGAAGGAAGAAGAGGAGGAGGACGAACGGGCCGACTCACCGGTATCCTCCTCGTCCAGTCGCTCCGACCTCAGCTCGCCCAGCTTTAATCGCGACTCGGAGTTCGACTTCCAGCCGAAGGGCGGTGCCCAGGCTGGGGTTCCTGGCTCGGGAACCGGCGGAGGTGCTGGCTTCGAACTGGCTACTCGGCTGGAGGCCACCATAAAGATGGCCAGCGTGGAGCAAGAGGCTGAGCCGGACTCCAGAAGCCCCAAGGTGCCTGCGGGCAAGCTCCAGCGTCATCCCAGCGATTCGGAGCGTCACGAAAAGAAGCTACCGGTAAGAGGGCGATAGAACTTCTCAATGTGTGTCCTAATTCTTATGGTTTTGTAGCCACCACTTACTCCGCCGATCAAGCAGCCGGGTGTAAGCAACATCCTGGCCAGGACGGGCAGCTCCGGATCCAGTTCCAGCAGTCCGGGTCGCCAGAGCTCGCAGAGTTCGCTCTTTGAGAACTTCGCCTCGCACGCCAAGGAGCTGGTGAGGGAGACGACGCGCCAGAGCAGTCAGGAGGGTCTCCTGGCTCACGTGGACAAGGTGGGTCTTGGGTTCTGGGATGTTCCGGATGATCCGGACCCCGAACCGATAATGGGTATTGATGTGCCGATGTTGTGATCTGTTTTCCTTTCTTTCGTGACTTATTTTCCATTTTTCTTTTCCATTTTGTGCCTTGTGCCTTTTTGGTTTCCGTTTTGCTGGTTGTTGGTTGATTGACACTGATATGTATGTACCGTACTGTATACCGTACTGATACTTGAAACTGTAGCATGCGCAGGACGAAGATCTTGACGACAAAATGCGTCATACCTTCGAAAAGGTTGGTACTCCCGCCGCACTTACTCCTCAACTCCATTCCTTATTTTCCAACAACATGTTCCCAATTGTAGCTCACATTCCACCACATTCTTCACTCAGACCATAATGATTCCTTGTCCCTTACACGTCACATCTTCTCCTGCCTGGAGACGTCTCAGCTCCATCCTCATCCTGACATAACCCTTCACCAATCTAGTCATGGGATTCGTAGAACCTTGTAGTTGGGATTTGGGGAACTGGTAGCTTTGCTTTGTTCATGTGTAGATTGAGTTGCCTCGAAGGAAAGTATTGATTCCCTCTAATCCTTTGTTGTTTCGGCTCCACAGTTCACGCTGCACGCCAAGAAGGCGGCAGGCGAGGCCTCCAAGCAGGCCCTGGAGGTGTCCAAGCAGGCGGCGGGGGTGAGCAAGAACACCCTGGAAGACCTCACCTACGTGGGCAAGTCCACCCTTGGCGATCTGACGAAGACTGCCAAGGAGGCGGCCACCAAGAAAGGCATCATCAAGATCGAGGATCACCATGGAGGTGCGCCGTCTTCAGTGGGTCCTGGGGGATCGGTGCCTCCGGCAAAGGCTCCGCCCGGATCCCAGCTGGCCACCCAGAAGCAGGTCCAGCAGAGCGGCGGAACCGGAGGCAACAACTTCTTCTCCTCCATAGGCAGTGACTTCAATGGTCTGGCCTCCTCCACCTCCACCATGTTTTCCGGGATGTTTGGCAAAAGTAGGTCTTAAATGAGGTATTTTTTAGGAACCTAGGAACCTAATCTAATGGTAATCCCACAGAGAACCAGCAAAAGCAGGCTGCAGTGCCTCATAAAGCACCAGTGTCCTCCGCGAAGACAAAGACCGGAGGGCTCAACTTCGACCCCTTCCCGGGCAGGAAGGGCCTGGTCGAGCGCACGCCACTGATCAAGCACTCGGGTCCGCGGCAGACGCAGGAGGAACTGACCCGGCAGCAGAACCAGGAGCGCTCGCACAGCAACGCTGAGAATCAAGCCTTCTTGAAGGACGTCACTAACCAGGTCCTGGCTGGCGAAGGTGTGGGCTGGCTGAAGCTCAACCGCTTCAAGAAGCTGATGGAGGACGAGTCCTACCGGACCCTGGTGCTCAGCAAGCTCAACAAGACGCTGGACAAGAAGATAGCCCCCGACGACCACATCGACGACGTGGTAAGTACATGGCCTTGAGAGTCCGAATCGGTAAATGCTAATCCTGGACCCCTTTCAGTGCGTCACCAAGCCCGTTTGGAAGGGAATGCTCAAGTGCGTTCAGGCCATTGCCGCTGGGTTGGACGTGACCTTCGGAAACTTCGGTTTGGGCGGCATGGCCTCCGTCTTCCAGCTGATGGAGGTGGCACACACCCACTACTGGAGCAAGGAGATCAATGATGGCAGCGACATGTCCTCCAGCCTCCTCTCCAGCCACGCCGCCAGTCCAATGGGCAGCCGGGAGAACCTACGCTCCCCTAGCTCTCCCAACGGCTCCCACTCTGGGCTGGGCAGCGAGTGGGCTTCGCCCCAGGAGTCGCGCAAGAGCTCCACCCAGCTGCCGCCCTCAGGAGCTAGTGCCGGAGGCACTCCGGCTGCCAACCGACGCCTGTCCTCGGCGGACAGCCAGGACGGCCAGTCCACGACGGAGATGTTCAAGGACATGCTGTCGCAGAAGAGAAGTGCCTTGAAGAACATGCTCACCTCGTTCGACTCAGATGTAAGTGTTGCCCTGCTTTGGGGTCACCAGTAGCTCCTTAGTCCTCGTCCATGCCCATTCATCATGCCAGTTGTGTATATCGTATCGTACTGTATATCCGTATGTGTAGCAACCGCTTAATCGCATCTCAGTATATAGCTATTGCTAGATATAACCAGTATTTATCAATATATAGCATAAGTATATATCTGGCGAACCATAACCGCAATCGTAATCGTAACGTACTATATAGTATTTCGTAAGCGTTATCGTAACCGTTACCGTATCCCTGTCCCGAATCCATCTGTTTCGATCCGATCCGTATATCCGTACTGTTTCTTACAATCGTGTGTGTGTTTTTGGGATCCCTAGGCAGCCGGATCTACGGGCGCGCTCTCCGTGGTCAGCGATCTCCTTCCGACCGGCAGTCTGGGCGTCCGCTTGCCCTCCAGCTGCCGGTCCACGGTCTCGGACACCGAGTACGAAAATGTAAGTACCTCGCAGGCAGGATGAAGCTCTGGTAGACCTCCAAGAATTAGCCCTAAAATACCGAATGAATCCCCGAAAAAATTAGTCCCCGAAAATTCTTCCCGATCGTATATCTCAGACCCCGATAATAGAATCCTGCCTTATCAAAACCTGACCTTGCAGACAACCACGTCGAAGGACTCGAAGAAGAGCACCGGAAACCTTTGGTCCGGCAAGTCAACACTGAGCGCCGGCTTCCGGTATACGGGCGGACACCTGATCAACACCTCGTCCTCGCCCTCCCCGGACAGTCCCCGGGTGTACCTGTTCGAGGGACTACTGGGCAAGGATCGCCTGAATCTGTGGAACCAGATGCAGTTCTGGGAGGACGCCTTCTTGGATGCAGTTAGCCAGGAACGTGACATGATTGGAATGGATCAGGTGAGTCCTAGGACTGAAGTCATCGGACTTTTTGGAGACTCATTTTATCCTTTGCAGGGCCCCATCGAGATGATGGAGCGGTACAAGTCCCTGAGCGAATCGGAACGCAAGAGGCTGGAGCACGACGAGGATCGCCTGCTCTCGACCATGCTGTACAACCTGACGGCCATCCTGGTGATGCTGAACGTCAGCAAGGACGAGATCCGGCGCAAGATTCGACGACTGCTGGGCAAGAGCCACATCGGCCTGGTCTACTCGCAGGAGGTGCACAATGTGGTTGATCAAATCAACAATTTGGTAAGTAATCCATTGTCATCCTACCAAGACAATCTCAAAGAGTCATATTCTTTATTTTCCAGAATGGCAACGACATTGACCTGAAGCCACTGGGCTCGCGGCTCCTTCACCGCCAGAGCTTCACCGTCCACCAGGGCACGGACGTAAACGGACCGCTCCGGTTCATGGAGGTGCGGGACGACGGCCTGGTGCTGCGCTCGGTGGACGGTACCATTGTGGAGCGCTGGTGGTACGAGCGGCTGGTCAACATGACGTACTCCCCAAAGACCAAGCTGCTCTGCCTGTGGCGCCGCAATGGGGGTCAGACCCAGTTGCACAAGTACTACACAAGGAAGGTATGATGCTCCGCACACGTTCTGGGTATCGTATACCTCATAAATGGTTCATTTTCAGTGCAAAGAGCTTTACAATTGCATCAAGGAGGCAATGGAGCGAGGTGGCACGCCCACCAATGTCCCCGAACTGGGCGGAGAATTTCCCGTCCAGGATATGAACACGGGCGAGGGCGGCCTGCTGCAGGTGTGCCTCGAGGGTGTCGGTTTGTTATTCTCCAATAGCAAGGTGAGTCCTTCTCAGATCTCTCTGTTGCTCCTTCTCTCTCGCTCTATCTCTCTTTCTCTCTAAGTCGATCGATGATCCCTCACCAACACTTGGCACACACACTCACACAATCACACACACACAGACACAGACACAGACACATAGAAACATTAACACGCGTATCATACTAGTATATGTATATGTAATTTTTTTTCCTTACCAAAATATATATGAAACGTCATCAAAATCACCTCCAAAATCGAATCCCCCCAAACCAAATCCATAATCTATTGAGTACAGACACACTTTATAGACCCAAGATCGATTTTTGTATCCTAGAATACCCCGTCAGACATCACAGTTGGTGTTGCCACGATAGAAACCCTCCCAGAAGAGACACTCGCCTGTGAATGGGATTGGTTGTCTCGAATAAATCAAGAGATTAGCCTTAATTAGCAGTTAGGATGTGTAATTTATTTTGCTTTTGTACAGAACCCGAGATAAGGGATATACCCGAACATATCCCATCGATACATACTCTTCCCACTCTGTCTTTAACTCAGTGATTTATTTTCCTTTTGTTTCGTTTCCATTTCCGTTTCCGTTCCATTCCGTTTCGTTATCGTCTTGGTTTCAAACTTATCGCTTTTGTTAAACTTATCGATTTCTGATAATTTCCTTGTTGTGTGTGTGTATCGACTGCATCAAGATCAAGGACCCTCTCAATATACATACATCTATCTATATGTATAGGCATACATATACATACTATATATACTATATATACGATATTATGTTTGGTTTTCAGTTCATGCTTTTCCGATATGTCTAACTTATGTACCCGTTATGCGAATGAACCACAGTCACAGATCTCTAGGAGAGAAGTAGGACCCGACAGTGTCTATTTATTCAAAACAAAATCTATAACCGAGTCTGGCTCACGAATATATATATATATATATATGATATATGATGACATATCTGCTTTCCAGGCCGGAAATGTCTCGATCTCTACCGTTTCCTTTCGAGAGTTTCTTTTTGTGTTTTGGCCCCCAAAACCGGAACCCGAATCCGCATCCGTATCCGATTCCGTAATCCTATCCAACTACGTATTATCTCTCTATCTCTCTCTCTCTGTCTCACACACTATCTCTCTCTCTCTTTGTCTGTCTCGTTCTAACTATTTGTTTTTTTGTTCCGTTTATTGGCTTTGGTTTTGGCATTTTTTTTACTCGCCTTCTTAAATATCTAGTTATATTATTCGTAAGACATCATACGATCCACAAATCGAATTAAAAATAAAAAATAAAAATAAACAAAAACCGAATCTATTATCTTATCCAATCTCTTATCGATCAAGTGAAAGTATATATGAAAAAAATCAAAAAAAAATATACATATATATTATATATGCAGAAAAATCCATCTATATCATTCCCATATATTGTGCTAGTGAATGTACTGAATGCTGTATTCATTATACTCTCTATTTTATTTATTATCTAACCGATTCAATGATAAAAAAACATCAAATCAAAATAGCAAAAGACCAAAAACAAAATTAAGAAATCGCATTTCTCCTTTTCATTCTTTTCGATTACGATTGACATTCTTACGATCCTTACGTTTGGTTACTTACACTCACCACGTTTGATATTTGTTGATATTGTCATCTTACTCTCATCCTATTTGTCTTGATTAACTTTACCGATTATTTCGATTACCGATTACTGATTAACGATTTGTATCGATAGAACAAGCAATCAAACTTTGTATGTATTCCCAAAAAAAAATAAAAAACAAAAGATCCCCTCATTCCCACATGAATCTAGGTATTACTTAAAATAGGTAGACAAAATACGACCCTGCTCCCTGTACATATATCGACTATAGAATATCTGGGTTTCGATCAAGCGGATAAACCGGTTTTGGGGGGATACCAATCCGATAACTTGTTAAGTTCTTATTGCTTATCTTTTTCTCGTTTAACCCCTAAATCCCTTTAAAGCTCATCCCTCCCAATCGAATTTATGTGTTTATGTGAAAAACGAAAAGAAAATGTTATAAAATGCTTAACGAAAAATAAGTTCAAGATGAAAGTATTCTAAGCTGGTAACTTTTGAGATGGTCCTTGTGATAATTCCTCCAAAGTTCTGATTTCTTATTGATTTTTGCTATTTGTTTTTTTTTTTATAATCTCTTTTACAAAATATGGATAGATATATAGAGTGAATATATATGCTTCCGTCTTTCTTCTTTCTCTAACTTTTTTCCCGGTGAATGAGACTTTCGTGAGCCCAGAAATTTCTGTCTTACGTCATTCCGAGTCCCATTGTAATTTAGTTTCCGTTTTGTTACTTTTCTGTAGCGTTTTTTTTATTCATTTCTTATGCAATAATTCAATTTCTTTAAATTCCTAAGTATGGTAACAGAAAACAAGTACAAATCACAAAACGTAATTTAAGTTATCGTAGCCTTGTCCTACCCATGATATCTCTCGATTGTTACCGATTACCATTATCGATTACCGATTATAAAGCCAAAACCAAAAATCAATCTAAAAAAAAAAAATCCCCTCAAATGTCCCCCCCGTCTAAGCAAACGACTCTAACATAACAACAACAACAACAACAAGCACATTTCATATCGTTTCTATTTAGTAGATACTACCAAACAAAAAAAATAATCAATTAAAAATCCAAAACAAAATTCGCCAGTAAATTAGAACCAAAAATCGAACAGAGAAAAATCTGTAAAAAAAAAAACTAACAAGCAACTAAAATATACGATTGAAAAGTTTTTTAAAAACAAAGTCTTATCAAATTTCCTTTTTATAATTTTCTTTGTTGTTTGTTTAATGTTCTCTGTCGAACGCGGAACGCTGCACCGCTGCTCGCTCTCCCTCCTTTGTGGATACCAAAAAAAAAAAAAAAAACTATATATATTATATATACAAAACGAACAAAAAAATCAACCAAAATATTACGTTCCGTCTCGAACCGAAACCGAACTGATCCGAAACGAATTGCATTATTCCAATGATTGGTCTACTTCTCAAACGCAAATAAAACGAAAAATAACTAACAAAATCTATGTAAAAAAAAATAAATACGATCTGAAAATGTCTGAAAATACGATAAAGGATTTCGAGGTATTGAAATGAACAAATTTCTTGTTATATTTGAATTTAAATTTATAAGCAACTATTGTTCTTTTAACGCCCTGTCACCCACCACTGCCATCCCATCCACCAGATCCCTCACTAGTCAACCCCAACCACCCAGTTTCCCCAACCCCCCTCACAACAATAAAAAAAATTAAATAATAATAGAATATATATTTTAGTTTGCGTTGCTTTTGAGTTTTAACTTAACACTTGATTTATCCTTCTCTTTCACCAACCAAACAAAAAAAAAAAAAAGGTAAAAACAAAAAGTATACAAAATCTCTGATATGGCATTGATCAGTTGATAAAACCAAAACCAAGTAGTTGATATTGAATTTAAGCATTAAGCCGAAAATAATATATATACCATAATGTATATTATTTACCTAAATACATATATATTTTGTGTTACCATCTCTTTTGACTCTCTATCTCTCTAACCCAACTGAGATTTTCTTTTTTGAACTGTTGGTTGATTGATTGATTGATTAATTGATTGATTGGTTGGTTGGTTGGTTAGTTGGTTTGTTTGTTGAATTGAACTTGATTGAATTGAATTGAATTGAAACTGAGCCGTACACTTTGTATACCTTACTGCAGATTACCAATTACCAACTACTGATTACCGATTACCGATTACCTGTTATTGATTACTGATTAGCAGATTACCATTTATCATTTTTCGCTCACAGTTCACTTTTGATTTAGTTTGTTATTTCACCCCGTCACCAGCGATTACTGTTACTGTTCATTTTTGGTGTTAGCCAGATCACACTGTAGCCCACTCACACCCACACTCGAGCCTGGCCACACTGAGGTGCCGAAATGACAAGCCTGGTCACACTGTGGTGCCAAAACACCCCCAGCTTCGAGCCCCCGAGCATGCCACAGTCCGTCCGATACCGAAACCATCCAGGCACCTAGCTTTACGTAATTCCCCCTCAATTCTGTGAGGACTTTGCATATACACATGGTTGTGCTGTTTCATTCCCTTAGTTTTTTGTCACTTTCTGTTCCATTCTGTTCCGTTTCGTATTGTTATTTTTTGTTAGCTGGGGCCTGAGCTAGTTGGGCTTCTAACCCGGAGCGAACTCCCGAGAATAATAACCAGACACGAGCCTAGGATCTAGTCACATTTTTTTTTGGTTTTGTTTGTTTGCGCTTAGTACTACGCCGCAGAGTGTGCCAGACGACAATTTACCGAGTTACCAACCATAGACAATACAAAGTTTCCTTAGTGTTGATTTTGCCTTTCAGTTTGCTTGTGTAGCGTTACTTGTATGACAAAGATTGCCCACCAATCGTAGTTGTAGTTTACCAATTAAGTGAATAAATGAATACCAATAATAAATACCAACAAAATCTTAAACGAAGCCTAACTCTTAGAGAAAACGAACCCTAGAAACCCTTAAACCTAACTGACAAACCTAATATAAAAACCACAAATACTAAACTTGATTTCAGACTCTGATGCTTTGCCTTGAACAACGTATCTATAAGATGTATCTGAATCTGTCCAGGCAGACTTCTTTCTCACTCTCTCTCTGTCTCTCTCTCTCTCTCTTGCTGTCTATGTGTTTCACTATCTCTATTGTTTCGTTTCCAGTTTTGTTCCATCTCTATGATATCGAAAGTATCGCGCTTGAAGTAATCGACGCCCGAATGTCGCTCTCATTCGATTATTTCCGTTAGTTATAATGGTAGTGCCACATGTTGCATGCCGTTACATGTGAAGCCCAATGCCTGACCCTCTTCATCACTTCCATCCTGTCATCCTCCCATCAAGCAGTCCCTCCCATACTAAAAAAAAAAAAACTCTAAACTAGTCCAGTTCCCCTTTCTGACTTTAAGAGGGCTTTAATTGTTCCCCAGGGAGTATCCTGTGAAGTCTTTTTGACGTCTCGTCCTGCAAACTAACTTGCTAGATGCCTTGGAACGAAACATCCCCACTTTTGTTTAAGTGTTTCGATTTTTTTCTCTATAGAGCAACTATAAAATGAACACACAGAACACCCAGACACCGAACACTGTAGCTTAATTTACAATTAGTTGTTTTTGCGTTTTGTATTAGTGCGATTGGGGTTGCTCAGGTGAACAACTCTCGTTAATATGTATTACCATATACTATATAATATGCATAGAGCCAACGCCTTCGTATCCAAATCCAAGCTACTTAGTATACGACCATCTCACAAGTGCTAATTAGAATCCCCGATCCCTCGAACAAAAATTTACTAAATAATTCCATAGCCAAACCAAGCATACATATTGCCAAATATATATGCCTTAATATAACATAAATATGGAACCAAAAAACTAAAAAAAGAAAAACAAGATTTTTGGAAAAAGATCTAGTTAACCAAACTTTTATTTAATTTTGCTGCATTCTCAATCTCTGTTCTCTATCGGTTTTTCTGTTTCCTTGAGTTCCGTTTTGTTTCCTTTACCATTCATTTCATATATCCTTTTTTGGGTTCGACTTTGTTCCATTCGATCCTTGCGCACTGTTAACCGCCAAATGGCCGAATGCGGCCCATGTACATAATGTGAATGTCGTTGACTGTACTTCTCACCCCAAGCGCTTACGTAGCATTTAGCATTTGCCTGCCTGCCTTTGTTTTGATTCCATTTGGTTCCGTTGGGTTGCCTTGCATGCTGTTTTTACTGATTTTCTAGTTGTATACACCTGAAAATGTCATTAAGTAACTAATTGAACGAATATCCCCTAAGATATGCTCCCTCCATTTTTATTTGTCACGTTTACTGTCTCTCTCTCTAACGCTATCTAGCTATCTATTTCTCTCTATTCCCCTGTAAACCCCCTCCTCAGTTGAACAAAAAGTTGTTTTGGTGTGAAAGCTTTTTGATTTAAACCGCCTTATGCCTTATGATTTGCTTTCCGTTCCGTTTCCGTTTCGGTTGCGTTACGTTTCGTGTCTTCCGTTTCGTTCCGTATCCCTTTCGTTACGTTACGTTACGTTTCGTTTCGTTCCACTCTTGCGTTCTGTTCCGTGACGGAGCCTTGAACCCAAAAGCAACAAAAGAAACTGCCAGTCAGTCGCAGTGAAGCTTAATTGACTCTCTTTTCCGCCCGTAATTTCAGTTCTTCGTCCGGCTGGACCACATCCGCAAGTGTTTTACCCAGAAGGGCGGCATCTTTGTGCTGGAGGAGTACAGTAAGTACTGTATATGCCAGAATAGCATTCTACGAGTACCCTATCTCGATGCATAACTGACTTTGATTGATTTATTTCACTTTTTTCTCTAGATCCCAAAACGCGCAATCTCATCCAACGGAAGTACCAGTCAAGCATGGTAAGTACTGCGATCTCGTCACCCCAACTCACCACAGCTCGCCACCACAGCCATGGTCACACTACCACTTGCACTGTTTCCATAACTACGGGACTGTACATAAACATGCTTAGGCCTATCGTGATTTGCAGATTTTTGTACAATGCAGATCCATTTGCTCCGATTATATTCGCTTATATCCATCAAGAATATATACATACGTGGAGCACTCTCACTTTGTATTTGGCACTTTGCACCTGATCCGACACCTTTGTACATTGTATATACAGATACTATATATATTGAGATAATCTCTTTGATTTTTCCGTTTTTTCTTTTTCATTTTTCGGTTACCTCCGTTTCCGTTCTTTGCATTCGTTTTCTGTGAATATATTTCAATGTCAAACAACGACAACAACAACAACAACAATGCCTGCAACAACCAAACACACCACACGAACACACCACCAACACCACCTCATCAAATCAACAAATCATCTCGCAAACCGAAAACACTGAAAAAAAAAATATGATATAACTGAAACCCAACGAAATTATCGAATCTTGTAATTGAAAAAACAATCAAAATGTATGCGTAATTGAAACCCAAGGCGGCGGAGATCGTACTGAGCTTCCATCGGGTCACATCCGTGCAGTTCGCCTACATCTGCCACCTGAACGCGGCCAGCCAGCGAGGTACAGTCGGCGCCAAAAAGCAGGCAACCGTCCGGGGGACGACGGAAGTGGAACAGCGTCTTCAAGTGCAGCCACCAGGGAGTGCCTAAAGCGAGTGCCTAATCCGAATGAATATGAATCAAATCTATGTGCCTATGTAAATAAAATCCAAGAATCCTCTTTTATGTATCTACTATGTCTGTAAAACAGCGACACTGCAACCACAATCGAAACATTCAACATTAAACAGAAGCCTTTTAATTTTTTGGTTACCTCTTCAGTTGATTTCCGTTCAGTTTGTTTTCAATGTTTGCAAGAAGCATGCTTTTCGTGGCTTGTTTGTGCTTTGTTGTGTTTGTCCAAGCACCACCCCCGAACCACACCCACACACAGCTCATCATCCAACAAACAATACAAAACAAACAAGAACGAATCCTTTTTGGAAGCCCTCGAGCTTTAAAATCACGTATACGCTCCGCAGTCCGATCAGATTTGCTACTCGGTGCTGTGCGTCTTCTCCTACGTGGCGGCTGGCCAGGATCAGAAGAAGAACCCGGTGGTCATAACGCCCCAGATCCAGGACATTCACGCCCAGCAAAAGCAGAAGCATCAGCAGCAGCAGCAGAAACAGCAGCCACATCCTTCTCCACAATCTCATCCAGGACCTTCGGCGGTGTCTACCCCGCCCCCGGTTCAAGCCAAACCCAAGCCCCAGGCAGGATCGGGAGGCAACATCTCTATACGGCATACGGTGCCCATGCAGAAGCCCACCATCACCATGTCCACGGTGCAGCCTCAGGCTAGGATGCCCCTGCAAACGGTGGCTCCTCCTCCTGTGGCTGCTGCGCCGCCGCCGCCCGGAAAGCTGCCCCAACTGCCGCCACGGGTACCCTCCCAGCCCTCCACCGAGAGCTTGGCGTCCATCAGCTCGCCACCACCCAAGCTTCGGACCGGACCCCCGCCAGCCATCCCCCCACGTACCGGAGCCATCGCCCGCAGCGGATCGGTGCCGGCGGCCACCCGGGCCTTCGTCCGCCAGGCTTCTGCCAACTCAACGCCTCCGCAGTACACGCCGCAACCACCACCGCCCTTCGTCATACCCAAGCGGCACGGAGGCGGCCTGGCCCGAGCCTCCACCTTGTCGGCGGCTCCGGCAGCCGCCTCCTCCGGCTCCCCCTTCGGCCATGCCCATCCGCAGGCGCAGCAGCGCGCCAGCCATGGCAGCGTCGCTGCCTCTGTGCTCCAGTCCATGCCGGAGACGGAGCCCGGCTACGGATCTGGCTCCGGCTCCGGCTCGAGTTCCGGCTCCGGGTCGGCCGCGGGCTCCATTGCCAGCGCCTCACCGCTGGCCCACCGCAAGCACTGACGAAGGAGTTCGTTCTTCAAGTTCGGAGGGGGTGCCGCCGCAGCCCCAGCAGGGGGCGGGGGTGGCGGACCAATGGGGGAGGAGCCGCACCCCCATCCCCACCCCCGTCGCGAGGTGTGCCGCACCATTTGCATACCGTGGCTGTGATCCAAGAGGTCACCGTCGCCGCAGGAGCCGTTTCGTTCGAGTTAACTTAGCTAGAAAAAGGCCAAACAGAAAGGACCTCCTGGAAATCCTTGCAGTGACTGAAATACGGTATATATTTATTGTTGAAAGTATAGGTTTTAGTTGAGTAACAATATTTTAATCGTGGGATAGACGAGTGTTTCTTGTTGAGAGTTTTAAAAGTATATGTAGAGCATCCTTTTCACTGCAAGGTGCTCCGGTGGTCCTGTGGCACATTGTTTCTATATGCCAGTTATGCTATATACACATACATATATACAATTATGAACTATATTCGATTCTAGCCAAATCATATCATTAGCCGCATTAGCCGCTTCAGTCACCAACTACGCCCCATAGACGAATTGTTTCCTGCTAAGCTTTAAGGCAGATGGCGCCACTGAAAACCAATTTACTCGCTTTACCTACCTATCTATAGATCATAGAACATATGGGGACTCGACTATGTAATCGGGGCATATTGTATATATGCCCAGCAAGGGCACAAACCACAAACAGAAATTGAAGGCAATCTAGTTAGGGATATAGTATACTACACCAGGTAAACCCCACACCCACATACTATACTGTGTCTGTGTGTCTACGATCAGAAATCTATATAAATATAAATATATATATATTTGTGGTAAAGGAATTTAACTAGTTCTACAAGTCTAACAAATCCAAACAAATCTAAACCAAATCCAAAGGGAAGGGAAGAGGACACGAAAGCTTAAGGTATAAAGCCCAAGATCCTTGGGAGTAGGGGAGTTAATCTTTTAAGGAATTGTCAGGGAACATTTATGGAAGAGGGGGACTCCGAGGAGAGCAATACGCATGTCTGTCATATACAATACAAGATATATACACATCTATATATACTATATAATATACATACCGAATAAATAACTATTTTTGTTTGCTGGTTCTGGATGTTGACAAAAAAAAGGAAGATTATAAGAATAAACCAATAATAATATTGAATCCCAGCACCCATAAATACACACATATATATATATATGGTAAATGTACCCCTAATTGTGTATATACCAAACTATATGATCGATTGATTGTATTTTTCAAAGTTCAAACAGAATAATAAACAAAACAAAGAAAAGTGTGCCGCTTCCGTGTAATCTTTACAACTTCCCAGGCTCGGGGGGTCCAAGGTCGTCGTAGGGGGTCCACAACCCCCACTACATGGGCGCTGATAGCCCCCTGGCATGATTTCCCAAAGACCGCCCATCGGGGCCCGTCAAATGCGTCACTTTGCTGGAGCCGATTGCCCAGCCACCTGGTGTTTACAATAGTTCTGATTATTGTTTTAGTATTTTATTAATTTATTACCTAAGTATATACATAGTTTTAGTTACAAACGAGGCCAAACAAAAAAAAAAAAGGGAGATAATCGTAGTAATCGTAGGAGAATCATGCTGAGTTTGTGGATTCTTTCTCGTCACGCGGCAGAATCCGCAGGTGGATGCCATTGCCGCTCTTCATCACAATCTCGGCCAGGGGGCGAGGCTTGTGCTCCTCGTCTGGCAGGAAGCGATAGCTTCGCAGGAGCATGGAGAGCGAGGTCTTTAGTTCCAGCATCGCGAATTTCTGGCCTAGAATTATAGAAAAGGTAAGAATGATTATTTAACAAAAACATGACATTGGAGATTCCAAACCCCATTGACCTTCAGGTCTTATCTGTGTCTTTGTTAAGACTATAAATAAAATCATATTTTTTTTAAAATATGCGACATAATCAATGATTTTGAGCTAAAAATTTCCGCTAGTTATTTTTAAAACACCAGACAGATAAGAACAGAAAATAGGCAATCTCCCAAAATAGAAGAGAGATTCCAAAGAGGAGTGTTTCGAATAGTAACCCACCTATGCAGTTCCTGGGACCCGCACTGAAGGCGGCAAAGGCGAACGGGTGAATCTCCTTCTCGTTGAGGAGGAATCTGTCCGGATCGAACTTCTCCGGATCCGGGAAGTTCTTGGGGTCGCGGTGCACCATGTAGAGGAGACAGCTGATCGCTGTGCCCTTCGGCAAGGTCATCTTGCCCATCTGTAGGTCTTCAAGCAGCTTGCGCGAGAAGAAGGGGACGGCGGGGTAGATGCGCAGCGACTCCTTGATGACCGCCTCCAGGTAGGGCATCGATTCCTTCTCGCGGCCCTCCATCTCGCAGGCCTCCTCGTAGGCGCGCTGCTGAACCGCCGCGTTCTTGGACAGGAGGCTCAGGGTGAAGGCGATGGCCGAGCTGGTGGTGTCGTGACCCTCGAACATGAAGGTGTCCACCTCCTCCCGGATGTCCGTGTCGCTTAGCTCGGCCCCGCCCTCCATTTGGGTAAGCAGGAGCATGTCGAGGAAGGCCAGGCGCCGCTTGCCGCCCACGTCGTCCTGCTCGGCCTCCGGACGGGACTCGGCCCGCTCCTGGAGAAGCTGCTCCCGCCGCAGCCGGATGACCCTCGTTGTCTCATCGTGCAGGACCTTCAGGCAGTTGTCCCGCTCCCGGCCTGCCTGGGTGTACTTGAAGAAGACGTTCAAACGCTGCCAGAATGAGAAGCTCTGCTTGTGTAGAACACGGCAGATCCTGAGAATTGGATGGATTAGTCTTGCCCAGGACTACTGAAGCATCAACTTACGTCTGGACTGCCCTCACGTACTCCGAGTCGCTCTGGAGCTGGGCATGCTTCTTGATGCCCATCGCCGTCTCGCAAATGGCGTCCAGGGCGAAGAGGGTTATGTAGGGATAGATATCGAAAGACTCTCCGTTGGCCTTCTCCTGCAGGCGACGCACCAGGATGCGGCAGTTCTCCTCCATTGGCTCCTTGAACTCGCCCAGGATGCGGAAGTGGAAGCCCGGGGTGAGGAGCTTCCGCCTCCTGTGCCAGGACTCTCCTCCATTGGTCAGCAAGCCCTTACCCAGCCAGGGCTCCAGAAGCTCGTAGTTCCTCGACTTGGTCAGCAGAGTGTTGTTGCTCAGCAGCTGCTTGATGTCCTCGGGATCGCTGAACAGCACCGTGAGGTCCTTGCCGAACCAAATGCGGAAGACGGAACCGTGTTTCTCGCGCATTTCCTTCAACCAGTTGAGGATTTCTTCAGGGGAGAAGGAATAGGGGTTCCATTAGGAAACACAGTATATAAAGACTTAAAGTTATATCAACACCCACCTCCTTTCTTTACTGTGGCTATAAGTTCTCCAATGGAAGGTCCTGGCAGCGTGTTGGCGAACCTGTGCATCCTGAGGAAGTTGAGGATGCGCGGTAAGTAGCGCAGGAACAGGACCCAGAAGGCGAAGGCCAGCAGCGCCAGAGTATTCATGTTGGAGCTTTAATTACTTATGGACTGAAAGCCAGAAACCTGTTGCACTTTGGCTATCAAGTGGGTTTAGTCGTGGGCAATTGTGGTTCTGGTGACTAGGTAGCGGAGTGCTTTTCGCAACCGCTCGGCTTTGTGGCTCGTTTACAACTAATTCGCAGTCGCCACTCGAAAGCCACTTTCTGGGTTCGGGTGCGATCCGATCAGATCAGACTCCGGCGCACTGGAAAGGTGCGGCACTGTGAATGCCCTCCGGTTATCTGAGGATCCGCGGAAGTAGAGGTGTCTGCCCCACGAATCGGGTAGATGACAGACCCCGTCGCCGGAGCGAGGTCTCTGCCCTCTTCCGAAAAAAGCACTCGGATCTGCTCCTGACTCGGATCAGGCGATCTAGTTTCTCCCAAGAACCGTTTATAACGACGCCATCAAAGGCCCAATAAAACATTGCGCAGGCTGGCTGATTAAACCAAAGGTTTAAAGTACACACCCGAAAAGCAGGTCATTATCAAGAAGAAAAAAACCCCAAGGGGGCCTAGCCACTTAGATTATGTTGTAAACAAACTGATAGTCGGGTGTAAGACCTGCTTCACAGTGAGCATACTCTCCGAAAACAGAGGCCCGATCGCCAAATCGGGGATACGAGGTACCAGACTACATATATTTGTATGAGAAAAGCATAGCCGGTGACTGACAAACGAGTTCTATTGCAGCGTCAAGTGCAGTTGCAATGCCAGTTGACGTTGACCCACTTGGCTAGATTACATTATTAAATGATTATAATAAAATATTAAAGGCAGGGGTGTTCAAAGATGGCTGATGCACAACCTGAGCCCAGAAGAACTGATCTACTTGACTTGCAAATTAGGTAATAGTGTTTTATCCCTTGAAGCACTCTTGAAGATTAGAACAATGTTTTCAAAGGTATTAATACTAAGCTCATATATGATAGTTCTAAGTAGACTTATAGTTCTACAAACATTGTTTTTAAATCTAATAATCCAGTGTTTCTTAAGCTATTAATCTAGTGGTTATAGCTATTAAAATTCTGTTAATTGCTCCCCAAATCTGTAACCCACCTGTACAAACTCGAAGGTGTATCTGCTGATAGCCCCCATAAAACACGGCTTTAATCTGATTGCAATTATCACTAGCCCCGACCCCAAGTGGCAATAAAGTTACGAGCAAAGCTTATCTCTCTGTAGTTCACTTTTTATTTGAATTATAGGTCTTACTGCTAACTTGGCAGTTGATGCACATTTTTAAAATTGCTTTTACGAGAAAAACGCTTAATTGACACGTTTGTGTATAATATTTTTAAAAACGTGTATTAATTGATTTTTATGCACCCGAGAATTATAAAAAGCTTTTGGGTTTTAGCTTTAAAGAGTTGAATATCTTAAGATACTTTTAGGCTGATTTTGAGAACTAAAAAGCACTTATTCCGCACCTTTAGTCTTTTATCCCCAACTCTAATCATCTGGCATTGATTTAAAACCCAGACTTAAGCAAATATAGAGAGTCATGGCTTCAGCACATTCCCCATCTCTGCAAAAAAAGTTGTTAACTTTGCAGAAACAAGCGAAAACATGGCCTTATCAGGTGGGTCAAGGTCGTGCTGGCCACCCAATCAGTCAGTTGCCCAACCCCTGGCCAAAAACCAATTGTTTTGGTAACAAAGTCCAGGCGATTTCGCACTCGGACGTGCTGACAGGTGCTGGCCAAATTGAACCGGTTGCCGATGGTGGCCAAAGCCCAATACCCAAAAAAACTGAAGCCAAAAACCCTTTAGATTAGATCACGATCACCCTGAACCGGTTGATAGGTTTGAAGTTTATTTATTTATTTGAATTAAAGCCGGAGAACTCGGCGAAAATGAATAGCGGCCTTGGCCCGGCCTGGCATTCCAGAAGAGACAGCTGAAGACTGCAAAGTCCAAAGATGCCAAAGAAACCACACCAGATCAGCAGTTAACCCAGTAGAGGCCAATCGTGGAGAAGAATAAATCAGAAGAGATCGGACAGGTAAACCCTTAAATGGCAAGAAGCGAAGAGTCCAGAAATAGAAGCTCCTCGGTGGTGATTAGCATATTCCGACAATCTGCTGAATCATTATTTATGCATATATTTAAGCCGTTCGATCATCTTGGCTATTTGCTGTTAACTTGATTCTAAATACTTGGATATTGGCTTGTTTATTAAATGGCAATTTGCCAGGCAACGATGATAATAACGCCCCGATCGGCTTGCACGGAAAGTGGAAGTGCTACTCTGCTGGATCTAACGTTCAATATCTTCTAATTGTTTCGGGTTTCGAGTCCTAGTTTCTCGATGGGCCAGCTTTCTGACTTAATTCGCAGAGAGTTATAAAATTAAATTAGATTTAAATGCAAATGCGGTATACTCTCTTTATGCTGATCAGAGATCGGGCCGCCATAGAAATTAATTCAGAGCTGGAAATAGATGCCGAGTCTCTATTATAGATGTGTCAATGACTTGAGTCAACTCTGGCCAGACATTCTGTGCGGAGTGACTCGATCATATGAATAGGAAGGCTTTCAGATGTAGGGCGTGGCCCAGTCCGATGGGCTTCACTGACCGCTATTTGAACTATATTCGCGGAATTACTTGTTTTTTTTTTTTTTAGCAACTAATCGACCTTTGGATCTGGCATCGTGACGTCAAGCTCTACTGCACTTCCGGGCGGGGCTAGACTTTCCCAGACACTGCTTCGAATCGAATTTATGCAAATTCATCTGCCAATTAATCTTCCGATTTGGCAAACAACTTTCGGATCTCCGCGGAATGCGGCTTATTCTTCGGCCTATTCCGGCGGCCGTGTAAACAGAGCTCTTTGTTTTTTTTTGGCCGAGACCTTGAACCTGCCGATGGGGGAGGTGTACTTTGGCGGAGGGATCTTGGCCACATCAACTTTGTGAATTGATCAGCAAACAGACAAAGCCATGTCCACATGAGCGTACATACCAAAGAATGACAGGTGCCAGACATGAATATAAAAGGTGATCAACAGAGATGACAAAAAAGGCTGTCTATTTCGAAGTAAGAAGCTAGGAAGCTTCCTTATAGCTAGGAAGACTGTTGCCCATTTTAAGAGTAACTTGTAATCCCAGACTTACTCTTTCGGAACGCACTGTACTGACTGTATACGGATCGCTGGGATTTGTTCGAGGCGTAAAATACGCGAACATAAATTGTCTTTACGGCATTTAAATGGTTGCCTGCTCTTCATCTTTTTGCCAGCGACTGGGCTGCTGCTGCTGCTGCTGTTAGTTTTTAGTTTGTTAGTTGTTCGTTTTTAATTTTGTTGTTGGCTTAAGCTTGTTTAGTTGTCCGGTACTTTGTTGTGATTGTCAGTCTCTCTCATTGACAGTGTGGAGCAATTCGGGCATGTGTTCTTCCGGGTAACAAAAAAACTTTACGAGCCTTGGCCGTCCCAGCAACTTTGAAGTGTAAACGCAGCCATTAGGCATCACGGCCTGGAATATAGTCATAACATTATACAGTACTTCCTCAACCAGGCCTCAATTGGGGTAGTAACTGAGGCGCTTTATGAAAGGCCCAGCCCCTCCAGAGAAGGAGGATCGGGTCACCTGGGGGGTCAGGTCCCACATACATACTTTGTCGCCGACGACAGCACGCGTGTCGACAATCACTAGTGATTTAAAAGCCATCAATCACTATAGAGTCTTCTACATTCTAGACTCAATGGAGCTCTAGAGAGGTTTTTGGACTCTTGAAAGGTAACTTTTAATCGTAGCATAGGAGCCAGTTCTTCAGTTTTATTTCTGGTGGCGATGATTTAATAGCTCATTAAATCCATGCATTAAACGAAAAGACAAACAAATTTACGGGAGAACGCCACGCAGAATCTTAAATTTAATTATATTTAATTGCGCGACGGAATTTGAATTTGAACTTTAGCATTAGTTGGGCCATTAAGCAGGAAACTCAAAAGCCGAAACTGCCGAAAAGTGAGTATGGCATGGGCCTGGCCCGAAACCCTCTGCTGCCCTTCAAGGTGCACCTATCATCGAAAGCACCATCATCTGCATAACGTGGCCAACACACACACACGCACACACTCTTGACCAAAAATCGACAAAGAAACTGCTTAAAATTCCACATACAAATCGTTGCAGTGGCCGCTGTTGAAAACGAAATTGAAGCTGAAATCGAAATTGAAAATAAAATACAAAAAACGGGGAAAAAAATGGGTTACAACTGCCAAGGTCGATGCAAAAGTTGAAAGCTGAATCAGTGGGCCGGGGTGTGAGGGAAGAGGCCTCAGCCACCAATGCATTTGTGCACTGAAAACAAATAGGAAATGGGAGATACAAGTTTTAGATTACAAATATTTATTTAAAATTTGGATAATCACACAGTATAGTCTTTATTATACAATATCTTATCTTCTTTTATTTGTTTTAATCCATATGTAATCGATTTTCTTCCTCTGTAGGACACGCAACACTTCCTCTTGAAAAACAAAACAAAAGACTTGTCCAAGACACAAACTTGATCGGCGTCATTACGTTGCCCATCATTTACGATCAGCGTCATCTCTGATTATTTCTATTGGGGTTTTCTTTTATGCATCCACGGGTTAAGAAAGGGCACGCTTAACCCATTGACTTCCCACAGTTTTTGGATATTTGATTGAACTTAAAGGTTGCTGGAAAACCCAAAGCAATGCCTCTAAGAGGTTACATATGCTTCCATTAGATCAGTCATATAATTAGAAATTAGAACTATTCATTTAGCTTTCCAAGAACTCTTTACTTTTAACATTCTGCTGCGAATATTTGCCAGCTTTTTATTTGAAACTTTGTGGTTTTCCTGCCATGTTTACATGGCTCTTATTCGAATCTGTTCGGTTTGTTTGAGGTCGCTTGTTTGGCCCGCAAACATTTGGTCATGTTATCAGTGCGGTTTCAGCCTCATTGGTCCCAGCCGGGCCGAGACTAATTTTTCGGATGGCTTTGGGTGTCTGATACGGAATTTGTTGCCTCAAGCTTGTCGGACAATATTTGGTAACAGCGCTGTGTTTGGCCAAGACAACCGGTTGGAGATGCATTTGCATGAAGGGTCTCTGCCACATCATCTCAAGCTCCAGCTCCAGCTTCAGCTCCAGCTCGGTCCATGCACTTTGATGGACAAACAAGAATGTTTTGTTATTTTTTTGGGGAGACTAATGGAGCCGATCGGCTCCATAATCCGAAAGCCAAATTCGCACGAAAATGCCAAAAAGCCAAGACGGCAACATTTCAATTGGCAACGCAGCCGCAAAAAAAAAAAAAACAAATTGCCACACTCGATGCACGTTGCACGTTCGACGTTCATCGTTGGTTGTTGCCTCTTGAAAAGGCCGAACATGCAACCAGCAACTGGAAACTAGCAATAGCAACTAGCAACTGGCCACTAGCAACTTGCAACTTGCCACTTGCAACTTGGCCTGTTAATGAGAACGGGCCAGACAGTTCCGCGGAACCAAACTGGCTCGGATTGCTTCAGGCCCCCTCAACAGACATGGCCGGCAATTGCCACATTCTTCCTTTTGGCCAAAGAGAATGGTTATTTGGGCCTACCCCACTACAGGGTAACCGAAGGTTGATCAGAAGCTCTCAAGCACCGGGCTTATTCGTCAAAAGTGTCCAAAAATAAACAAAACCCATTTTGAAAAGTGACACTTTTATTGCCGTGACTTTAGTTTAGTTTATTTTATATTCTTATGAGGTAATGGGTAATTATTTATTTTTAGATAATAAGTAATGGTTAGTCGCGTCTCAGATTGTTTACAAGTCTGTTTATAAATATTTAGTGGCTCTTAGTGATTTTTTTTTGTTTTTTTTGGCAGGTTCCGATTGCAATTTGTGTGCCCCTGTTGCAAAAACCCGAGAGCAACATTTGAGCCATATAGCCATTTAGACGGATTTATATACGTCGGCGTGGATATGTTTGTGTGGCCAACTGAGCTGCAAATTGTTGGCGTCGGGTCGGACTTGAGTAATTTGATATTGGCAACCAGACCAGACCAGAGCGGGTCTCACTTTCGATGCATTTGCGTCAGTTTCGTGTTGCCAATGCGAGCTTGCAACAATGCAAGGCATTCTGGGCCGGATGATTGAGTGATTGAATGCCTGATGGGCCGAAGCTACCGCTTCTGCTTCATCCCATTTGATTGACAGTCATCCATGGAACTTGTTTGTTTACCCGTGTCATCGAAACGAGTTATTGGCCAACAATGCTAGATGGCCGGCAATTACATTGCCAAACTTCTGGGGCCCGGCTTGGCCTTTAAGGCTCATCTCGGGCGGTTGCAACACCCCTCCGGATGGACTTTGGAAGACTTCTAGAGACCGCAGTCACTCACCTTTCTTTATCATCCAGAACCCCGATTCTGTCGTGTCATGCCAGTTTGCAAAATCTTACTCTCCTTCATTCGAGATTCAGATAAATTTTGGCCAGTAATCGTTACGTATTTTAAATAATTATTTATTGACATTTTGTACTCAATTGTATCTGAGCTCCAGATTAAGATCTTAATCGGATGCCATTTTTTAGGGCCTCAAGTAGGCTTTCGGTTTCTGCGATTATGAGCAATTAGCAGTGATGCTGGGAACTGGCAGGTGAACAAATTAGCAGGTGAGACCGAGCCGTTCTGGCTCAAGTAGTTGCATTGGCTTTGAGCCAAGTTGGAGCTCAGATCGGATCGTATCAGTTCGGGAATGGGAATGGGAAACGCTATGTTCAAGCTCTCAGTCCGACTTGCTCAAAATTCGGCTTGCATTTGGTTTTGAAATTCGGTTTGTGGCTAACACATACACACACACACACACACACTCATGCGGGCTCATAGAGACTATCAACCGCTGAGCCGCCGAACCGCTGAGCCACTGAGCCGCCGAACCTGAGCGGTCTTCGTATGCTCGGCGGCATTTGGACAATCAGTTGACGTTGAATGTTTCGTCTTGGCGGTCGCTGAAAAAACAAACCGCTGGCAGAATCTTCGATCGGACCGAAGACCCCTTAATCCGATAGCTTCTTGGCTAAAATCTGTATTGACCATTTTTTTCTGGTGTTCTGTCAGTTCTTCCTGAGTGTTCTGTGTGTGTATTATGTGCCAGGGCAGTGGCTCTAAGCTCTGAAAACGAATTCGAGTCTCTGCGAAAGGGTGTCCTTTTTTGGTCCTGAAATGTCCTGGATGACTTTGGTCTTCCTCCTGGCCGTGGCCCTCGCCCTGGGCCAGGCTCTGGAGGGTGTGGTCCAGCCCACTTGCAGCCTCAAGGACAACTGTAATCTGGGCGAAAACCTGCTCACGAATCCTGGCGGTGCCGATGGCTCTGTCGACGTCTCTGGCGACAAGCTGGAGAGCAAGATAGCCTCCATCTTCGAGGATAAGGTCAACTACAGTCTGAAGCTGTTTGCGGACGAAGCCACCACCACGATCCTGGAGTATCAGACGGCCAATCTCAGCGACTTGCACGCAGGACCTCTGGGAAACTTTTCGATCCATCAGTTGGAGAAAAACCTGGAGGAGGACGACCAGGTGGAGGAGGATGAACGAGGTAAGCCAGGAGTTCCCACAATCGTTCGCCAAAAGAAAGCTGTGTATGCAAATCGCTTATGAAATGTCAAAAACCGATCAATGGTCAATGATAGGTGGTTTTGTCGAAATAATTGCCCGATCACTTGGCATTATCCGTTGCCGGATCGTAGCCGCTTTCTCACGCCGCCCACACGGCCAACAGCCTTGGGCATTTCGGCCAACTTCTGCAATTGTAATTCGTGTAAAGCGTTTAATGCCGTCAAGTACTGACGACATTCGATTGTGACCCAAAGCGAATTGTTGCATAAGAAGTGCGCGTGCTTCAAATAAAATCAATTGATCGGGGGAGCGGCAGGGGGCCAGCTGTTTTGGTCAAGTTTGTGGTGAGTCAGGCACTTCCGGCTGCCCTTCCCACAATCCTCACATCTCTCTATCAGTTAGTATCTCTGGAGTTGGAGTTATCTAATCAGAGTCTACCTATGTCTTTGTTGTCCACTTATTCTTGTTAAAAGGTTTGGCCTTGTTATCTTAGCCGTTGCCAATATTTGCAGTTCAAGTTAGGAGGCAGCAGTCGCTGTGGGGGAAGGCCCCGCCAGACATCCCCTCTGGACAGTCGCTCCTTGAATTGGCCAAGTCAAGGCAATGTGCAAAGTCTCACGTAAACTAGACAATTTTTTTATTTTTTTGGCCCGTTTATAAGGCACGTAAGCAATAATCAAATAGACTGTTAACCCTCGGATATATTTTTTATCTCGTTAATTGGCTAATTTCTTAGTTCTTTACATGGCTAGTTCGAATGCGAGTTCAATCCCTCGATCGGTAAAAATTACCTAATCATCTCGAGATCGTTTCCGCAAACAGCATCTCAAGTATCGTGGCTACGTAATCGTACACCGGAGGAATAATTCTAAATGGAGATGCTCCCCAGCTATGCTCCCCCCCCCCACCATAAATAAATTCCAATAATCAACCAGCCCAGCCCAGCCCATTTCCAGGCCCTCTTAAGTGGTTTTCAGTTTTTCGGTCTTTGGTTTCGGTTTCGGTTTTCGGTTTTGCCCACTTTGTGGCTCGTTTGTTTGCAATTGATCTTCGCTGGCCGTTGTTTTTGTTGCCAACTTGTCACGCCTGCCATGTGTTTATGGTTGTAGCATCATTTGTCCATAAGACCGCGACCACTCGACCACTTGACCGGCCCGAGTACCGTTAACTGTCGCCATAAAACCCAAAACATGTTACTCCGCCTGAACAGAATGATGAGCCTGATGGGCATTCATATTTTTTTTAAATGATCTCTGATATCAAAAATCCATTTAGATAGCAAGAATTAATATCAGTGGCAAACTGCCAATTGATTGGTCAAATATTGACTCGGCAAACCAAACAAGTTGGCTACAACACCGAAAGAAACCTGACTAACTACAGGCCATATACGCTAGTCCCTCAGTTGAAAAAGTCAGCTCTTTTCTCGCAGTGTAACTCGTTCAAACAAACAAGCTAATAACTGCAAGTCAGTGGCAACTCAAATGTTTGCCAGAAATCATTTTAAATGTTTTTAAATGTAGATGGGCCGCCGCTAATTGGCAATATGAAATCTTTTCTGTCATCGCGTTAACTTTATAATCGTAAAATCGACTGCGGCATAAATCAAACTCAAAAGCCAGATCATTTATGGCCGCAACTACACTGCTACAAAAATTAGAAACCCGACCCCAAACCAGATCCCACAACTAGAACGATATTGCCCAATAGTGGCGCCAAGGATTGCGCCAGGAACATTGGCCAATGGGGTCCAAAACCGAAATCCAGCTGCACTCTCGGTTTCTGAACTGCAAGCTGCAGTGAGTCAGTTTCTCACTCGACACTCAACTGGTTCTCAAGTGGGTCAGAGACAAGTACGAAACGCACACTCAGCAGCTCACCTGAGATATTTAATTAATTGAACACGCTAAAAAAATAGTATAGTTTTTGTTATTAAATTGGGAGCAGAAAGGTAACTGAAAACGGGGTCATCCAATAAGCAGAAAACGAAAGTCCGAGGCCCATACTTTCTTTAGAGTCTTGGGATTTGGTAGAACCTAGAACCTGCCTATAAGACCTACCCGGAGGAATCGATTCTGACGATCTGTTTTGTCATTTCGTATCATTTTCTAAAAATCTTCATAATTTGCGATGCTAATGAGGGAAGGGAACCGCGATTCGCACGGCTGCCATTGTTGCGGAGAAGTCCACATCCACAGTCTCCATGAGGGGACTGCCAAGTGGGGAGCTCGTCTCCATTCTTCCTCGTCTCCATTTGGAAAAGCAAAATTTAGAATATGACGACAGGTCGCATTCCGCAGTCAGAGCTCGTCCCACTCTGACGCATTTTAGCACTTTTTTCCCCACAAGCCCCAGACCAATCCCCTCCCCCCAAAAACCACACAAAAAGTACAGAGAAAAAAATAAAGTCCAGACGGATGCAGGCGGCTCTGATGGATGGATCGATGTTCGATGGTTGGCGGAACGCGATCGGCATTCCAAATGAGCCATGTGGGATGGATGGCTAGCATAAAAGTCGAAAAGTCGAGCCGAGTGGCCAGCGACAGGCCCGCCATGATAATTCGAAAATGTTAATCAGAGACGACAGACGGAATGCCAACTGGCTTGGTAACTCGGCTGCCTCTGGTGCTCCTCCTCGGCAGCACCAGCTCCTCAGAAGCCTGGCGCCCGCGGCGAGAGTCCGCGCGACCACTTCCTGGTCGCCACGTGCCGCTCCAGCAGCGTCGACCTTGTCCAATTTCGGGAGACCATAATGTCGTAGGCCTTAAGAGGCTTTATGGACCATTAGGGCACTGAGAAAAAGGGGGATGTCTCCACTGTTTAGTTTTAAAACCTATCTTCTATACAGCCCCCAGTTGTTTAAGATTTTAGCTTTCACTTTTCATTGGGAGACCCACAACCGATATTACATCATTCGAAAAATCGAATAAAATCTTATTGTATTACCGAAAAAATTGATATAAATTACTCCATAAAAAGCAATGGAGCCTAATAGCTGAGCTCTTTCGGAAATTGATCTATTTAGAGGCAATTCTATAAAAATCAAAGCCACTTGGCGGCAATTTTCGGCAATAGATCGTAAGATATAATAGATTTAAAGACTTAAGATTGGTGTAGATTGCATAATACTTTCATGGATACTAATTTAAATAATTTCCTGTCTTTCAGTCTATCTGTACAATATTGGGAAACGCTTTCTGGCCATAACGCAGCCTTTCGATCCTGCCAGGAACCCAGACGCCTCGTCGCTGTGTCGCCGGCAGATGCGACAGTATCTGAGCGCCTTGGACAACTTTGATCTATGGGCCTTGAAAAGTGAGTATCTAAGAACGAAGAGAAGCTCCAAGGTTGCTCCAAGACAGCTAATAAATTGGCAAAACAGACAAAAAAAAAAGCGGCAAGAAGTTCTGCCAGATATCGGATGAATGGCCAGAACCAGTTGGCTAGAATTCGAGTCATTGCCAACTGGCAGCAGCAGCAGCAGGCGACCGCCAGACAAGTCGACCCCAAAGTCGAATGCACTGAAAACAATTACGTCTATTTTCGGCCACTTTGCAGGAAAAGAACTTGGCATTCCATGTAAAGTCAGGCAAATTAAATGCCGACTCTGAACTTGGTTCCATGGCCGTGCGGCCTGATACTTTTGGCCGGCACTGTAGCTGCAGCTGCGAAGGCCAATCGTCGAACTTTACCCATATATTCGCATAAAAAAAAAAACCAACTAAACACATGTGGCAATGCCAAATGCATTTTGTTTTTTTTTTTGTTCTGCCGAGATCGGCAAAATTACAAACATCGGAGCGGATTGCAACTGCAACTGCAATACTGCGATCTGTGATTCCACGCGAACTTGACACAAAAGACCGCAAAGCTTAGAACGAGTTGCGATCACAGTCAAGGTCGCCACGCCCCGGGGCCTAGCCCACACCACCCACCGCCCACAGAGCAATCGATTCCGAAATAGAAAAGTTTAAGAACTCTTATACAGTGTCTCTGGAAGTTCATCAAACTGTTTGTTATTTTTTGATCAATCGATTGTCTCTAAATTATGCTAATTTATTTCGATTTTATTGACGCTAAACAATAAGCATATATCTCTCTGGTTTCGGCCATAAATCACACGATTCTTTTGAATTATTCTTGCAGTGCACGATGCCAGCGGAAAGCTGAACTCTGGCATTTTGAACGGCAACATCAATCAGCCGGGTGATTTCGACCAGTGTATGGGCATTCAGCAGCCCATGCGGGAGCAGGATCAGGATCAGGAGCAGGATGAGGATAACCTTCTCCGAGGTCAATACTGCCTGGCCTATGCCCAGCCAGTCCTGCCCCATAAATCGAAGCGCCTCCAGAGCTTCTTCAAGCTGATCCAGTCCCACGGACCCTTCAAGAGCGAGTTCAACGACGTGAGTATATACATTCTATAAAGATTAAACACTAAGTGTCCACTCCACCCGGTTGAAAGCTCCTTTAATGGAGAACGTGACCGAGATCCCGCCGATTGTGAGTCACTGGGCCCGGCGGAAAAAAAATCATATTGTACATATGTATGTGAAAGTTATGGGCCGGCCAAATAGATTGATTAACATCGGACCGCTAATCGCTTCCAATCCGACATTGAACTTGAACGTAGGAATATATATCGAAAGGCAGAGCCGCGAAATATAAGACGAAAGCAAAGCAAGCCATCAAACACGATAGACAGATGGCCGTAAAATGCAAATCGCAGAAATCGAAGCTATTCCGGCCAATGAACTCGCCAAAAACAAATGCTATACAGAGGGCTAAACTATGAACTAGTATTGTTTCATTTATGGCTGGGAAACCCGACAGCGGTGGGTCTGTGCACCCCTCTTGGGAGAATTGGCAAACATCTAGACAGGGTTTGGGGTCGTGAATAAATAACACAAATTTCAAAAGGGGTTCCCCTGCCAAACATTTGAACCAAATCGAAAGAATAGTTTGTTTATATACTTGGAGACAGATTGGAAGAAAATAATCTATGGTCCTTTGAAAGAAAGACTCGCTAAGGGCTCGGAGGTCCTTTAACCACGTAGATTTGGATGCAGATTTGAGGATAATCGGTTTATGAGTCATTTGGTGTATTCCGCTTAAGGATCGGATGAATATTGACCAAGTTATGGTCTTCCCAGTTGGCCACTAATGGCTCCCTCACTTTTTCCAAGGGGGTCCATCAGAAAAATGGACAAAAATAGTTTCCAAAATTTTGTTCCTAGATTTGGATGCAGATTTGAGGAGAATGGGCCTACGAGTCATTTGGTGTATTCCGCTCAAGAATCGGATGCATATTGACCGAGTTATGGTCTTCCCAGTTGGCCACTAATGGCTCCCTCACTTTTCGCAAGGGGGTCCATCAGAAAAATGGACAAAAATAGTTTCAAAAATTGCATTCCTAGATTTGGATGCAGATTTGAGGAGAATCGGTCTAGGAGTCATTTGGTGTATTCCGCTCAAGAATCGGATGCATATTGACCGAGTTATGGTCTTCCCAGTTGGCCACTAATGGCTCCCTCACTTTTTCCAAGGGGGTCCATCAGAAAAATGGACAAAAATAGTTTCAAAAATTTTGTTCCTAGATTTGGATGCAGATTGAAGGAGAATCGGCCTAGGAGTCATTTGGTGTATTTCGCTCAAGAGTCGGATGAATATTGACCAAGTTATGGTCTTCCCAGTTGGCCATCCATGGCTCCCTCACTTTTTGCAAGGGGGTCCATCAGAAAAATGGACAAAAATAGTTTCAAAAATTTTGTTCTTAGATTTTGATGCAGATTTGAGGAGAATCGGCCTAGGAGTCATTTGGGGTATTCCGCTCAAGAGTCGGATGAATATTGACCAAGTTATGGTCTTCCCAGTTGGCCACTAATGGCTCCCTCACTTTTCGCAAGGGGGTCCATCAGAAAAATGGACAAAAATAGTTTCAAAAATTCCGTTCCTAGATTTGGATGCAGATTTGAGGAGAATCGGCCTAGGAGTCATTTGGTGTATTCCCCTCAAGAATCGGATAAATATTGACCAAGTTATGGTCTTCCCAGTTGGCCATCCATGGATCCCTCACTTTTTGCAAGGGGGTCCATCAGAAAAATGGACAAAAATAGTTTCAAAAATTTCGTTCCTAGATTTGGATGCAGATTTAAGGAGAATCGACCTAGGAGTCATTTGGTGTACTCCCCTCAAGAATCGGATGAATATTGACCAAGTTACGGTCTTCCCAGTTGGCCATCCATGGCTCCCTCACTTTTTGCAAGGGGGTCCATCAGAAAAATGGACAAAAATAGTTTCAAAAATTTTGTTCTTAAATTTTGATGCAGATTTGAGGAGAATCGGCCTAGGAGTCATTTGGGGTATTCCGCTCAAGAGTCGGATGAATATTGGCCAAGTTATGGTCTTCCCAGTTGGCCACCAATGGCTCCCTCACTTTTTCCAAGGGGGTCCATCAGAAAAATGGACAAAAATAGTCTCAAAAATTTTGTTCTTAGTTTTTGATGCAGATTTGAGGAGAATCGGCCTAGGAGTCATTTGGGGTATTCCGCTCAAGAATCGGATGCATATTGACCGAGTTATGGTCTTCCCAGTTGGCCACTAATGGCTCCCTCACTTTTTCCAAGGGGGTCCATCAGAAAAATGGACAAAAATAGTTTCAAAAATTGCATTCCTAGATTTGGATGCAGATTTGAGGAGAATCGGTCTAGGAGTCATTTGGTGTATTCCCCTCAAGAATCGGATGAATATTGACCAAGTTATGGTCTCCCCAGTTGGCCACTAATGGCTCCCTCACTTTTTCCAAGGGGGTCCATCAGAAAAATGGACAAAAATAGTCTCAAAAATTTTGTTCTAAGATTTTGATGCAGAATAAAGGAGAATCGGCCTAGGAGCCATTTGGTGTATTCCTCTCAAGAATCGGATGAATATTGACCAAGTTATGGTCTTCCCAGTTGGCCATCCATGGATCCCTCACTTTTTGCAAGGGGGTCCATCAGAAAAATGGACAAAAATAGTTTCAAAAATTTCGTTCCTAGATTTGGATGCAGATTTAAGGAGAATCGACCTAGGAGTCATTTGGTGTACTCCCCTCAAGAATCGGATGAATATTGACCAAGTTACGGTCTTCCCAGTTGGCCATCCATGGCTCCCTCACTTTTTGCAAGGGGGTCCATCAGAAAAATGGACAAAAATAGTTTCAAAAATTTTGTTCTTAAATTTTGATGCAGATTTGAGGAGAATCGGCCTAGGAGTCATTTGGGGTATTCCGCTCAAGAGTCGGATGAATATTGGCCAAGTTATGGTCTTCCCAGTTGGCCACCAATGGCTCCCTCACTTTTTCCAAGGGGGTCCATCAGAAAAATGGACAAAAATAGTCTCAAAAATTTTGTTCTTAGTTTTTGATGCAGATTTGAGGAGAATCGGCCTAGGAGTCATTTGGGGTATTCCGCTCAAGAGTCGGATGAATATTGACCAAGTTATGGTCTTCCCAGTTGGCCACTAATGGCTCCCTCACTTTTTTCAAGGGGGTCCATCAGAAAAATGGACAAAAATAGTTTCAAAAATTGCATTCCTAGATTTGGATGCAGATTTGAGGAGAATCGGTCTAGGAGTCATTTGGTGTATTCCGCTCAAGAATCGGATGCATATTGACCGAGTTATGGTCTTCCCAGTTGGCCACTAATGGCTCCCTCACTTTTTCCAAGGGGGTCCATCAGAAAAATGGACAAAAATAGTTTCAAAAATTTTGTTCCTAGATTTGGATGCAGATTGAAGGAGAATCGGCCTAGGAGTCATTTGGTGTATTTCGCTCAAGAGTCGGATGAATATTGACCAAGTTATGGTCTTCCCAGTTGGCCATCCATGGCTCCCTCACTTTTTGCAAGGGGGTCCATCAGAAAAATGGACAAAAATAGTTTCAAAAATTTTGTTCTTAGATTTTGATGCAGATTTGAGGAGAATCGGCCTAGGAGTCATTTGGGGTATTCCGCTCAAGAGTCGGATGAATATTGACCAAGTTATGGTCTTCCCAGTTGGCCACTAATGGCTCCCTCACTTTTCACAAGGGGGTCCATCAGAAAAATGGACAAAAATAGTTTCAAAAATTCCGTTCCTAGATTTGGATGCAGATTTGAGGAGAATCGGCCTAGGAGTCATTTGGTGTATTCCCCTCAAGAATCGGATAAATATTGACCAAGTTATGGTCTTCCCAGTTGGCCATCCATGGATCCCTCACTTTTTGCAAGGGGGTCCATCAGAAAAATGGACAAAAATAGTTTCAAAAATTTCGTTCCTAGATTTGGATGCAGATTTAAGGAGAATCGACCTAGGAGTCATTTGGTGTACTCCCCTCAAGAATCGGATGAATATTGACCAAGTTACGGTCTTCCCAGTTGGCCATCCATGGCTCCCTCACTTTTTGCAAGGGGGTCCATCAGAAAAATGGACAAAAATAGTTTCAAAAATTTTGTTCTTAAATTTTGATGCAGATTTGAGGAGAATCGGCCTAGGAGTCATTTGGGGTATTCCGCTCAAGAGTCGGATGAATATTGGCCAAGTTATGGTCTTCCCAGTTGGCCACCAATGGCTCCCTCACTTTTTCCAAGGGGGTCCATCAGAAAAATGGACAAAAATAGTCTCAAAAATTTTGTTCTTAGTTTTTGATGCAGATTTGAGGAGAATCGGCCTAGGAGTCATTTGGGGTATTCCGCTCAAGAATCGGATGCATATTGACCGAGTTATGGTCTTCCCAGTTGGCCACTAATGGCTCCCTCACTTTTTCCAAGGGGGTCCATCAGAAAAATGGACAAAAATAGTTTCAAAAATTGCATTCCTAGATTTGGATGCAGATTTGAGGAGAATCGGTCTAGGAGTCATTTGGTGTATTCCCCTCAAGAATCGGATGAATATTGACCAAGTTATGGTCTCCCCAGTTGGCCACTAATGGCTCCCTCACTTTTTCCAAGGGGGTCCATCAGAAAAATGGACAAAAATAGTCTCAAAAATTTTGTTCTAAGATTTTGATGCAGAATAAAGGAGAATCGGCCTAGGAGCCATTTGGTGTATTCCTCTCAAGAATCGGATGAATATTGACCAAGTTATGGTCTTCCCAGTTGGCCATCCATGGCTCCCTCACTTTTTCCAAGGGGGTCCATCAGAAAAATGGACAAAAATAGTTTCAAAAATTTTGTTCCTAGATTTGGATGCAGATTTGAGGAGAATCGGTCTAGGAGTCATTTGGTGTATTCCGCTTAAGGATCGGATGAATATTGACCATGTTTTCTGGGTTCTCTTGGATTGGATTTAAAAGCAAAATAAAAACTGGAAATTAATCTACGAAATAAAAACTGGAACAGATTCCAGATAGTAAGTCACTCCGACTTGGTATAATCACTCTAATTGCTGTTTTTAATTGAAAGCGGAAGGTCAATACACCCGGAGCCGTGACTCGTACGATAAACAAAGGCAGCTCTCGAAAACCGGATACTGAAACCTCCATCTTGCCTCTTCCATTTCAGCCCGGACACCGTGTACCCCGCTACTCCCTGATCAACTGGGGCATCTGCGTGCCCTCCGGCTGCTCCGCCCGCGACGTGGAGTACACCGTGGCGGAGTATCTGGCCAACCAGACGGCGTCCACGGGAATCACCTTCAATGTTCGGGTGGAGCCCCAGATGTGCCAAGTGCGGGATCAGCGTCCCTGGGACAGGAATACCACCTGGGCGGTGCGGTTCTTCCTGCTGGTTCTCTCCGTGGCGGTGCTCTCCACCATCTACGATCGCTCCACCAAGACGCAACCGAAGCAGAGTAAGTAGCCCCGGCCTCAGAGCTCTAGGCTTGAGTCTTTACCCATATCTGTCCCCAAAACAGATGCCTGGTTTACGGCCTTCTCGCTGGACAAGAACCTGCGTTGGCTCTTCAGCACCAGCAGTGCTCCCGGAGACATTGAGGCGGTGCATGGCATCCGCTTCCTGAACGCCATGATGCTGATCTTCTCCCACAAGTCGATGGCCATGTTCTTCAACCCGTACAACAACCGCACGGCCATGTCCGAGAGCCTGGGCCAGCCGTGGACGGTGATTGGACGTGCTGCATCGCTCTACACGGATCCCTTCCTGCTGTTTAGTGGCATGCTCACGTCCTACTCCCTGTTCGGCCGCCTGATGAAGCAGCAGCCCATCCGGCTGAAGAACGAATACGTCAGTCGGCTGATGAGGATCGTCCCGCCTCTGGCCGCCCTCATCCTGTTCTGCACCTACGTCCTGCCGCTGTGGGGCAGCGGGCCGCAGTGGAACCTGGTGGTGGGCCACCACGCCGACATCTGCAAAAAGAACTGGTGGCGTAACCTGCTATTCATCCACAACTACTTTGGCTTCAGCGAGATGTGCCTGACGCACACCCACCACCTGGGCATCGACACGGAGCTGTTTGCCGTGGCGCCCCTGCTCATCCTGGGACTGTGGCGTTGGCCCCGCCGCGGACTGGCATTCCTGCTGCTCCTCTGCACGGTGGGAACGGCCGCCAGGTACTATACCACGATCGTCAACCAGCTCTCCAACTATATATACTTTGGCACCAAGTAGGTTTCCTCAACAGTTCCCCTCCTATTTTCATTTTAACACCCCTCTGCTCCTCCGTAGCATCCAGCGCCTGTTCCGCACTGCCGACTACATGTACTCCTTCCCGCCCCACCGCTCCACCGTCTACATCATGGGCATCCTGCTGGGCTACGTCCTGCGCAAGTTCCAGAATGCCAAGCTGAGTAGCCTCCAGCTGCGCCTCGGCTGGTTGGGAGCCACAGTCTGCCTCCTGGCCTCGCTCCTGGGTCCCGCTCCCATGGGCGACATCAACTACGTGTACAACTCCACCCACGCAGCCATCTACGCCGCCTTTGCGCCCATCGCCTGGTGCCTGTTCTTCTCCTGGATCGTCTTTGTCTCCCACAACGGATACAAAAGTGAGCCGCCGACCTGGAAAGAGGCTTCTTCCAATAAGACTTTAACTAATCACTTGATTTCCAGATAAAATCACGAAGCTGTTTGCCTGGCGAGGTTTCCAGGTGTCCACAAAGCTGTCGTATGCCATTTACCTGACGCAGTTCCCCGTCTTTTTCTTCAATGTCGGCCGAAGGCGTCACATCCATCACTACTATAACTTTGTTTCGATAATCGTGAGTCCTCCGAAGTTCTCCTGGGAGTCACAGATCTTATAGTCTCTCTTTTCGCAGCTCGACACCAACGAATTCATCTCGATCTTCCTGGCCTCTGTGGCCCTGACGGTGCTCTTCGATGCGCCCTTCCAGAACCTGAAGAAGCTGCTCATTAAACGTCCCACCGCCTCGCCGGCGAAAGTCCTGGCACCTTCGGCGGAAGCACAGCCCAGCACTGCCCCCCACCACCCGCACTCCGATTAGTCCCGCCCCACTAGCTTCTAATCTTGTAAATGTATCCCCTTTGTAGCATTTAGTGGCAAATTAGGATTAAGTCAAACCCGGCGCAGCCCAACCCATCCCCCCCCCCATCCCATCCCTAGGCTTAGTGGAACGCTTTATAATTTGTAAATTACTGTACTGTTAGTCAAATCGAGCGACGAGTGCGACTCCCTTTCGTAGTCATATAGGGCCAAAACCAATCAACTATCTTGCTTGCTAGACGGGTCTGAGGCGGTTTGGGCCGGGAGCCGGGGGCGCTGCCTTCGGATCTCGGCCGACCTGCTCGGACTCTGGATCCGTAGAATACTTACGTTACTTTAAGCCAGGTCGAATGTCAGTTTTTTTTATATGGTAATTTAATGAATAAAATCAAATATGTTACAAAATCTAAAAGGTTGTTTTTCTGCAAGAGTACTGGGGGATACCAACACCCTAAAAGTATGCAATGTTTTGGGTTAAAAGCACGCTTCTCAAGACTTCTGTTTTTGGGGTTTTGTTTTGGTATTGGAATTCCAGAACTCAACTAGTAGCACATATTGGGAACCTTTCTTGGAAATACATACTTCCGGGTTGGTTTTAAATATAGCTCATATTTTGATAATCATTATAGACCTGCTAAGAATCAAAGAAATATGCCAACATTAGTCTTTCATTCATAAACTTGATAATTTTTATGTGATCTGGGACTGTGATCAGATTCTATATAACCTCTACATATATATCTTTATAGTCTCTGCATAAAAACAAACCCACAGCAAGGCTGAACAAACTAAAAGGTCTAAGGTTAAGTAAAACCCATAATTTAATGGAAACCGCAGCCATTACACAGTACTCTTCCACATGCCCAGCTAGAAGTGGCTCCCAGCTCAACGCTTGGTACCGTCCACTTACCACATGACTGGCAATAACTCAAGAAAACGTGTTTCTGGCCGATACTCCAATAGGCTTATGTAAATTCCTGGTTATGGCCATCTCCGCTGAATCCTCCTTCCTGAGTTATTGCTGCCGCCGTGTGGTAAGCAATAGACGGTACATATGTCCCGAATCCAAACACTATGGCTATGGGAGCTTCTCAGCTGGCGGGCTTTTGGCGGTTTCACATTAAAAAAAAAATAAAAGGGGGTACACCTTTTAGATGTCGGCACATTGTTGCACTTCAAAAAAAATAATCACCATGAGTTCACTTAATAAAAAAAAACTTTCATTTATTAGCTCGAGCTTTTATTAGCTTGCTGCACTGAAGATTTTGAGTCGCCGCTTCTGATGGAAATGCCAATGGTGCTGGTGCTGATGCTGGTTGCTACTAAAGACGTTCAGTGGCTTCTAGTGGGGAATCTATTTGCCGGCCTGGACTGGCTTCTTGGGCTTGGCCTGGGTGCCTTCGCGGAATCCGTTGCGGAAACGGCGGCGCACAACCTTCAGGTGGCGCATACGGCCAGTGCCAGTGGTCTTCCTCCTCTTGGCCTTGACAGACCAGTTGTCTACGAATAGAAGAAACAATCAGTAAGGTTCTGGGTAAGTGAGAACTATGGTACTTACAGGAACGGAGCTTGGCTGCCGGGTAGCCGCACTGGGCACAGGTCGACTTCTGGATGTGGTAGGACGAACGACCACAACGACGGCACAGTGTGTGCGTCTTATTGTGGCGTTTACCAAAGCTGGAGGTACCCTTCGTCTGTAATCAAAAGTAATTCCATTAGTGATTTGTCCAAGGAAATTGGGCCACTGAGTTTTCACAATCAAACGCTCGAAATTGCCGAAACTAAATTTATATCACATAGATTGCAACACCAGGTATATATTGGATTGGTTTTCATCACAAAATTCAAGCGGATGTTTATGAAAATAATAGATTTTATTTCGGCCGAGGACGGATTTACCATCTTGAAGTGGCGAACGGCTGAAGAAAAAAGAGCGAAGAGAGGAGCTGTCAAAATATAGCGTGGCGTCAGGGTTGCATTTTGCTAGAGATGAGAAACTATCGATTAGACCAACCGATATATATGGGACTATCGGCGTTTTTAGTACATCCCTATGCCCGCGAAACGGAACCGGTAATGTTATCGGGCGGTTATCGAAAACCCGCCAAAATAAATTTACAAATTAAACAAGTGTAATTAGGAGTTTAATTATAATAATCACTATTTTAGATAAGAATAATCTTATCTAATAGCTTTAACCTCATTTAACCAGACCTATCTTGCTTTCAAATAGTATTATGTATAGAATAAGAAAAAACCACATCAACTTGTTTAGTAAAAATATTCATTGTTTTATTTATGAAATAAATTATTATTATTTACATTGGAAAATAATGCACGAAATTCAAATAATATTGCATACTGAGCGGCATTCCTTAGCACTGAACCGCTCTTGACGTTTACACACTCAAAAACAAATTCTACAAATTACAAGACTCTATAAAAATACAAATACAGAGGGCGATACACATATTATATAATGGATAATAATAGATAGGGATAGACGACAAAAAAATAATGGATAATGGAATGGAGTTTGTGCAGCAGTGCGCGGGTGAATTATCTCTACAATTTGTTTCAAAACTGTGCAGATGTGGCACACGAACTACGACATTACTTGTATTTTATAGCCTGTATTTCTTGCTGCTGGTCGATTGCAATTGGTGTGGAACATTTTATCTATAGTTTAAGTTTACGTAACTAATTTGCGACTATGAGCAAGTCGATTTGGCTTGCGTTGAAACGAAACCAAGTTGCACATAATTTGGCTGCAGCTTCGGTCTGCTCGATTGATTGATTGCGATTGGGGGCTTTGGGGTGATTGAGTGGATGGTTGGGGGTTTTGTGCTGGTGCAACTAATAATTACTACGCCTACGCCTCGCCTCGCCATTACGCCCTGTGTTCACTTCTTTACATACAACTAATTCATAAAGAGAATTTAACTAAGAACCTTATGGAAAGCTTTGCGAATAAATTATACGAGTTTGGACCAAATCTAAGCACGAGTGCACATGTACAATATATGTAAACTGCGGGGCTTCCCCGGAATCTCTGGCGGCTTCTCCGGAGAATCAGGCATCTTAAATCTTCGCTAGCAACCGTGTGTCAGACTCCTGGCAAAGGCGTGTCTCTATAATACTTTATAGAAATCGCCTTGTTCGGGTTTGGAAAAGCAGACATTGATTCCCTAATTCAAATCAATGGCTAACTGATTCTCCTAAGGCTTTTGTGTTCTCCGCAATGTTCTTCAGTCGCCTTTGAATCTCTAAGAATAGCCCATAGCTTTGGCCCAGGCCCCAAGAGATTCCGGGACTCGTCTCCCCTTTAAAGTATAGCTAAGTATTGACTTGCAAGGACAGAATCCTTGCTCTGCTGCTGGTCTAACATTTCGTTTTCGCTATGAACAGAAAGTCTCCTCGATCTTCCATCCTTTCTTATGTTTCTTTCTTAAATAACTAAAGCGCAAAAAAAAAAAACTGTTGCTAAAATTAAACAAAAAACTTTTCGATGTTGCGCTCGCTGTAGTTCCCCGATTTCCGGGGAGTTGCTCCTCCTCCTGGATTCCGCTTTCGACTGTCGTTTGGGCTACTGCCGCTCCACGTTGATGGTGATGACCATGGTAGGTCAATAGTGGCCGCCACCACCACCTCCGCCGCCGCCGCCGCTATGCCTGTGGTGATCGCGCCTGCCGGAGGAAGGATCCCGATCGCGGTAGTCCCCGTTGCGGGAGCTGCTCTTGTGGTGGTGATGATGATGGCGCTTCTTCTCGCCCTTCAGACAGACGTCGGACACCACCATCTCGGAGTCGTCTCGCATTCCGTAGTTATCACGGCCACACCTGTTGATTGATTCGGTTTATATTCTTTTCATTTTATTGATTTTTAATGAGGATATTTACCTGTCCAGGTTCTCACGGGATCGCTGCATGTTGTCGCGCAGATTGTCGCGGGATCGAGTCATGCTGGGCGGATCGAGGGTCTCCTTACGGCGCAGGGCGTTGTGCGAGCTGTTTTTCGAAGCGGACTCGTGCAGGTTCTCCCAGGCTTGGCGGTAGTATCTAAAAATAAACAGTATATAAATTTTATAATAAAAATTTATTAAGATTTTTAATTTAAATAATTTAATGATCCTATCCCATATCCTTTCCGATTCAAACTCCTGACTAGTGTTGTAAAATACGCTTGCCACCCACAGGGTGGTGGCTGCACTTGCGCATCCTTTCACTTCCCCTTTCGCTCATTCGCTTGAGAATTGTTGAATTGTTTTAAGACTTTTGAATTTTATCCGTTAAATATCATTTTTTCGTTCGTAACAAGTCTATTGCTTTAATAAATATAGACCCTACGAGTGACGATAGGTAGTATAACTGATATATTTTATAAGTTTCGAGTTCGCGAGTGGATTTGTGGGTGTTGGGGCGACCGCGTCTTCCCCAATGCGGGGATATCTAATATATTAGAGTTGGGTAAGTTATTAAGACTTTATTTCTTGAATTATTCTTATAATACTGATAATTGTATCAGTGCCGAGGCAATAATATTTATTTTTATTTTTATGATATTTTTTTTAACATATTTTAAAAAGTTTATAAGACATTGATCAAATGTGGGATCAACAATTTTTATAAAGACAGTTCAGGTCTAGAAAACATTTCGTTTAAGAGTTAAAATCCTTAACAGAGTTAAGGGCGAGGTACTTTTGGCATTAAATATGTCTTTCCTGAGGACATAAGACCCTCCAATCCTTCCTTTCTTTCATTTGTATTACAGATCAGAGGCATAATACAGCCTCTCTGGGTGATATAAGTCTCTGTATATCTTTTTTCCATTGACTTTCGACGGGTAAAACAAAGAATATGCTTTTCAAGAATATGGGCTTCTTATATTGACAATTTTACGGTCTTTCCAGACGGCCATAATCTCGAAATCCATGGTTTCCTCACTTTTCCAAAGGTCTATCAGAAAAATTAACAAAAAATCGATCGAAAATGTCTATCCTAGATTTTGATGCAGATTGGTGGAGGAAAGAGTTAGGAGTCCTTTGGTGCGAAACTCTTAGGAATCGGATACATTTTGACCTTGGTATGACCTTTCCAGACAGCCATATAATTATACTTTCTACGCTTTCTTGGATCTTAGTTCCAGTAGGAGATTAGAAAAGACATACCTGTTGAGTCCGTTGCGGGAACCGGAGGTGGAGCTGTCGAAACTGGCGACCGTGTTGCAGTCGGGCGAGGCGCGATGGCGGTAGTGTTGCGTGGTTCGGTTTCTGCAGAGGGAAGAGACAAGAAGGGCATTAGTAGTCGTGTATTTTTCAATTATTTTCAAAATCAGACTGCCAGGACGAAGTGGTGTTGGGTTAGTCACAAGATCAGGCAAAACAGAGTCGGGGTTAGGCACAAGAACTACAACACAGAGACAGAGAGAAATGCATGAGGAGAAAGTGACGGAGACAGCAGGACGAAAGGAGACAGGCAGTCCAGAAGACAGAGACAAGGACAGACAGTGAGAGAGAGAGAGAAAGAGCGAGTCGGGCGTGCAGTGTGTGTGTGTGTGTGGAAGAGAGTCCCCAGTGTGTTGTGGAGCTTCTAAGTGTGCAATGATGGCTTGATGGATGGATGGATAGACTGGATGGATAGACTGATGGACTGATGGAGGTGCAACAGCAAGGATCCACAGCATTCGCATTCACATTGGCAGCATCTGTTGAGTGTTTCAGTGTTGGCTGACTGATGGGTTGTTTGTTCTGTAGTTTCGTGTGGTGTTTTGGTTGTTTGGTTGTTTGTGGTGGTTTTGTTTTGGGTTTTCAATGTTTCTTACATTTGCTGGTATGATATGGCCGCTTTGATTGAATCTAGTGATATCGATTTATCGGTTTTTTTGGTTTCTGTGTCTTGTGTTGCTTCTTTGGCACTTTATTCCCAGTCGGGTTAGGTCAAGTCAGGTAGTTCAGGTTGATTTTCTTCTTGGTTTCTGTTTTTGGCTCTTCTTTGGCTTTGGCTTTGGGGGGGCTGGGGGGTTCACATGTTCTGGGAGCTGCTGAAGAGCCCCGCCCGGCTGCGATAGCCTCGCCCATAGCTATTTATCTCCCGCCTGCCCAACTTCTGGTCGTCGAAGGGTAGTGCCAGGACACTGCACCACACCGATGGCTCCCTGTCCCGCTCCCGTTCACGTTCCTCCATCCGCTCACGCTCCCGCTCCCGATCCCAAGCCGCACCGCCCGTACTGGAGCCCAGACTGCCGTACTCCCCGACACCCGGCGGCCCTCCAAAGAGACGCATCCTCGGGTGGTGCTTGGTCAGTTGGGCGGTGGAGGCATAGCTGGTGGCACTGGTGGCCGTCGCCGTGGCATAGCTGGGCAGGCGACTGGGCCGCGGAATTCCGACACCGAGGACCTTCGCTTTCTGGTGGTGGAACTGTAGTTGGTCCGGGTACTGGTATTGGTATTGGTACTGGTACTGGTACTGGGTATGGTGGTGGAGCTGCTCCTCGAACTGCTGCTTCTTGGGGCGCTGCTGCTTGGATTGCTTTGGCTGCTTCTGCTGCTGCTGCTGCTGCTGCTTCTGGTGATGATGAGCATGGTGATGTTGGTAAGCGGTTAAGTGTTTGGCTAGGTGCCGCCGTTGGCTGTTCGGGGTGCTTTCATGGCGAATGGATGGTTGGTTGGTTGGTTTGCCAAAAGACAGAGAGTGGGAGAAGCAAAAACGAAAAAAGAGAGTTGTACAACGAGAAAGAGAAAGCGTTCGATGTGGCTGTGGCTGTGACTGAGACTGAGACTGTGTGTGTGTGTTCGTGGGTGTGTGCGTGTGCTGGAGAGACTCTCTTTTTTTGGCGAGCTGGAAGAGTGTGAGAGAGTGGGCTGGGGGGTCACTGGAAGCAAAACCTTTAGAAGGGTTAAAAGTTAAAAACCAAAAAAACAGATGAAGGGGGGGAGACAGCGTGAGACAGAGACAACAAGATGGGGGGTAGGGGTGAGAGAAAGAGGTAGGGGTGGTGGGCAGGTGGTGACCCCGACAACGATCGACTTTTATCCAAACTTATGTCAAAGCAACTAAGAGTACTGGTCGGTACGATCTGAGATCTCATCAGGACTCAGCTCACTTAGAGCCAAGATCTAAAGGAAAACCATAGCTTTAAGAGCAGGTGGTTACCCCGACACGGCATTTACATATTCCCTGAGAAACCCTTATCATTCTTGAATAGTTATCCCCCCAAAGATTATTTCCAAATAATGAGATCAAGATCGTTGAGGTAGTATCCCCACATTAGAGGTATATGGCCAGGATCAGGGGATCCTCTTCTGTGCCGTCTTCCGATTCAGTGGCAGACTCACCTTCGCACCAAGATCACGATCGTGGTGATGACGGCGGCCAGGAAAACGAAGCCACCAAAAGCGCCCAGAGCCACAATGGCGCCCAGGTTGAGCTTGGCCTCCTTGGTCTCCTTCCGGTCGGGATTATCGACGGCGAAGGGCACGTTGACATTGGGCGACTGGTTCTGCTGGACGCTGTTGACGCTGTCGGGGATCTCGTTGTCCTGCGGGTGCGAATTGGCGATGATCTGCTGTGTGTTGCGGGTGGTAGTCTCCAGGCCTCCGGCCGCCTGTCCGCCAGTTGGGCGGCTGCGAGGCGGTGTGGGGGCGTAGGTGGAGGGCACCTGTGGCGGCTGAGGTGGTACGTTCTGGATGTTCGGCGTGGTGGGCGGCAGGGCGGATGGCGTGCTGCTGGGCTTCTTGGGAATGAGTACCGGACGCACAGGGCGACGCGGGAACTCCTCACGCACTGTTCCGGGAACTGGGATGTTGATTTCCTCCTCGGATTCAGCTGGAAGATCAATCAGGGTAAACTTTGCTTTATCTTCTCTTTCGGGTCTACTCACATTCGCCATTGATCTCCACCTGGGTGGGACTAAGGCTGGGGAAGGTGCCCACGGTGCTGCTGGAGGTGCTGCTGCCCGGCGTGGAGCCTGGGCGGTAGGGCGTCCTGTTGGTGGTGGAGCTGGGACCCTGAGGCACCTTGGGGCGGAAGGGTGGCGGCGTGGCCACCGAGACAGGCACTGTCGGGGCGGCAGTCGGCTGGGTCGAAGGCTCCAGCTTGATGCACCTGGGTAGGGCACTGCTCCACTGGCCGCTGGCCAGGCAGCTGAGCACGCGAGGTCCTTCCATGCGGTAGCCCGGAGGACAGCTGATCTCCGCCTTGGAGCCGTAGTAGGTGCCATTGGGGGCGTTGATGATCGTGTTGTAGTAGTTTCCAGGCAAGGTGTCGCACTCCACAACTGCAAGAGGGGATGAGGATTAGGGAAACTAGGACAAGGACTCCCGTGGGGATACTTACTCTCGCAGCGGGGCGGGGGTCCGTTCCAGCGCTCGTCAAAGTCGCAGGTAAGCAGGGCGCGGCCAATCATCTCGTATCCCTCTTCGCAGGAGTACTTCACCAGGCTGAGGTAGCCGACGGTGTTGTTCAGGAGGTTGTACGATCCGTGGGCGATGCTGGCAGGAAGGCCGCATTCAATGTCTGTAGGATAAACCATGATAAGCATATAGACAGGAAGACCCAAGATCTTGGCACACTTACACTTGCAAACTGGGGGGAACTCGTTGTAGAAGCCCGTCTCCAGACAGGTCCTGGTAGCAGGGCCCACCAGCAGGTGGTTGGCGTCGCAGCTGTACTTGATCTGGGCTCCCACCTCGAAGCCGTTGAGGGCCACCATGGTAGAGTTTGGTGGCTGCTCCGGGCGACCACAGGTCTTCGGCTGGTGCTGGCAGATAAAGTTCAGGAGCGTGTTGCAGTTCGTGTCGCTCCAGAGCCATCCCTTGGAGCCGTCAAAGCGGGCACAGTCCTCATCCCCGCCAGGGTGGCTCCAGAAGGAGACTGTCAGCTCGTCGCCGTTCACCCACTTCCAGCTGCTCCGATCGCTGCCGTCCCGCACCGCACCCATCCAGTACTGGGAGCTGACGTCGCTCCTGTGGCGGCGCCACAGCTCCCAGCTGATGAAGCCTTGGAGCGCCGGGTTGCTCTCGCTGATCAGGGTGCCGCCCCGCGAGCGACAGAAGGACAGCGCGTCGAGGAAGTTCAGCGGCTGGCGGTTGTAGAAGATGTAGCACTTGCCGTTGTAGGAGGCGAGGGCGCCGGGCGGCTGGTCCCTGAACGTGGGGCACCTTTCGATGGGCAGGGCCTGGTCTGTGTAGACGAAGGCCTCGCAGATGGAGAGCGGGTTGGGGGAGCTGTTCTCCAGGTGGACACTGACGAAGGCGCCCGGCATGGGCGGGTTGCAGGGCAGGAAGAGGGGCTGGCCAGCCTCCAGGAGGCCGGTGAATCGGTTGCATATGGGATTAGTTCCCAGGTCGGGCCTGTTGTTTCCCACACGGACCACAATGGTGGCGGGCTTGTTGCCTGCAGAAGGAGAGATTTGTCTTAGAAGAGATTTGGTTTTGTTTTAGAAGAGAGTCTCCTCTCTTGAGTTTCTCCAAACTGCATAATGCAGTTTTTTGTCCCAGTGCACTTTTCATTCCCGCCGGGTTCTCCCTCCCCGACACCGTCATTATTATATGGTTATGGCTTTGTCTGTCAGCAGGTCAGGCGGGTTCAGTTCAGTTTGGTTCGGTTCGGCTGGGGAGGGGGGCTATGCAAGCTCTCGAGCTCCAGCCAAGTGAAAGTAATCATAAATTTCGGACCGACCGAGTCGTCCGATTGTGAGTCGTCTGTCGTCAGGCAGAGCCGCACGAAAATCACATAACCAGCGCCGATCGGGGACCAGACTCGGAGACTTCAGGTTGGTGGCTGCAAGTGAAAGCATTAGGGAAAACTGGCTTGGCAGTTGTTTGCTTTTTTTCAACGGATTCGGCAACCCTTTATTTAGTCGCTGTGTTTACTCCAAGGAGGGATTCCACCGATCGTGCAGCTCTTGCCATTTTTTTTTTTTTTTGGTTTTTGTCAGCCAACAGACAACAGGCATTGGCAAGTTGGTAAGAAAACCGAAAACTGGCTGACAGGCAGCTTGGAAAACGGGGCATTGAACTGTCCACTGGCCCGATAGAAACTCTCTATCGCCGTCCCACAGAATCCGGTCCGATCGGGTCTCTGGCCACTTGCCTGCCTGGGCTTTTCGCCAAAAATGCCATTACCAAAGCCATGCGACAGGTTTAGGGTTGGGCCGGGCGGCCAATAAAAGCGAAAAGCCCGCCACATCAATTGAATCAATTGCTCCGAGCTGTTTATGCAGTCCGGCGGGTTATTACAGGCGTTTTTGGGCCACGAAATTATGGATAATTACGGCTCCTTCTTGGGAACTTATTGAGATTGCAGAGCTTGACTTAGTCTAGGTACTTACCGCAGCAAGATTTGCCAAAGTCCAGGCGCACCAGTTGCACCATGTAGGGCTCCAGAAGGTTGACATACCACCACGGCGACCTCTCGGCCTTCGTCAGGGAGCAGGTCTCCGGCGTGAAGAAGGCAGACGTGGAGCCGTCGATGGCCTTCTGGGGGGCTCCGGCCCCCTCTGTGGAAATCTGCATCGGCGCCTTGCCGGCGGCCACGTTGAGAACTGCAAGTAGAGAAGAGATTCGGATTTTAATTCGAAATTATAAACAAACCCCCCACCGCAAAGCAATTATTTGGGAATTGAATGAGTTGCTTGGGCTTCAGCAATTATCCGATGGATCCGGAGTTCCCAGAGTGCTGGAGGCCCAAGGTCCAGCCTAATTGGCTGCGGGCCCTGACACCGATTGCCGACTCTGTTCTGCTGGCGAATTTGTCAGGCCAGTCATCGCAAGACCTTCGTTCTGGCTGCGTGGAACTCGCTGGGCGAAAAGCAAAAGTGAAATTCAACTTTTACTTGCCCGCCCCGGTGGAACTGGTACTTCTGCAGCATTTGCGGCGTACCTGCGACTTAATTACTCAGCTCGCCACGCACTTTTGCGGCATTGGGATTCATTAATCAGATGCATCTGTCGGATAAGATTCGGCTCCAGAGCTTGCCTTTGCTCAGCGGCTTGGAAACTTGGTCATTGCTTTCTAACCTTCTGGTTGCTGGTTGCTGGCTGCTGGCACTGGCTTCTTGTTGCTTTTTCTTTGAATCTGGCTATGGCTATGGCTCTTTACGGCAACAGGTAACAGCAGGTGTTGCTGTACTGGCTGGTGTGACAAATGCCTTTTAATTGCTTTTAATTAATTTCCCATTGCTGGCCTGCTGTGTCATGTCGGATTCGAGTTCGAACTCATATCAGCTGGCTGGCGCATTCCGACTGGCTGGCAGAGCAATTTTCAGGTCGGAAATTGTAGTGCTTTGTTTTTCCATTTATTTTCTTTTTGTTGTGTCTCGGCTTTTCTTTTCCAGCGTCATCAACTTGCAATCAACCGAGTGTGTGCTGCATCGATCTCACGACTCGATTGCATTCCATTCAGCGTTGCTTTTTTTTTTTTTTGTTTTGGAATAATAATGAGTCCATAAATCGGTTATTGAAAGAGCCTTTGTTGGGGGGGGCCTCGTCAGATCCTATATCGGAGGGCCGTAAAATCCAATCAATCTGCTTTCCCAGAAGCCTCGGCCACGCGTCTCAACACCTACTACCTCGGTGTCGGCGAGCATGTGATGGCTTCAACAATGGCCTGATGGATCGGCCGATAGTGGGAGAACACGCCTCCCCTCCCAGTCCCATCGATCAGTTCATTCAGCAACTGGCTGGTAAGTCTGGGAGCTGTTGCTCCGTTTCTGTCAATCAGTTCAGTAATTTGGCCTTTTTTCTATTGGCTTTTCGGCCGCGGAAGTGCACGTCTGGCTGGGAGTTCGTTTAGAATATTTATTTGTTTTCGTGTCTGGCTCGTTTTTCCACTTTTTTTTTTATTTTTTCACTCCACAAAGTGGGTCAGCCTGGTTGAATTCTTCCCCCGTTCGATCTCTCGCTCACACGCATCGGATCTTAGCCCAATTTCGCGCGTTTTGTTAATCATGTTTCGCTTTTGGTTAACAACTTTGCATTCAATTGGAATGCCATCGGCTCTCTCGCTCCTTCTCGCTGTTGCTATCTCTGTTTCACCAACGAAAAAAAAGAGATATTTTGAGAACGCTTAAAATTTTGTGGCGGTGAAAGTTGTTCCCAGTCCAAGTCCAAGTCCGATTCCGATTCCGAATCAAAGTCGCCAGCGAGGCGCTAATTGAGTTGACGAACAGCAAGTTCGTGTCCGAAGTCTTTTGTTTGGCTTGCCGCACGAAAGCCATCATTTCTATTGCTCTCGTGCTATTGCTCTGAAAACAAACTTGTGTGGAAACTTGTATGGAATATGAGTCACTCACCGCAGAAGGGAATGCCCTCGGGCACCCATTGTCCTTTGTCGCAGACCCGCCGCGCCGGTCCCAGGAGCTCAAAGCCGCGCTCACAGCTGTAGGAGGCCACCGTGCCCTGGGTGAGATTCGCGTTCGAGAAGACGACGCTGCTGTGCGCCGGCGATCCCGGGAAGCTGCAGCCGGCATCTGGAAGATAGAAGACACAGAGATAGAAGAGAATTAGACTCCAGACTATCAATTATATGGAAATGTTCTGCCGATTGCCGATTGCCGGCAACTCAGCAATACCCCTCGGGCCTAAGCCTTTGATTGATTTCTCAATCTGGACTCTAAGCTGTCCATCATTTATCAAATTAATTCTAGCCGATTCTCAGATTAAATATTTATTTAAAGTCTTCAGTGGCTACGACCTTTCACCCAAAAGACTGGCTTTTGATTGATTCCCCCCCGCCTCCCCTCGACCGATTGATCGGCAATTAAGCAGTTCCGTTCCAGTTTGGTCACTCGACGCCTGCAAGTATCTCTGGCATTCGCAGATTGCAAAATGTTCTCGGGCCGTGGATGTTGCTGCTACTCGTTTGTTGTCAATGCAAAGCGTGAGAAAATGGCAACAGCTACAGAAAAAAAAAAATAAAAATAAAAACAGCCATCAATTTAGTTGCAGTGGCTGGTTGTATCTCGACAAAAATGCGAGCTAGCCGTGTGCAATAATCAAATGTGTTGCTGCCACTGATGTTGATGTTGCTGCTAGTGCTGCAGTGGCGGTTGGTGCTTTGTATGATTAGTTATTCAATTGAGCTGTTCCCAGGCCCAGAGCGCTGGCCAATGTCATGAGTTTGATTCATCCCTACAGAGAGACAAATCTCGTCCACGATTTATGCAAAACTGAATGATACTTTCAATGATGTATACATAGTGGTGTCTATTATTTTTTTGTGTGGAATGAAAATCGTTGAAATTGTTCTTGGCTCAGAGCTGTTAAGTGGGATTTTGCATAATCAGCGATAGATGGAGATGGGTTTGGAGCTACAAAGACTGGAGACTGTTGACTGGAGTCTAGAGACTGAAGACTGAAGACTGGGGAATGGCATTAAAGCAACAGCCAGGCTGATTAGAGCTGGGGATATATTACTGAGGCAGTCAGGCACTGAGGCATGCCATAAATGGTCGAATAACTGCAACATCATTTGACCAGCAACAGCTACAATGCTGCAGCAACAGCAACAGCAACTTTCCAAGCAGCTGCAGCGCCAAATGAAAAACAAGTCTTTCAGCCAGCCTGCTACACATTTCCAGATGCTTCTTATACAATCCCCCAATGCCAATGCAATTTCATCATAACGGTTTGGTTCTCCTCAGATCCCAGATCCCCAGCCACTCCAATTCACGCGTTAGTTGCTTTCAAATGGGGGCGGGGGGAAAAAAAGGTTGCCACAAATACCTACCAAATATTAAGCCAAAAAAAACCAAAAAAGAAAAGAAACAGCGGAGAGCGAGCCCCCCCGCCTGGAAAAACAAATCAAATTAGTTCGGGCAAATTGAAATTAACAAAAGCCAACTTTAGACGAGTCATTTGTCATGCAGGGCAAACGCAAATTAAGAAATCAAGTTCATGAGGCATTTTCAATTTCGGTTCAGTTTCAGTTTCGGTTTCGGTTTCAGTTACACTGCCAGCAGCTCAAGACTGAATTAAACAAAAATAAAAAAAAAAAGAAGGCAACAGGCTTGAAGAGGCGCCTCTAATGACGACTCCCACGCTGTGCGTCCAAAGAAACCGAAAGACTCGAAGGGGGACTGCGGATCGGAGGCCCCGAAAGGTTGCCCAGTTTGGCCAAGCATGACAATGTGGCCCAGACTCTGGCCGAAACTACACTCCGCTATGCTGGTAGTGGGTTTTGCCAGCTAGTTTCTTCCCAGGCCAAGACCCTACGGGTCTGGTTTTTTGCAGTGTAGCATGAGTGGGAGCTAATACCCGCGGTACCCTAAAGTGCAAAGGCAGTACCAGCAGCAACTTGTTGCCATTGCCGTTGCCGTTTGTGGTGCTTTCATTTGCTTTCTATGTGCGCGAACTTAGTGAAAGTGATACCCCGTACACACACACACTCAGACCACAACACACCCAGTCAGTCAGTCAGTCACACACATGGATAACACGCCAGGCATTGACAAACAACAGCAGCAATTTGTACAACAAGCAACGTTGGACGCACACCAAACATCGTACCTCGTATTATGGAAGTCTGAATATTCATTGTGCGGCTCTTGGCTCTTGGCGCGGATCAAAATCATCTAATAATCATTATAATCATAATAACCGTTATAATTTCCAACTTGTTTCGGACATGGTCCGTTCAGCGTTGCTTTTTGTAACAAATTACCCATCAACGCCTCGGTCTTGGCCGGGCCGGGACGGGCCTTTCTTTGATTGCTCTCCTCGGATCGGCGTTTTGAATGGCAAGGTTTGCCGACTGGAATCGGAATTGGAGTTGTTGGCAAAAACCAAAAAAAAATAGCTAGTATTTCGAACACAATTGAATGAAAAGAAAAATGATTGAAAAGCACTTAGCAATCGGGCAGCAGAAAAGAAAACCGAAAGCGGGAATTCATTTGCTGTTTGTGGCAGGGAAGAGTTCAGACCAGGGCCCTAATTTCGACTTCCAATTGTAATGATTTAATTACTTTGCAATTCTGTTGGAAACCCTGGTTATTTCGCCATAAAACCCAGCCTCTGCCAGCCAGCTAGAAGTGTGAATGGCTTACCATTTCCGCCACCAGCAGGCAACCAGCAACCTGCAACCTGCTGCAACTTTCTACTGCCAGAGCAGGGGCGTCGCCTGAGGGGTCTGGGCCTAGTCGTAACCCCTCGTCTCAGGCCCAACCTGCGCATTAGTTCATTCCACATTCTCGACTCCGCAATTTGCGTATGTCGGCTAATTTCATTTTAAATGCAAGTCCATACCGTCGGGGGGGAAAGGTAGTTGCAAGTGGCTGGTGGCAGGGGATCTGGGTGTGGCAGGGGCATCTAAATGAGGCGCAAATGTCTTGGCCATGCAGTCTGACGAGTGGGGAGTCTTTCAATGGAGTTCACATGAAGCTTGCCATTGTCTCGGCCAAGTCTTGCTTTTTTTTTTTTGGACAGCTTGACCCCGCCGCTAATTAGTACCTACTCGGGGGTGGGTAGAGGGGATCAAATAGGCAAGGGGGGATCAACAAAATCCAAGCCCAGAAAAGGTTTCTGCAGCCTGAGTGCAGTTCTGGGACGTCATGCGCTGATTGCGAAGCGCCTACGCTTCGACGGTTGCTCCGCATCCGATCTGATATTGCCACTGATGTTGCTACTTAGTGGATGTTGCCCCTAATCGCGGCAGCTATGTAGATCTTGTGGAAGCTAGGTCTGGAAAGCTGGCGATTTGGAAAGTGCAAGTGTACGGCCTCTGACAGTCAAGGTTTTCCCTTTCCGAGGCGCCCTAGCACCCTACCCAGATTTTCTTCCCCAAAAGCCACAAATATTTTCTGGCTCTGGCTTCTTGCAACAAAAAACGATAAAAAAAAAAGCAGATAAAAAACAGTTTGGAGCTCAACCGTTAGCCCATAATAACGATGATCGTAATGATGATGATGATGGAGAGCCGCTGATTGGTTTTCGGATTTACATAAATTGGCGCTGGACGGGATCGGGCCGCGCAGCTTCTCCTTTAGCGGCATTGCTTCTCCATGACCCAGTTCCACGGCCAGTTTTGTGTTTTATTTTTGTTACTCTCTGCGGGCTTCTGCCGTGAAGCTTTCGGCTTTCGGCTCGGCTTGTCCGCCAAATTAGTAGAACCTCGTTAAAATCACAAACCACCGCGCGGCATGTGAGGAGAGAACTTTTGAAAAATTTCGCAAGTGCCTCGGTTTGCGCAATACTTCGCGTACTTCAAAGTTGCCATTGTTTTTTGGTATTTTTTAGCTGGCTTTTCGGCGGATGCGCCTCGCCAGACGCGACTTGTGCAAGCTGCAAGTTCGTTGCCTAAGTCTTTTGATTTGAACTTCCGCCCTGGCCAATAGACCGACGCACTGGGCCAGCTACACTTGCAGAAATGGGTCCATAGATTATTCTCTCTCTATACATATATGCCCCATTCATTCTTGGCTTTTGAAAATTAATTGCGCATAAAAATTGCCCATCATGCGCATTAAATGAGACATCAAAGAACGTCTGCCAGACACAAACACACGTGTGTATCCGTGTATCTGTGAGGTTGAGTATCTTGTAGCTGCGAGCTAGTTGGCTGGCTAAGAGCTGCTAAGCGTATTAAATAAACATGCCTCTTCGCCGCCTCTTGCTGGCTGCTCTTTTATGTAACGGTATGCACGACAGCACCAACAACAACAACAATAAATTCAAGCGTAAACAGTTACGTAAAACAACAACAACAACAAAAGAATACAAAAATAAATAAATAAAAAAAAGAACAACAAGAAGAGCTGCTAGAACGACGGGCGTAGAAGAAGGAGTCACTTCTCCAACAATGACAGCATCGACAGCAACAACAGCAACATGGCACAAGAGCAACTCATTCCCCCTGGTGGCAACATCTTTCACCTGACAAACCGACAACCGACCCCCGCCCGCCGTCCGCCCACTCTACCGATTCTCCCGGGCTGTGTCTCCCTCTAAGCTCTATAACAGGTTCGATATGATTTTGCGGCACTTTTGCCGCAAAGGAAACGCTTGATTGCCGCTTCTAAAGCAAGGCCAAGCAACGGCAGTCTTTAGCGGACAAGTGGACATGGGGGACAGACGGCGCAAGCCAAAAAGACACCGATCGAAGATCGACGACATTGACCGACGATGGCTGGTTGGAGTACGGGAATCTAGAAGATGGGAGGCTGCAAACGGGAGGCTGCAAACTGGAAGCTGGAAGCCGTTTGCTAGTTGACCGCATTCCAACAGCCAAAGCCCGCAAATCAATGTGCAATGTGTGGAAGCAGCAACATCGACAGCATCACCATCACCAGCCATGTTGCACGGTTCTAAGAGTCTTTTTATTTGAGTTTTTATTTCAAATTATTTTAAGATTTGTTTCAAGATTAACTTTAACAAGAAAGGAAAGCTAACTTCGGGCGGAGCCGAAGTTGATATACCCTTGCAGTTAAAACCGGATATATATCGCAAACATCGGATTTAGTTGGCCGATCCTTAT